CACCATAACAATCATTCACCACTACTCCAGTCGATGGGCACTACCGGCACTACCATTGCAAATAAGGTTGTAAATGCCCCCAACCCCAAGTATCAAAAGAAGAGTTATCAAGCAGCGATCAGATAAAATAATCCAAATTAATCCAAATTATATAACTGGCAATTACTATATAATTAAGTGACCATCAGAAGCCTCGTAGCCACGGCAGTGACATTCAAGCCAACCCCTTTTCAACGGCATGGTTTTAATGAGGTCAAATGAGAAAAGTTGTTTTTTCTTATCGTCTCTGTTTTTCCTTCTCTCTCTCTCTCTCTCTCTCTCTTCCTTCTTGGAATTTACCAGATTGATTTGCTATGTCTCCAACTTCATCATGATCAAACTGTCAAACCTCACACAGAATAGGTTTTACCATTGGTTTTACCATGTTTTACCACATTTTCACATTTACGTACATTTACATACCGGTTTCGCTGCTTCCTGTCTGCTATTGCAGCCCCAGCGCCAGATTTTCTCCGGCAGTGATCCATGGAAGAGATCGGCGCGGAAGATCAGGAGCCGATTGCGACGTGCCATGCACAAATGCCCCGCAGCCGGAAGCACCGGGTCCACATAACCTGCGAGCCGTCACCCCCGAAAAGTGCAGCCTGGCAGCTATGGGATCTTCCTATTTCCCGGAAAGAAAAACATGTCCTCGCGAACCAGAAAAACCATCCTCAAATCCATTGCCATTCAGTCCATGGGTTGGACACACACACACTATATATATAATATAATCATATGCAATATAGGTTGTTTCAAGGTGTTTCGACTCATCCCAACCGCCGCTACTGTTGATCATCCCCGGTATGGAAATCACCCCCATCCCATTCTACTGGCTGGTAAATGGGACTCCCTACTGTAGGTTATACATGGTTATACTACTGAACCCCTAGCTTAATGATGAATAAGCCCTAAAAATCCCTAAAAATTCCTCAAATCTATCCATCAACAGCTTTCACTGGCTCCAACTGGCCAGCCATCTACAAGCGGTCGACATCCAACCCTCGGCCTGCGTCACAATGGACCTGATCCAAGACCAGCGTTGGACCTCCATCAGTCAAGTAGAGGACACAGGACCATTGAGGCCGCCAGGGGTTGCCATGGATCCAATCACCGTGGACATCCTGGAGCCAAAAAAAAACAACCCAAAAAAATATCCAAAAAGCTCAGGTGTTGCAAAAATGTCTACAGGTTGGCTGATTTTAACTGATTTTAATTGATTTTAGGTGATTTTATGTGATTTTTTATCTGATTTCATGTGTCTATTTGCAATGTTCCAGCGAAGGTCCCCACGTTGATGACCGTTTTTTGCTGAAATTTGATGGTTGGGGCAAGGAATGTCGAATGCCCCAAGAAAATCAACACAGGGGCAGAATGGCCAATATTGGATATCCTTTGAGAGGGCCAACTGCAAGAGTTAGATAAAGATGATACAGCAAGAACCTGTATATGGTGTGTATGTATGTATGTATGTATGTATATATATGTGTGTGTGTATATATATATATATATGTATATATATATGGGGTATGGTTACGCACTATTCATCAGCATCAATGGCGAGGTTTTTGTTCAGAACGCCATACTACGCACATGCTTCGCGAAGGTCCTTTGCATCCACGGCCGTGTCATAGTGAAAGGCCGCGCCCAGATTGAAAGACCTCACCTCGAATGCCATGAAACATGTGGCAAAGCCCGCTGTTTATTTGGACCATTTCAAATTGCCGTGATCAATAGGGAATGGTAGTACTTTTGAGATTATTGTTTTAGGGTAAACCATGGGTAAACCATGGAAATATACAACATTACTAACATTACATTATATACATGTGCTCAAATTATGAAAGATAAAGACATAGAAAGGTAAACTTATTCCAATGCAGTATCTTGTGTACTGCTGCATATATTTATGCATATTTGAATGTACATGTAATATATCGTGTAATTGTGATTAACTGCTCGCCCTTTCTGCGGGTTTTTACCTGCAAAAATCCAATCTTTTAGGGTGATTCCCATGTTTGAAGATGGACTGTGATGGACCCAGTGACTCTGGCCCAGTACTCCACACCGCTGAACTCCGCCGCATCTTCTTGCAGCACGTGCTGCAGAATGCCTCGGGAACTGAGTTGCCTGGAAAAAGGAAAGGATATTCCCTGCAAAGTTATGATGAGCCAAAATGCTGGAACCTAAAACAATCGAAATGTAAGTCACTGGGTGCATCCCCTATGTTGAAACCATGCTAATTACCAGTTTTCTCTCACACAAAGATAGAAGAAACACGAAGAAAATCGAAGAAACATGCATTTTTTGAGGATTTGGGAGGATTTGGGGGGTTCTTAAAATGCGGGATCCCTAAGTCAAAATGGGTTTCAATGCGGGTAGCCTATCCGAAACCTGGCAAGGCACCCAGTGCCGCCACTTCTGGAGCACTGCGCGGAGCTCTCTCAGATGGGAGCCACCTCAACATAGCGATGCACATACCCAAAGTCAGTGGAAGCTACTGGTACATGAAATGTAAATCATACTAGACATGCCCCTCCCCAACACAGAGTTCTTGGAAAATGGTCCATTTTATGGATGTTTTGCCTATTCAAAACTGTGAAAGTGTTCATTTTACAGTGCTATATGTTAAACTACCAGAGGGTACAAACAATAATTGGGCAAAATCTTCGATTCCCAGCCAATGAGTTCATCGATTTTTGTTAGTGCTACCCTCCGGTGTCATCAAACATGGCAAGCCGGGAAATCCGAAAAAATCATGGAGGTTTATAGCTGGGACCATCATCTATAACCCATAGGATCCATGGTGCTGGTATATATGCTAACATTTGGGGTATATTGATGGTAAATGTTACCATATATATAGCATACATGGATCCTATGGGAACGGGTATAGTTTTCAATTGCCATGTTTGATTACCGGAGGGTGCATTTGCGCACATGGATCAAGGCGAGATACATATTTGCTGCAGATCCCGGAAAGTCCTCGTCGGCCCAGAAGACACGACGATGGGTGAAAATGTAGTGGAAGTGGTCGTCAACACACGCATCCAGTTGCCTGCTGTCTCCACTAGCGAATCCACCATCCGGCAAGGTTTGGTGGGATTGGATCGAGGAAATGAAACAATTTGAAAAAACGAACGACAGAAAGGTGAATGTCCTCGACCACAACATGTGAGTGGCCAACCTTACTTGCTGGCTCCTTTCAGCAACTGGTGCTGCCCAATAATGTTCAAGGCTTCCCGCAGGAATGATAGTCTGAATCCGGCTTACCCTCCGGTAATGTCAAACGATGGGAAAATCATCGAACTAAATCGGGGATTGATGACTTTCCCATTGCCATTTTCGATGACCGGAGGGTACTGTATAGGCAACATTGCCGTTGCAAGATGTTGCAAGTAGTCTCACCCCCGATGTCTGTGGGTCGTGGCATTCGGGGTCATCACTTGAGTCATCACCACAAGGCAGGATGGGAAAAGCTGGGAAAAGCTGGGAAAATCATAAAATCACCAAGCAATTGTTGAACCATTGTGGTTTGTGATGGTTGGTCATCCCATACTTGTGGATGAAGAACCCCCGCCGGGTTTTGTTGGATGACTCAAACCACCAACTAGATTACTCCCGTCTCCACTCACGATAAACCCTGCCCAAATGGGACCCCAACGCGAACAAATTCAATACATCGCACAAGGGTGTCAACTATAAGCATATGCTAAGCCACGAGTAAGCACAACTATATATACTATATACGGTATATAAGCATATATATATAAGCCGGTTTATCCTTTTTTGGTAGGGATCCCCCAGCTTTTTCGGGAGCAACATCTGCTGCGGGACCTCAGCAACTCCTCGTTCAACACCTGGTCCCATGCAGCCACTCCGCCCTTCAGTGCAGCTGGAGCCGCGCTGGGCTCTGGCTTTTGAAAGTTCTCCTGCCACTCTGTCTGAAGCGGCCTGGCCCAGAGGCGCAAAGACATCTTTATGATGTTTGTTTGCCACTTTAGGTAATTAATCGATATACTCATCAATCCACCAAAGGCTAGAAAAAACATGAAGAACAATTGTACTTGAGTAGGATGTGCTTTTCTATCTTTCTTGGTGGATGCTATAATCATGCATTTTCTATCATGAATTGAACATTTTGAAAAATGGTGGGAACCAAACTGATCCAAAAAGGTCATACCGTCATACCCCAGCCTGGCCGAAACAGTTAGGTCTTCGGCCACATTTTCGCTCCAAACGTCCATGGGAATGATGTAAACCTCCACATGCGGATGCTGCTCCACTGTCCAGCGCTTGCAGCAAGCCAGTTCCGAGTCCTCTACAATTACATTCTTTGAGTGCAAGTTCAATCAAGTTAAAACCTCGATGTTTTCAACCTCATTTTAAGTCCACGCTTTTAGGCTTTCGCCATCTTGAAACTACCTGGATTATATTTCTTCACGAAACTTCAGGGTTAAAAAGCACCGGAAAAAGTGGCAACAACTTCATTCTGCAGGAACTTTAATATTCCACCAACCTGAAAAGTTCGGCCATTTTGGGATAGTCACCGCTACAATTCCCGTCATTCCGATGACGTCCCAGTGTCAGGTCGTTCTAGTTATTATGTCATTCATCCAGATCAATGGATTATGAATGGAGGATAGATGGATTAGACATGCATTATTCATGGATTATTCCGTATATTCATGGGTTCCCCCTACTAACCATCCAGTAATCCATGGGATTTTATGGGATTTATGGGATTTTATGGGATTTTCTTCCTGGATTTCCCATGATTCCCTATGATTCCCCTAGATCTTTGGATCAAAATTGGGCCCAACCGGCTTCGAACCCGGACGGAACCTGCTGATGATCCAAGAGCCCATCCCTTCGCCGGGTGAGGCGGCCATCCAGACGGCTCAGGTGGCGATAACCCGCCAGCGCCTCCAAGGGAGCAGTACCAGGGTTTCTGCATGGTCCCCACCCTCACCAGTAAAATGTATCAGAACATTATTCACATATACATATATATATATATAACTATATATATAATATATATATATATCATATATACATATATATATATATATATATGCACCAGTGGGGATCATACGAAGTAATTTTGTTCACCCCTTTTCGGAGAAAAACATGTCTCCTGAAGGCCAAATTTAGCGATGTTCCGGCAGAAATGGTTATTGCATGTCATTGCCAGTGAAGTTACGGTTCAGCCACTCTGTCACTCTACTCGTGGAGACATTCAGTCTAATGGGGATAAGTTAACTTACAGCAAATATCAAAAACCATGAAAAACCATTGAAAAGCCATTGAAAAGAAAACTGTACGACTTGGTGAAGACAGTTATACAAAGGGACTCAGGATTCCAACCCTCAACACCGAAGTCTTACCAGGCGTGTTGACCCTTTTTGCCAGTAAAGTGAAGTAAAAACCCAACACATACTAATATATGGAGCCGTGTGGTCTACCGGAATGATTTCACAACATGAGATCCAGATATAATCATAAATCATAAATCATTCTCAAATATTCTGAAAAGATCATAATCATAAAAATTATAACCAACCAGTTATTCAATATGATCTGGGCAAATTATCATAGTTCACTAAATTCACCCTGAAATGTTGGGCCATTTTGGGATTCTCCTTCTTCAGAGTCCAGTGAGGCCCCCGCAGCCTCCGCCAGGCGACCGTGGTGCTCCTGACACCTGGAACGAGCCTCCCAGGCTGCCAGGTGCCTTGGGTCCAGCTCAATGGCCAAGTCCATCCACTGCAACCTGCGGAAAGCTGCGGAGGGTTCGATATGAATCAATAAAGGCTAGGATCTGTTAAGCTATCGGACTTTTCAAACCTGAGTTTCTGATTAATGATTTATGATTTGTGTAAGTTTGTTTGGATCTTTTTGGGGAATATTCCGAAAAAAGTTGAAGGATTTCGCCACGCATAGACCCAATTGGAGGCCGGGGAACAGGGAGATGGCCTAGAAACATAGAGAGGACCCTCATGGAATTACAGGGAATATCAGGGAATTACAGTACGGGCTGGGTGATGTCAAGAATGTTTGAGCAATGTGGTCTGTAACTATTGTGCATGTAGCATCATGGATCTGAGGGAAATCCAAAGCACTTGCATCAATTGCTGTGGTTGGAGCTATTCCACAGCTGCATCATCAACGGCCTTCACGTTTCCAATGGTTTTCACGTTAGATCTCAACGAGCCACATATTTTGCTGCAGGGTAACATCTCTGTGTGCCGGTGTGAGACTTCCAGGAACACCCCTGGCCAGGCAACCCAAATGGCGGAAGAGAATTGGTTCCAGTGGGGAAGACGTAAGCAATTCTACGATGTCAAAACCGTGGTATCTTGCAAATTGAGAAATTCTGGATCTGTTTCTAAAAATGGGTTTGAAAGGTCAAACGGGACAAATTGATACACATTGCACAAACTTGATTGAATAATTAGTCTAGCAAACACCAACAAGTCCGAAAAAAGTGCCAGGTGCCCAACCAACAAACACAACTAACCACAACCACCACGATAACCACAACAACCACAACCGCAAGCGCTAATTACCAAAAAATAATAAAAAATAACCCTCCCAGCAGCGCTTACACTTCCCCGACACAGTTTCAAGACACCCATACCGTAGATGGCATCCACGTTTGGTGCAGCTGCGGTTACAAGCACTGCAGATGCAAAAAGCTCTTCTGCTTGCTTCCCGTCGCCAGCACGCAAACACGAGAAGGCCTTCCTGGGCGATCAACTCATCCCACTGATAAGTGGGGGCCCTCTGGCCAAATAGGAACAGAAAGGATGAAGAATAACATCTCCCAAGTAATGACAATCAATGAGAGTGGAGCAGTTCAAAGATTCAAAGAAAAGTGTAGAAAAGTAATGAAAAGTACCATCCAACAGCCCTGCTTGCAGCAGGAGTTTCTCCAACAAACCGCTTGTTGATCCTGTTCGTGGACATGCGGGTCTGGCACCCAAAGCGTCCAGCATCTGATTGAGCCTTCCAGGCTGTGGCAAGTGGAACATCAACAAATGGACAACAAATGATATGCCTGTATTGCAATAATTACAGTAGACAAACAATCGAAGTACTTGGCGCCCTATCCACCTCGATGGAAAATAAAAACCTCTTGATCATCCAGCTCTGAACAAGGCCACGATGGGCCACCAGTGGAAGGTAACTCGGATGTTGAATCGATCATACCTTCTAAAAAGACATCTGTGAAAAGGGCGCCCCAGAAAAAACCATCCATTAAATTAAAGTTAAAGTGCGCGGGCTAACCCATCAAAAAGTCACACTAATCATCACTCATCAGGGAAAATCGTTACGAAAAATCAACAGTGTGATCCCATCCATCCCCCATCCATCCCCCATCCATCCCCCATCCATTCCCACCTCTCTTCATATGTTTCGCCTTTCGGAGCCTTCGACTGGATCTCCGTCCCCGGCAGTGTGCCGCGGCGCGCCACCAGGTGCTGCACCGCAGCCACCACGGCGCCGGCGCGCCACCGGGCGCCCCAGGAGGCCCCCGGGGGGCCGCGCGCGTGGCGCGCTGGATGGGGATGCAGGTGCCATGGACGCCATGGACGCCATGGACGCCATGGACGCCATGGACGTGGGGCTGGGAGCTGCAAAGACATGGGAGCTGGGGGTGATTGCATGTGACTGCTGAGTTGGTTGAGTTTTACTGTTGGGTGAATGTCTCCAGAACCAAATGTGTGGATAATATTGTATAGTTGTGTATAGGAACATAATTGGAGGGAAGCACATTGTGTTCTTCATGTTCACGTGCTTGATGTGTAGCTGCAAGTGATGTTGCTGGTGGTTGGCCTTACTTCAAATTGTCCAAAGTGTGGGAAGGGGTTCGACGAAATGAAATGGTGGATGTTGTGGTAGATTTTTTTCTGAAGGGAATGAATACAATGTGCTGTCGCACGCTTACGTGGCTTTGTCATCCTTTGTCTCCCTATGTATCCTTGCTGTTTTTAGTGAATTCCGTGCCAAAGGCTATTAGCCATTAGAAATCCAAAATCATGCAATACATTTGACAGTCAGCTATCCAAGATACTCCCAAGCTTTATGTAACCATATTATATATATATATATATATTATATTATATTAATATATAGTACATTTGACTTTGAAGCTCCTAGGCAATTCACCACCAGGTCAGCGCTGAGCATCCCGGACGGCCAATGACAGCGGTGGAAACAGCAAGTTGGACCTGGGTTTGGGCCAGCTATGGCCGGCTGATAGCAGCACTGCCGGGCCCAGCTCGTCTCAAGCACCATTTGGACCCCTAATTGGGATGAAACTGAACCCCAAGTCCCCAAGCCTCAGTTTCAATGGGCTGCCTTAGAGGTTAGCCCATTTTTGAAGCACACCCGGGAAGTCACAGCAGTAAAAGAAGCACTGGCACATTGAGCTGATAAACACCTGGCATATCCAATCCAAAGAATTCTGTAAAAATCAGCCCATATATAAGAAAAGGGCTTTCAAAGAAGAGTACTTCAGCTACGAGTACCCAATGATTTGGGGCGCGCATGTGCTCCAAACTCATGCTCATTTGCTAGTCTAAGATTCTCGGATATCAGAACCAAATTGACATCACAATATGTCTCCAAGAAAGGGGGCAACGAAGATCATCACCGATGTTCAAACTTTCACCTTTGGTGATCATCAATTTAAGATACCCTCTGGTAAACTAACATAGCTATGGAAAATCACCATTTTCAATGGGAAAATCCACTATAAATGGCCATTTTCAATAGCTACGTTAAATTACCAGAGGGTAACCACTTCAGACAACCCGCCGAACCACCTTTTGCACGCCATCCCAGTTGCGAGTTCCAGCCGATTCCCAGCTGACCGCCACCAGTGGAACTGGGCTGGGGAATGATGGCAAGGTCCTTGTGAGGTCTCCATCATTGACAGCTCTGTGGCTTCCATCCCGAAACTATACTTCAATGAGTTTCAATGAGATAAAGGGCCATGGTTTTCCCATGCGACCATTCTATCCCCCATCAAATATCCCATAAAGGACCACGCTTGGTTTACCTATTTTACTTCTTCAAGTGTAAAATCTCCATCTGTCATGGATTGTTGCAATCTACGTAAATTCGTCCATGGTTAAATCATGTTAAATCCCCATGTTTCATGGATAAATCATGGACAAATCTCAATTTTGGATCTTCAAAATGTCGTTTCCATCCAAAAATATTCACGCCTCTGCCACGTCTCCATGGCGCGCCCCTCCAAGGCCTGGAGTGGGGTGATGGTTAATCCATGGCTAAGCCATCTAATAGCCCAACAAAAGGATGGGTAATGATGGTTATATAAATTGGTGATGTTTAGTATGATCCATCTAATTTCTAATTGTCGGGATACCCATATTAACATGTACTAAGTTAGTACTAAGTATCTAATTATTGGGGTTTAAAAATGCCTTGACCCGGGACCCATAGGATTTGTTTTGGGATGATGGAAGATGGATGGTTGATGGCTTTTCATGATTTGTTTCGCTATGAAATTCCATCTCTTGGAGGATCTGAAGTGTCCAGTGATGCACATGTGGCCCTTGGATCCAAGGGATCCATCTACCCGGGGACACAAACAGAACCTCATTGTAGGGGGACTGGGAGGATGCGGAGGGGAAATACCTCCACAGCCTATGCATAAGTAGTTTTTCTCAACTTGCTGAACTGTTGATCCCCGGTCACAAAGATCTTGTTGAATGGGACAATCAATTGGTAAGCCCACTTAATTCCAAGAAGGCAATTGAACTGAGCTTATAAAGAAATGAACCCAATATAAATTATATATAGATTATATATATATAAATATATAGATAAAGAATGATAGAGACATCAAATGGATACAATCCATCCATCAATGGCCACCCGTTTCTTCAATGCCCAGCCTCCCAGCCGTCCCCACCTCGCCACTCGCGTTGTTGGTCGCTGCAGATGACGCGGAGACGGAGATCAAACGCCAGGAGAAGCGCAGGGGGCTCTGAACGCACCCGGACCTGGGTCAAAGGTGGATTCAGGTGATGTCCAAATGCCACCAAATTCTACATGGGACATTTCCAACAGTGGGTTATAGTGGTGTGTTCTTAGAGGTTCCACCCCTTTAACCTGCTGATGAACATTTATGAAAAACCCTGGTCTTTGGAGAAAATATATCAAAATATCATGGTTGGTGAAGATTCCAACAATGATGGATAGCTACATGGAACTACATACCAGCCAGCTGGGTCGACGGGACTATTGCCCAAAACTAGGTGGATTGCTAAAGAACTGAGTGGGATGATTACGACCCCTATGTGGCAGGGTCCATCAGTGGCAGTACGCGGGAAAGAATTTTAAAGCTCAATCCCGTTTATAAATATGAGGGTCCATTACCGAAGCGAAACGACTCAGCTGAGACAAAAGTGAGCACACGCATCGCAACTTGGTAGCGGTGGCACTGCCAAACATGAAAGAAACCAGGGGCATGTAGCGAAACCCCAGCGTTTCTCGCATTCGCATATGTCCATACTAGAAAAAGAAACATTGAACATATTTGAAAATGATTGTGGTACCCACCAGAATTGCCCCCAGAATCAATGAACTTAAAACGATGCTAAAATAAACGGACTCACAGTGACTCACAACAAGTTTTTCTGTTTCTTGAAGGAGTTCAATGGTTGAATTACTATCAGTAATACTATCATGTGGTTTTTAGAAACTCTCAGTAGCTCCAAATGGCTCCCATGGCTCATGGCTCCTTGATGCTCCTTGAAGAAATCTTCTTCCGTTTGCCGATGGATAATCAAACTCGAAAAAAATTGATTGGGACATGAAACCATCCAAAAAAACCCTTACCCTCTGGTAGTCAAACATGGGCCTGGTGGAAAATCATCAATGGGTGGTTGTATTCCCATCTCCCCACTTTACTTTCCCAATCGAATCTCCATTTATGGACCCATGTTCCAATACCCACTAGTCATCAACCCAAAATCCTCCGCACTAATTATATAATATATAATATATATTCCCCATCTCTCACGTCCCACGTTCCACCGCTTAAAGATCGGTTCCCCTGCTGTTTGATAGTGGCTCGCATCGCCAGCCCTGCGAAGGGGTTGGGGGATGGCCTCAAAGGCCCAACGTCCAGTGCGAAGGCGGGGGAAAATCGGGTGACGAAGCATCAATCAATGGATTGGTTTAAGGGAAAATCTACAAGAAACCATTGTTTTTTCCCATCAAATATAGGGGGTTCCTGTAAATTTTCCCATCATCCAGTTCTATGAATCAAAAATGAGGCCGTATTTTTGCTATGAAACATGATGGATGTGTCTGAAAGTAGGAGATGCCAATAAACAATTGCAATATATGAATGTTAAGTTTCAGGATTTGTTCGCTGTGGTTGCTGTGAGAAGGAGGACCCCAGGAAAAAGCAACAATTTTGGGCCATGAATGTATCTCTGCCACTTCATTTCGAGTATAGTGATCCCACTCATGCTGGTCATCACAATCTAAATCTTGAACCTGATGTTGAGTATTGACTCCATTTCTTGGGATTTCATTTGGGGGAACACTTGTTGGGGAACCCCGGCTTTTAGTATTGAGGGTCAGCAACGTTGGACAACATGTGGACCGTAAACAAGCACAAGAGCCACGGAAACAAGATGTGTATATATATATACCCATAGGATCCATGGTGCTGGCATATATACTAACATAAAGGGGGTATATTGATGGGATCTATGTTACCATATATTGCAGCACCATGGATCCTATGGGATATATAACATTATATAACAAAATCATGTAGACGACATGCCACGTGAATGATCAAAGCGACCCTGGAACATGGCCCCTTGACACTGCAAAAAGTGAAGGTCAACACGCTGTGTCGAATGAATGGCCCTGCTCAGGCCCACCCCAGTTCCCAGTCTGAGCACCCCTTGCGGACTGGTGGAAATGTCAACAGTGGGTTTGGGAACTTGACTGATGTTCACCTGCTGGTGGCACAGGCGACAAGCAGCAAATGGAGTTTCGCTGATGCGGCCCAAAATCTTTTTACGCATCGAATGTCAGGCACCCCCTTCCAAAACGATTGACAGAGGTTTCTAGGTGAACTGGGCATTCTAGTTCATCATGTTCTTATAATATTTATATATATATAACTAACTATAACAGACCATATATAAAATTATACAGTTTTATATAACTATATAGAAAATTGCATTGTATTGCTTGAACATATACAACCCCCCACTAGAATGCCGAGGCGCCTGCACCACCAAGGAGGCACTGACGCCCCATCGGTTGGTGACCTGAGGTGAGGTACAACTGGGGGTATCATTCCACAAATGGAGTTCCAACTGACTTATAACTAGATTAACATAGATTAACTAGTAAAGGGCACTGTAGAAGCATTGAATACCATTGGGCCATTGAGTAGGCATCCAATAATCTTTGGATCTTTTGGCTCCCATCTGTCTGGATCCAAGTGCTCCGCCGACTCCTGGGGTCCCGGCCACTGCCTCAATATTCACAGACTGCCTGGGATCTTGGAATGGCAAGATAACATTCCCATGCTTTTCCCCTCCCAAAATTCTGGATACATATGGGGATGGGTCAAAACCCTGGTACCTAGTGAACCCCAAAATAGCTGGTAAATGGATGTTCATTCCACTAATAATGGTATTAGTAGGTATTGACCCATACCCATATATCTTATTAGAGTTTTGGCATATATGCAAATTATTATGATTATATAATTATGTATAATTTTCAAATATGTACCCACTTATCTAAATGATGTATACATATGTATACATATCATCAAATCATCATATCCACTTATTTACTACTCATATCATTATCATACTAATTTATCGAATCATCATATATCTAATCATCATATTACATATCTACTTATCTAATCATTATCTACCCCTATCTAATATATATATATACATATATTCTGGATATTTCACTAACCTGAATCTTGCGGCCATTTGGGGATGATTTCCCTAAGAAAACCATGATTTCAGGGTTCGGTCGCAGTGAGGTCGTTGTAATTTACACAGATATATATATATATATATCTAATTGGTGGTATACCTACCCCCCTGAAAAATATGATATAGTCAGATTGGATCATCATCTCAACTATTGGGGAATATAAAAAATGTTCCAAACCACCAACCATTATCAAGCATTATACATATTATTAATATTACCACCATTATATCAACCATATATATCACCATATATTGGTGCCATATATACCACCATTATCAACCATTAATGGTTTTTATCACTATCTCTTGTGTGTACAGCATTTTCATCCCCAAAGAAACCGTCCCAGTTCCCCAGCTTCCCTGCTGTGACTCTGGCAGCTCGGGGGGCCGCTCGGCGGCCTCCATCTGCAGCAGAGCGCTGGAGGCGTCCTGGAGGCCAACATGGATTCCATGATTATTGATAAGCAAATATAGTAACAATACTAACATAATATATGTACAATGTGAGGCCCCCAAGATATCTAAGTTGGCTTATAAATCCAATAACTATGGTTTATGGTACTTATAACTATAGTTACTGGGGCTTATAAACCAACTTATAACTGGGGGGCCTCACATTGTATATATGTGTGTTATATATAGTAAATATAGTGTAACAATAATAATACATAACAGTATATAACTGTAATGGTAACTATGAAAACTAAGCTTGTTGTTGTTACATCTAGTATACTATAATACTAAGATCATTGTAACATGGATGTATTCAATATAGTAACTATATATCATATATAATAATATATATATGTTATATTGTAGCAACTAAATATATATGTTATATTGTAGCAACTAAATAGTTGGATAGTTCCAAGTGATCTCAAATAGGACCCCAATTTATGTAAGATAAACAGTTGGAAATCTGGATGGGATGCCGTCCAGATTGGAAGCTTTGCTGATTTGCGATGCTTTTTTCTCCCTCAAACATCTTCAAATCAGGTTCGGGAAGGACGGGAAGCTCAGAACATCAAGAAACACACTCTAAAATAAAAGTCCATTAACTTTGTGGAGCCATGATGTGCAATGATCATTGCTTATTACCCTCTAGTAATTTAACTACGGCGATGGGAAATGTCCCTCTGATGATTTGCCTGTTGAAAATGGTGAAACTCTCAATAGCCATGTTAAATTACTGGAGGGTATGTCAAACGTGCCAGAAGGCTCAACTACTAGTTGTTGAGCCATGGCCGAGATCATTCCCGACATGTCATGCCATTCCTTGGCATCATTTTTTGACTTGTGCGAAAAAAGAACCCATACATTCTTGACTAGCGCAAGTTATATCACAATATTAAACCCCAATAAAGGAGCAAAATCCCCAAAACAATGCCCTCGAAAGCGAACATGTAGACCACCAGCACGAACACGCATGTTCCATTCCTTTTAGGACCTAGACCTGGGTTTACCCAAAGCATCATCCATCTGCTATCCAAATATTTACCATCTTGATTTATCTTGGTTTAAGAAATGACAGTTCTTAGTCAAACAATACAGCCCGTTCAATCAGAAGAGGTTGCAGAAAAACTCAAATCTTCTTGGCAATTCGCAGCCACCTCCAAAGCCAGCTCCATCAAGGTAGTGTTGCAGTAGCCATCCGGCTCAGCGCCCTGGTGGTGCAGGTGAAGGTGACGTTAACGGTGATGATAATGATATGAGCCACGGTCAAAATTTATTGCTTCCGTCAAGTGCGTCATCAAATTAGTGAGACCCCTATGGTTTTACAAGGTTTCCTGATTTACCTACGTTCAAGCATAATATTGAAGAGCGTCCACTACTTAATTACTATGATAATGAGATTGCCATTCTGAACATGTTACTGGTAATGATCCTTATCAGTATGAGTGTATAGCATCATGTCTATCCACTATGATGGGGCTATTCTAGTATTCGCATGTACTATCAGGTATTCATGGTGTTCATGATGTTCATGGTATTGCTGCCGCAGTTAATTGTCAACCTGCAGTTGATTGAAACCCCTGGTTTCAACAGAAATCATTGAATTTCATATGCAGTATTTATATATTTATATATTATATTCCATTGGCAAATTTTCTCCAGGAATGGAGCGTTCCAACCTTTGATAACTTTCCTCTGATGCATCAGTGCTGCCAGCGGGGGAATGCGGAAAACTATCCCCAACAAAAAGATAAGCCCTCAACAAACCCTCCGTCCATCTCCGTCGAAAATCCAGACATCTCTTGGCCTCATTCAGTCTCTAGATGCTGAGGTACGACTACTTCAACAAACTTCAACCATACTCCAACATACTCCAACTATATAATCAGGATGGAGAAGGAACCCCACACCCTGATACACCCTGTAGATGTTGCGGCGAATCTTCAACGATTCTTACCCAGCCTCTGGGGGATAGCAGTTGACACCACTCAGGCGCCAGGAGACGTTCGGCTGTCCCGCTGTGTAGCGGGAGGCCCTGGCGTGTCTCATCCATGGAATGGTTTAAGGAGTTTAAGGGAATATCTACGGCTGAACCGAGTTGAACCCCCTAAATTCATGAAATTTAGGGATTTCCTGTAGATGTTCCCTTCATCCTTCATCCAAGTCTTGGAATCATCACCTGGTCATGTCATAGACTGATAGAGTTATCACCCACTGGATGTAACTGGGATGATTGTCATCCAAAACCCACATGACATATTTCCGGTGAAAGGCGTCTGAAAGGTGTCTGAAAGTGGAACCCGGTGGCTACAATCCCATTCTTTCTATAGTAACCTGCCTGCATGGAACCTACAATAAACAAATCCAATGCAAAGGCATGATTTCTTGTGGGTATTTCTTGTTTGTGCCTGAAACTGCTAGTTGTTTTATTCATGTTTATTCTGGTTGCAGTAAGATCAGTAAGAGACACGGAGAGGAGACACCTCCTTTTTAGAGGTTACATGGACATGGCCCGGCATGGCCTACAAGGGTGTGTCTGAAAATAGTGTACCCCTTTTTACCCAATGGTTTTGCTGATCATTATCCCATATTATCCCTATTTTTTATGGCTATTTCATTGGGAATCTACCCAACATTTTCAGACAAACCCACAACATGTCTATAGAAACCCCATGACTTGGGACCGCTGCTTCCGTTAAACAGCCGGGCGCTGCGAGGCGTCCAGCTCCAGAGTGCTGCAGTAGTCCACCACGCGGGGGCCTGATACCTGAGATCCGAAGGGGTCACCATGACGGCAGCCCCGAAGAGAACAACCTGGGCATCCCGGCCACCGGCTCCGGAGCACGTGCCTGCCCCGAAATCCGAGAGGACTTGGTGGATCCAAACGTGTTCTTCAAAGATGTTGTGAAAAATGGGTAAAATGATGACAAGCTGATAAACCATTGAAGATTTTATTGGGATTTTCCGGGTTTCCCTTATATGAAATAATGTAGTATTAATAATGGTATTACTAACTATTATTTATGATGGTATGCCAATAGGATTTTTGGTTTTTTCCCCTAATAAAAGTTTTAGACAAACTCAAGTACATCATGGACATCTCACCCGGGCTAAGCCAAGCTATCACTGTGGCAATTGGATTCCCATGGTTTCCCTTGATATCTGAAGCGTATACACGTGGATGTCTGGCCATGCCTGTGACTGCGGTGGAACCAAATATACTGCTCCACCTCGGCGGCAGGGCTAGCTCCAACAACACCAAATGCCATGAACTTACCATGACTGGGGATGGTTGAAATCGCAACCATAAACATCGTGTTTTAGTTGATAGTCGGGATAGTCGTATATTTTTTTGGGTCTGTGGAGGTGAAGTTACCAAAAAATAAATGCTTCAGAAGGATGTTGACAGTGAATTGATACCTGAAGCGTCCTTGTACCACATCTTGACGGTACAAATTGAGGGCTGTTCCGAAGTTCGGGATGTTTTTTTCTGACATCTACAAATCATCATCCGTCTACATCAGTACATCTATTCATATTATTCGACCTTTGTCAATGTGCCTTCCGCTGCGTTCACAACAGAACCACCCACCAAAACCTTCACCTTGCGACCGCCACTGGCCCATAGTGTTGCCCCACTCGCGGGAGGCGAATACTTTCCCACCGCGTAGGCGAAGATCACCCCCGAACCTCATTTTCCACAGCACTTCTCGGTGGACAACGAAACTCAGCAGATTGCATCAGCTGCACATCTCAATGAACTCAGGCAATCTTGGGCATCATTTTTTTCTCGCTGCAAAGAAAAGACCTCTCTGATTCAACTCTAAGATATACCGTGTTGCACCGCGCGGCGTCTCAGGATCTATATATGGTTTGGGGCAGCCAATCCTGGCCAAGTTTGACTTAGAAGCTGCCACCCTGCATCAGGAAAGGGAGCTTGGCACAAAAAAGAAGTTGAAAATACTTGGAACATCTTATCTGGGGGGAGAAAAAGAGAGGCAACAGTAGTGTACAAAGAAGCATCCCCGCCTTGTAGCCTATTCAGATACATACAATCATTTGGTCCTAAAGTATCCTAAAGTTGAAGCTGATAATGGATCAAAGATGATCAAAGCGTGATAGTGACTGCAAAGTGATCATGACATGATCACTTTACAACGTTTGCTCCTCCGCTGTCGGTTGCTGTCGGTTGCAGTGGTTGCGTTGCAGCATGGTGAGCTTTGTCACCGCGGCACAACAGCCGCCAGCTGTCCTGGCTGGAAGATCCCCCCAGCTAATGGAGGGTAACGTAGCTGGGGAAATCATCTTTTTTTTTTGGGAATTGTCCAGCTTGCCACGTTTGATTGCCGGGTAAGTAACGTGGAAACCGGGCAAGTCTAAGATATTCTAAGGGTTTAAGACACCTGTTTAAGGGGAAATGGTGTTCAATACCCCTCATCTTCATCCATTCCACCTTTCACCCGGCTGACTTCCACCAAAACAGTGGCTCCTCAACCTTTCTTTCCTCCTTTTCCTCCTTTTCCTTTTGCTCCTTTTGCTCCTTTTCCACCTTTTTCATCTTTTCCACCCTTGGATCCTTTGGCAAATCCAGCACCTCGTGGCCAACGCTAGGGATTGGTGATGTGCGTAAGGCCGCTATCAAATTCATCTGTTTATCATGTTGCAGCATTGCAGGTGCCAAAACAATCCCCCCAAAAAAAGCTGTGAGCAATGCCGAAAAATCCGAAAAGCCTTCATCCATCCACTGGAGTTCTATGAATTCCCATCAATTCCAGGTAGGACCCATGCAGCTAGTCTGTCGGCCAGTCTCACTCGGCCTGGCCATGAGCCTTTGGAGAACTTCATTCGCTTGGCCGAATGGTCCTCCCATTCGGACCACTCACGTTTCTGGCCTGCCGAGTGAAGCAATGCCATGTTTTCAGATGTGGATTTCTATGGGGGTTACTCTAAGGTTAAGGTTACTCCCATTAGGAATCCAAAATTAGATCATGAAAGCCATGGTGTTCTCTCTCTCTCTCTCTCTCTGGGCCCACCATCCCGTGGGAGGACCATAAAAAAACCCACTGAAACCACATGATAAAAGCTCCAAAATTTTCTGCTGGTATCTGGTATCAGCTCATATGTAGTTGGCAGTTGATCTAAATTCCTTTATCTGCAAACGGCCATTCTTCGCGAATGAAACATGTTACTTTTGCGAATCTTTTCGCGAATCTTTCGCACACCCCAGGTTTATCTTTCGCGGGGCTCATGCTAAAATCGTTCGCTAATTTTTTTGCCCAAGAAAGACTACTTTCGTGAACTCAGATAAAAACTTTCGCGGGGTCTCATGTTACCCTGGCGGCCTTTAATGGACAATCTCTACACATGGACATTTAAATTGACAATTCCATATTGGGTCTCCGGCAAAGGTGCACCTAAATTGCGAGAATTGACAGCTGCAAACAGCCTTCCACACCTGGTTTACATAAGAAGATCCAATTAGTATTGGATAGCTGGAGCTCCAGCTAAGCATATTTCTTCGTAGATTACTCCAGTGACTTGCGACTTGTGAGATGTAACCTGTCGATTTCAATATATTTCAATGACCTGTCAGGCTTTGGAAGCATGCACAAGGAAATGAAAAAACATCAATCAACCCACATGCTCTGCTGCTGCAGCATGCTCCCGCTGTAAAATAAGGAACACCATTCTTGGAGCCGATACCGCGCTTCATGCTGAGGAATACCCACTATAGATATGCTATGATATACTTCTTACAATAATATTTCTCAAAACCCCCAATCCCTTGCCGCTAGAATGAAACACTCCACAGATCACATGTTTTCTCATGCTTCATATCTGGGACATTCTGAATGCTGCAAGATATGAAGATGGGACTTAGGATATTTAGGACCATTGAGCATTACCCTCTGGTGATTTAACATTGCTATTGAAAATAGCCCTAATCGAAATAGATGGTTTACCTAGCTATAAAATGGTGGATCTTTCCATGGCTATGTTAGTCATAACCAGATGGTAATTAGTGAAGCCATCCCGCCCTTGCTAAACCCATCCCGCCTGTGCCCTGCAGGCCCTGCAGGTCCTCCTTCCGCATGAAGAAGCGGTTGAGGCGACTGATGTTCTCCTGCCGGGCGGCTTGGTCGTCAATCCCAATGATGAAAGAAATGGCTATTTAACATGATAACTGGATAACTGTAATTTGACTCTGGTTGGTTGATATTGGTGAATCGATGTGAATCGATGTGAATCGATGGCTGTCATTTCATGATGCTGCCTTCAGATGGATTGAAGAAGCGATGGATTTCTTGACAGAGCGATGTTCCTCCTATTGCCCTCAGCTCCCAGATCTCCCCCTTCCGATCAAAAATCACTGGCCGAGCGGCACTGAACTTTGTGAACTTGGAATGAAACCTGTGACCAGTGGGCCACACGTGAGAGATGCCAAGATATGCCAAGACTCTCATGGATATCACCGGTTTATATCTGGTCTGGTCGCAAGATCCGATGAGATAATAATGTGAGTAGCTCATAGATCTTCATACTGGTTGGTGGTTTCAACCCCTCTGAAAAATATGAGTTCGTCAATGGGAAGGATGATCCCATGTATGAAATGGAAAATAGAAAATGTTTGTGAAACCACCAACCAGTCATAGTATTTCAGTACATGTCATCATTTTTTGTTTAGTCAGTGAGTTTACTGAGAAGGTCTGACTATCGTATAGCGTGATTTTTAGCACCATCTTTTAAGACATCCGCCGGGCTTTTTGACGACTCTTCAGGTGAATGGGCACTCCGGGATTCCAAGACCATTGAAATGACCTTCAAACATCTAAAAGTAACACCGGCAACATCTCCCAACATCCCCCTCCGACTGGGTCCAAACAATTTGAGCCGCTCAAACTTAATAGATATAGTACATATATATATGTATATATATATATATTTTTTTATTTATATTTATTTATTATATATAATATATAGTTAAACGAGGTATACCCAACAATCGTGTTTTCCCCACTTATCCCAAATATTGGCTTTACTTCACTATAATTATAATTACGTATATTCAGTAGGCTTCAAACCACTTCCTTCTCCATGGCATCGGCGATAAAGGTTCGTCTAGGGCACAAATCCAAATTCTGCGCCGTAACTTCAGATTTCTCCAAGAGCCCGTCTGCAATCTGTGCCACCTGCGAGCAGGTCAGGAGCCACGAGAGGGAAATGTTCACGGCGCGGCCCGCCGTTACCAAAATTGTTTTGAGGTTCAACAGGGGACTGGTTGGCTTGAGATGGTCCTTTCACACATCAAAACTGTATACCTAGATGATGTGGTGTTCATTTTCAATTAATGCTTTAGTACATTGAGGCGCTGCCTGCTTCTCCATGAACGCACGGATAGGAGGTCGGCATAGCCTTGGCAGTTTCAAGACTTTGGAACATCAAACAATGCTCATCATCAAGCCATTCAATGCTACAAAATCCAGTGAACTGTGTCCAAACATTTGCTCCCTGGAGAACAACGTAACAACTGAAACAGGCAACCCTCCGAAACTTTGCCAAACAAACGGCAAATTACAGCTTGTGATTTAGCCTGGGGTTACATGCATTCGCAAAGCCATTTTTTCTTATGGGCCTTGTTCCATGATCCGGGAATGGTGCCCCTATCCCCATATCATCGTCGTACGAGTATATTTCACAGGTGGTTGCTGCCGCCAGAAGACTGTGGATCCAGTTCCTCGAAAGCGGCCAGCAAACTCAGACCCATGGGCGTTGGGACCATATGCCTGGCTGGCTGGCCGGGAGATCCCGGCGAAATGGGGGTTTTAATGGGAAAATCATCCTGAAAATTGGTGATTATCCAATGCCACGTTTGAGTACCGCAGGGTACCACATTGCCTTCCTGCGTGTCATGTTTATACATCTGATTTATCTTTTGTCAATGTCAAGGAATGTGATAGGGGTAGCAAGGTCAAAACATATCCTCTTAGTGCTAAACATTTCTGGCTGGATTTTGGATGGCATGCCACACATGCTCTCATCTCTGTGTATGGTATGTTTACAGGGGATTGGTATTGTCCAGGACGGGTTTTTCCCATGGTTTTCCTATCTTTTACAGCGGATTTCTTACCAGTAGTACCGCGCAAGGCGATGGCGGAAGTTTTAGAATAGGAAACCTATAGGAGACGTTGGTTGTTGTGAATCACGGATGGCAGAGCGAATCCACTGATTGACCGAAAGGTGGTTGGAGTTGTGTTTGCTGGAGTGGTTGCAATGGTTGCAGTGGTCACCTCACCCACAACTGCTGGATGTAGTGTGATGTACTACAACTGTAGTTGTAGTTGTAGCGTAGTGGAGTTGTAGTTGTGGTGTAATGTAATTAGTGTAGTGTAGTTGCAGTCATATAGTTGTAGCTGTAGTTGTTTTGTAGTTGTAGTTGTTGTGTAGTTGTAGTTGTTGTGTGGTTGTAGTTGTTGTGTAGTGTAGTTGTTGTTGTAGTTAGTTGTAGTTGTAGTAGAGGGTGGTTGGTGTTGTGTGTGGTAGTGTGTGTTGGGTTGTTGTGGTTGTGGTGTTGTTGTTGTGTGTTGCTGTTGCTGTTGCTGTTGCTGTTGTCGTCGAAGTTAGGGTAGTTAAGTTAGTGAAGTTAGTTAAGTTAGTCAAGTTAGTTAAGTTAATCAGTGTCTACTTTTTCGACATCTTAACGTCAAAAAAGGCTCAAAACCCTCAGTTTTTTACGCTTTTGACTTCGAAATGTGCTTCGCGCCACAACGGCGTGCACTTTTTCGACAACATCCGAACCTCCAAAAGTGGTCCGAGACCGTGTGTTTTTAACATTTTGACTTCAAAATGTGCTTCGCGCCACAACGGCGTGCACTTTTTCGACATCTCAACTTCCAAAAGTGGTCCGACCATGGTGTGTTTTGTGCATTTTGACTTCGAAATGTGCTTCGCGCCACAACGGCGTGCACTTTTTCGACATCTCAACTTCCAAAAGTGGTCCGAACCTGGTGTGTTTTGTACACTTTGACTTCGAAATGTGCTTCGCGCCACAACGGCGTGCACTTTTTCGGCATTGCAACTTCCAAAAGTGGTCCGGAGCTGAGGTGTTTTGTACATTTTGACTTGGAAATGTGCTTCGCGCCACAACGGCGTGCAAATTTTCATCTCTCATCTGGCCAGCTGGCTCCGCACCCGCCGCTTTAGCGAGCCTACTTTTCGACTCTCCGGAGCCACAAATCATTGGAAAAAACACAGTGTTTCGCGACTTTCCTACCTTTTCGCGCATCTGCATCTTCTTTCTTCTGACTCTTTCTCTTCTGATCTTCTCTCTTCTGATCTTTTCTCTTCTGACTCTTCCCACCTCTGCTTTTCAACTGTCCATATTGTCGGAAGTTTCACTTCTAAACTTCCTTCGATTATTTATAGGACGGAATAGCAGGGTAAATGTTAGTGAATGCACCATGGATCTGGTAAATGTTAGATCATCCAACAATGGGACCCATGACTGGGGATTGTAATGATGGATTATCATCTGGGGATACTCCGTAATCCACTGGGGATATCTGGGGATATGATTCTATCATCCGAGCTATCGCAGCTGGGATGGTGATGACTCTGATGACCGAACTTCCTCCATGAAGTCCCAACGGTGCACTGTCCACCAAGCACCGCTTGGAAGAATTCACCAAAGGTTACCCAGCCGCCTTTCAATGGGCTTTGGGGTAGATGTTTCTTCTACAGTTCTACTGGGCAACTTTTCCGAATTGGGGGAGTCACTTTGGGGGGGGCTATCCCGTTCTATCCCCATTATGGATCATCATGGTTGGTTTTTATGCCCTGATTTTTGCTGGTTGAACCATCAATTGCCATGGATAGGGTTGGTTGAATCCAATTGTGTAAACCCTCCAGTGACTATTCAGAAACTCATGGATTTCCATAGCAAACTGTTGGAGTTCACGATTTCAATTATCTCACTTCCTGATGTTTGGTAAGTAAAACCCTGTCACTTGGCTTCACAAATCACTATTGGATTGACAGGGATGGTGCTCTCACTCAAGCAGTGAGGAAAAAACACTATGGGACACAGTGGGAAACAAACAAGGAACACAGGCCATGCACCTGCCAGGTCAAAAGCAGTGCCGTACAAGCGGTGCTGCAGCCATGCAAACTCCAACAGTACAGTTTGCCGATATATCAAATATTCCCACAATTTCCCAAAATTTTCCATGAAAAACCACCCTAGTTTCTTTGCTCAAAAAGGCAGCCGCGTGGCCGGCAGATCACGGCCCACCTCGAGGCTGGCCGTCCATCTTCGCCTTTCACCATCTTGCCTTTGCCCTTCCCTGGCGCCGTTAAGAGCATCCCGGATTTTGGTGGTGAATCTTCAGCCTAAAGTGCGTATAAGCATTATGGTTCTAACATGTTCGGTGCAACCCTGATGTTGTTCCGCGCCTAAATCGTGGAAAGGTTGCAATTTTTTGAAGTTCGCCAAAAGTGGAATGTCGAATTGCACACCATTCATCATCATCATCATCATCATCATGAACATAATCACGAACACAATCAGAATAAGGTACGTTCATCATCATCATCATCATCATCATCATGAAGATAAAGTTGATGCTATCATCCCATTCAAGATATTGTTGGGAGGGGGTGGCAAGTTTTGATCCCTCATGAAGATAAAGTTGATGTTATTACCCCAACCAAAATATTGTGCAGAGGAGGTGGCGGATTGTGATCCCTCACGAAGATAAAGTTGTGGTTATTACATGTTATTACCCCATTCAAAATATTGGTCAGAGGGGGAGGCGAATTGTGATCCCGCATGAAGATAAAGTTGATGCCATTACCTCATTCAACATACTGTTCAGTGGGGGTGACGAATTTAGATCTCGCATGAAGATAAAGTTGATGGTTTTGCCGTTTTGCCCCAACCAACATATTGTTCAGAGGGGGTGGCGCATTTTGATCCCTCATGAAAAGTTGATGTTATTGCCGAAACCAACATATTGTTCATAGTGGGTGGCAATTTTGATCCCTCGTGAAGATATAATTGATGTTCTCACCCCAACCAACATATTGTTCAGAGGGTGTGGCGAACTTTGCTCCCTCATGAATATAAAGCTGATGTTTTACCCCAACCAACATGTTGTTCAGAGGGGGTGGCGAATTTTGATCCCTCATGAAGATAAAGTTGATGTTATTACCCCAACTAAAATATTGTGCAGAGGAGGTGGCGGATTTTGATCCCTCATGAGGATAAAGTTGTGGTTATTACCCCATTCAACATAATGGTCAGAGGGGGAGGCGAATTGTGATCCCTCATGAAGAGAAAATTCATGCCATTACCCCAACCAACACATTGTTCATAGGGGGTGGCGAATCTTGATCCCTCATGAAAATAAAACTGATGGTTTTACCCCAACCAACATATTGTTCAGAGGAGGTGGCGAATTTTGATCGTTCATGAAGATAAAGTTGATGTTGTTACCCCCAGTCAAAATATTGTTCAGAGGGGGTGGTGAATTTTAATGTGATGATGATCATGAGGTGATGTGATGATGATGATGATGATGATCATGATCATGATCATGATCATGATGATGATCATGATGATCATGATGATCATGATGATCATGATGATCATGATGATCATGATGATCATGATGATCATGATGATCATGATCATGACGGTTGTAAGTGTGGAGCAACGTCCGGGTTGGGCGGATCATGCTTTAACACCGTACATGTCATATATGTTGGTATAACATTGAAGTGCCACCAAGGTTTGGCTTGCTTGCATTCTACATGCCAGTTGAATCGGTGATGAGGGCGACATTGATCATATTTTCTTCGCATTTCGCGGCCATGACTGTCGAAAGATCAATATCTAGTGAATTACCCTCCGGTAAACTAACATAACTATGGAAAATTGCCATTTATAGTTGACTTTCCCATTAAAAATGGGTATTTTCATATAGCTATGTTAAATTACCGGAGGGTATCACATTGTGCCTTGGAACGCTTTTTTGTGCTGACAATGATGGATGTTGTAACACCAATGTGGTGGATCCGGCAGGGGGAAAGCTTCGATTCATCCATATTCATCCGTGAAATAGCGCTACAGCAACACACCAATTGTCAAATGGTGCTATGCAAAGTATGCTCACCTAGACATGGGATTCATGCTGTTGCTTCTAGCGAATCCCCACTGCTTCGACTAATATTTGATTTATTTTTTCACAGTAATTCAATAGTTCGGGTGTCCTAAAATATAAATAAATAGAACCCCAAATATCCCCAAATCATCGAAAATTGGACCATGACTTACTAAACCTATGGTGACTTGGGCCCCCCATCCATCGATTTCTCACCTTTTCGACCTTTTCCTCTGCCTTTGGAGATCACCTAAGTCGCTGTCGGCAGCGTTGCGCCTCTCCCCGTTATCAAATGAATAGCCTCTGGTTGAAGGCATATAACTATGGAAATCACTATTGTTCATAGGTAAATCAACATTCAGCAAATCATCGATACCTATGGGTTTTTGGCTAAGTGTCAAAGTGTTACTAGTTGTTGAAACTCAAAACTGATGGTATTGTGATCTATGGTTGATGTTTCCAAGTGTCGGATGACAAGAATGGACATCTGAAATCATCCAAGGCCACATTCCCACATGAATCTACCTGAAAAATGGAAAAATGCCAATCTAATGATGATATGCACTGCACCGGCTTGCTACATCTTGAGGATACCCTGCAAGAAATGCCAAAAAAAAGCTCGCGTGAGATCTTAAATGCCCTAAGCTCTGGGAATTTAACACGTTGTTATGGAAAAAACACAGTTTATACATCATGGAATTTCATCATATCTACTATCATGGAACTAAATGGGCCATGGCTTTTACCGGAGGGCAATCCATTTTCCATATGTTCATCCTTGTAAAGTTTAGCAAATCACCATCTTTGTTGCTTACCTTCCTGTAAATTAGGTGTGCGAAACCCACCATCAGCACCCACGGAAACCATGGCTTTTCCACAGCTAGCTGCTAGTTTACCCAATCGGAGATCTCCAGGATCCAACAAATGGAGCTACGTCAACGTACCATATTTCTGGCCATATGTTGGGGCTATATCTGAAATTTAGGCCTCAAAAATGGGCCATATATATGGAATCGGTACCCTCTGGTAAACTAACGCAACTATGGAAAATCATCATTTTTTATGGGAAAACTCACTATAAATGGCAATTTTCAATAGCTATGTTAGTCATTACCAGAGGGTACCTCCAATGAATCGGTCGATTTACCCCGTAGCCATAGCCGGCCTCCCCCCTCTGTCCATCACCGCCAGGTCCGCAGATCATGACGTAGTGCCGGTCCACCACATTCCTAGGGGCGCGCCAGAAAGGTCGACCGAGATCAGCAAAAGCTGAAAGTTAGTGACGAACAATTAATTGTGGGCATACCATCTTTAATATAATGGCATATTTAATATAATATCATCTTTAATATAATGGCTGGTGGTATTAAAGCTGAAATTCTGGTATATCATCTTTAGTATACTGTCGTTTTTCAATGTATGTCATGTCTGGTTGGTGGTTTCAATCCCTCTGAAAAATATTAGCCGGTTGGTGTTACAGTACTATTCCCAACATATGGAAAAATAAAAAATGTTCCAAACCACCAACCGGCATGTTCTATGTATGCATGCATAGAGTGAGAGAGGGATGTGCATTTCATCGGTAATTGCATCTTGAAGCAAATAACCATACAAACCACTAATCCAGGTGTTCAATGCCAGAATTGCCAGTAGTAATGTGGCAAACCCAATGATCAACCATCCCTCAATATCACCATACACGGATATAAATGGGTCAACATCCCAAATGGATCCAAATGGTAGCTTTGTTGCACTGGGTGAATCCCACCAAAGACAGCCAGGTCGCTGCACGTGTTGCGGGATGGAGGCGTCCGTTCCGATGCCGTTCTTGTCCATCAGGGCTACGAGCTCGCTTTCCTTCCTCGAAACGCCGCTGCGGCGGTTTTTTCATGGGAAAACATGGAAAATTCCACGAGGAAATGGAGCTTCGAATGGGAAAATCATAGGAAATTAATGCCAAAGATGGGAAAGTTGTTCTATAAATAGGAGGTTCAAAATTGTTTTAATAATATGGACTGTTATATATATATATCCAGAAATGGAGGATCTTCTGGCCATGTTTGATTACCGGAGGGTGCTGAGATCTGGAGTGACTGTAATAGCTCCAAGAGTTGGCCACAAATCAGTAAACATCTCAGATGTTGAGTGCCATACCATGCCATACCTATCATTGTCTATATATAATCCATACAGAGAAAACTGAAAAGGTGTAAAGTCTGGACATGTTTTTGTTTATGTACTTGGTGACGCCTCAAAATGATGTTTCGCTCAAACTTGGATGATTTGAATCATTCCCGAACTCCTGGTCTCGAAAAAAATTACCCCATGGGCCAAGCTTCAGATAGTCCGGTGGTTTCGTCGTATCGCGCGTTAGGGTCACCTCATCCACTTTGAACCTGGGTCGTTGCCAGCTGGTGAAAGCCCAAAAGTTGGGACGCGAAGACCGGCTTCAAATCGTTGAACCATGTTGAACCTATAGTTATATGGAAGAATTATGGAATAAAAAAATGAAATGTTCATGTATTTTCCTGTTGTTTGATTTATATATTTGCACATTTCGATAAGCTTTTTCGGGAAACAGGCTCAATTCATCAGCAAGAATTGCACATCCTGCTGTCCTCAGTTCATCTTCCCGCGGGTTTGGTCCATCAACAAGAAACTGCTGCCCTTGTGCCATCTCCGGCATGTCCCAGTCAATCTCCTCAAGCTTCCTTAGGCATGCAATGGAGATGGTTTGACATCTGGAGATGCCTTTGATTCTTCCAGAGTCAAATGAAGTTTGAGGCTTCATTTCCAAGGTCTAACCATGTCTAACCACTAAGGACTGAGCCATGTGAACCATTCGAACAAATTTCCCATAGACTTTCCCATGGATTTTCCCATGATCAAACACTGAATCATTGCAGCATTGAAGTCACAGCTCGAATTGATCGAATTTTCTGGAGGATTCACGGATTCCATGACGTCGGCAGTTACACGACGTCCGTCATGATTTGATGACCAAAAACATGGAATCAACCTCCGACCATAGGAATACCATAGTAATACCATAGCAAGTTGAAAATCATCCCAAAAAAAGTTGAAAAAGACAGTTCTCCATCTGAGGAAACATGTAACATCATTGTAACATCATGTAACCTCTGGTAAACTAACATAGCTATCGAAAATTGCCATTTATAGTGGATTTTCCCATTAAAAATGGTGATTTTTCATAGTTATGTTAAATTACCAGAGGGTAACATCTGCAGGTCAACTGATGATTCCTCCATAGCTCGGCGAGGCGCAGGTCCCGGGGTTTCCATGGCGTGGCGTAGAAGAAGCCGCGCTCCACCACATGGTGATAGGTGTAGGCCTCGGCGCATCGCCGAAAACATGTTTCTCCAACTGAGAAAATCTATCGATCTCGATAAGGCATATGTGTATATATAGTGATTTTTATGCATACAAATCTAACTTGAATATGTGTATATATAATTATATATATATATGTGTGTGTGTAATTACATAAGATACACATGTAGAATTAGCATTTATGCCCGTGAATTTACCATAATTTACCTATTGAAAGTTCTTTCAGGGGCGAGTTTCCACGACTGTCACTTCCATCACTTCCGGTCACCCCCAAGCACGACTGCCCAGCAGCAAACTGCTCTCCAGCCACGTCAAAAACCTCAAGTGGCGAGCCAAACATGGCGAAGCTATGGCAGAAATTGACGATGAAAATGATGCTTGACCCAGCTATGAAATAACTAAATTCCAGTTCGCAAACCATTAAATGACCAGTTTGGGTACCATTCCATATCATGCATTTTTTGGGACAAATGTTCAATATGTCACCTAATATCCTATTAGTATGGTCTAGCAGTTAATTACTAATACTTAATAGCAATAGACTCCTTGAAAAAAAAAACGAAGTGGGCTATGATTGGGTTTTTCACGTCAGAAGGGTTGCAAAGGCTCCTGGGTGAACAACTTGGGGCTGCCAAAGGACATAACTGACCTCATCGTAGGCTGCATCTTCCATCAGCGATGCGATGAAATGCCCTTGGATCACCGAATATCACCGGATAGACTGTAAAAATCAATGAGAATCAGAAGGCATAGAAGACAATTTCAGGAATCTCAGCCCGAGAAATTGGTTTAATAATGGTTAATAGATGTTAATTAATATGTTAATATGGTTTAATGATGTTTAATGGAAAATTTACAGGAGAATCTCCGAGCTTCCGACGGGATTCATTGGTTGATGCTGCTGGTCATTATCATATAAAAAATGCTCATCCATCCCACACTGGAAAGCCTTATTAAATATGGATACCCGGCCTGGTAAACGTTTACATAACGAACTGGAAAGATCCACCATGCTATCAATGGGTAAATCCACTATAAATGTGCCATGTTCAATAGCTCGGTTAAATTACCGGAGGGTATATATACATATATATATATATACGTATTAATATATATAATATATATCCCTAGTAATCCATTGATTCTTCCCATCACCCAGGGACTGGGCCAAGTGTCTGGTAACATATTCATAGAGTTTCCATTCTTTGCCCTTGTTGAACTCCTCCTGCCAATGCATTTTCAGAAGGCTCTCAGCTTACACCAGCCATCACCATCAGAATCTTCAACCAGTTTCACGGCCTTTCATTCATCAAAAATGGCAATGCAAACTCTCCATGTTCAGATCATGAACAGAATCCTCTGCAAGAGTGCAACCTAATAAAATATATCTCCAGTGCCAAGATTCATTACTCAAGTGCATGGTATTCAAAATAAATAGCATAAATATAAATAAAAATCTGGTCATCCACCCCCCCATAACCAATCCTACCCATCCCCTTTAGCATCCGCAACCAACCAATTCCCAGCCTTGTGGGCAGCCCTGATTGGCGTGATGGGCGGATGATCGCCTTTATCGGTGCCCGAGGCCGGTGCTCGCAGCTGTCGGTTGGACAAGATCATTTGCACCGTTCTTCCTGGGAAGGTCAAAAGGACACAGGCTGGTGCCCCAGTGGTCTCTCAGTTGTGTTTGTTGGGTTTAAAAAAAAAAACATCAAACCGTGACATGCAGCTACTATAAACCCTAGTTAAATATGGTTAAACTACTTGTTAAACCAACTTGGCTAAGTAGGGGGGCATCACGTTGGTTTGGAGATGTTTTGCCGAATTCCAGGGGCTGCCTCTTTCGCTTGGCATTGGAAAATCATGAGATCATCAGCTTGAACAATAGGAACATGGACATGTTCATTGACCGGACAGCATTGATCCTGGCAATATTCTTGCTCCCAACATCAGCCCTTCGAAGCAGAAGTTTGCACGCTGGTCCATCAAAACATCAGCAACTCCAAGCGCGCTTTGTCCTCACATCCCCACGAGGAGGAAACCTGCAAAATATCCAAATTTAGCCCCAACCTTCACCCTCTGCCAATCAAAACACCAACACAACCATAGAAAGTCCCTTTGTCTGCATCGTTTTTCATAGTATCACCATATAATCTATCTATGTATCCCTTCATCATCTGAAAATCTTCTCCCCAGAAACCGCATCTGACCACCAGAACCTTCCACAGCAAGGTGCCCCACATGGGGTGTGCAGCTTGCTCCCTCAGCGCTGCTGCCAGGTCAAAGGTCTGCGAATACCTGGTGGTTTCCTCAGCGTCAACGGTGATCCCTGGTGATCCACTCGGCAGCAACCGCATGACTTCAGATTCGATCGGCAGTTTTGGGCTGCAATAGCGAAAAAAAATTGGGGGTTGGTCAAGAATTGAACACCCAACAAGCCAAAATAAGCCAAAATGGCTGATCATAGTAAACTATCAACCTTTTGAATATAGCGCGTGATCAATTTTTAATCCATAATGTCACCCACCTACCCAACAGTGACTTCATCTGATACTGAAATGTTGCCTAATCAAACAGGGTTGACATTCGATGCATTCACCATCAGAAAAATAGCATCATTTACTTTGGGGTAGGTTACCCTCTGGTAATTTAACATAGCTATAGAAAATCACAATTTTTAATGGGAAAATCCACTATAAATGACCATTTTCCATAGTTATGTTAGTTTACCAGAGGGTATGTCCAACTCCCCATTCGCTGCTCCAAATCCATTCCCCATGTACGGCGCCATCCTCGCCCCGCCGAGACGCCGTGCGCGGATAAGAGATGTAGCCAGCGGAGTACAAGCCTTCAGCCACTCCTTGGATGGCTCAACATCCTCCTGGTTCCAAGTCCAAACAATGTGCTTCTAGATGCTCAAACAAAGGGGTTCGGCATATGAACATTCAATATTTAATATATTTGCTTATATTTGCTTACATTTGCTTGTACAAATAAAGATCATGAATAATGATTAAGGATTTCTCATGGATTTCTCATGGATTTCTCATGGATTTCTCCTCGGAAAATAAGCCACGTTGTTGCTGGAACAACCCAGGGTTGTTCCACCCATCTCCGGCGAAGTCTCTCATGGTCTCTGCCGGGGACATCCCCAGTCGACTGCTGCAGGCTTTCAGCATCTGCACCGTGTTGAGGCCTACGGGGCGTCTCGCCTGCTTCCTGGTGTCAGCTGCTGCAGGCTTTCGCACTGAAAAAACTGGGTAGCCTCTGGTAATGACTGACACTTTGCAAACTGGAAAATGGCCATAGAAATAGTTGATTTACCCATTGAACATATTAAAAATGATGATTTTACATAGTTATGTTAGTTTATCAGAGGGTAAGTCACATGGAATCAGCACCTTTTGGTTTTTGACCGATTTTTTACAAAAGGAACCACCATCGAACACCTCGTCTTTTGCGGGGCCAAAAGGGAAGTATCAGTGGGCTTGGGCGACTCCAGCCAAGGAATACATCTCACCCTCGCAAGAAGAGCTGATCAACCTCTACCAAGGACTACCACCATTTTCCTCCACCATTACCTCCACCCCCACACCCCGACTTCTAGGCTGCGAATGTCTCTTGGTAAACAAGGGCTTGCGGATGGAATCTCTCCCACTTTCAACTGCAATAGCCAAGGAATTTTGCAAGCCATTTATCATATACCCCAATACTACATATATATATATATATTATTATATTATTAAATATGGAAAGCCCTGGTTTGTATATATATATATATTATATTATAAATATGGAAAGTCCTGGTTTAGTACTGGATCAATTTGGATCACGCTGAAACCTGGAGGCTGCTCTGTGAAAAACCGTCCTTGTGGAATCGATCCTCAAAAAAGTCGCCTTAGACCCACAGAGAAGCTGAAAAATGAACCAATTGGGGTTTGTTCACTGAAAAAATCCTTGCATATCTATATATATATATCATATCACTGCCAACCCCCCTGCCAAAAAAAAAACAAAAACACTTTTTGGGTGGTTTTGAATCCTACTGAAAAATAAGTGCAGGGATGATGGAAAGTCGCCTTACATTTCAATCGATGTGTTTTTTGCCGGGTGCAATCATATTCACCACCAACCAAAGCCGTTATGGCAGGATGCAGTTTACATGCTGGGACTGGGTTTCAGAGAGGCCACAACAATGCAAGAAAACATACACGTTTAATCACGTTTATTGTATTTAAAGGGGCCACACATATGTGGCCATACGTGACCTTGATGTTCAATGTATGGATGCAACCAGCAACCCTGCAGGTTTCTGAGAGGAGCCCTCCTCTCAAGACACCAACAAGAGCAACCAAGCCAGGTATCCAGATTGTCATGTTCCGGAAATCCCCAGGGATCCCAAACTGATATGCTTTCCCCGAGCCACCCAACCGGGCCCCAAAAATCTGACCCAAAGCATTTTGAGCCCAGGAACCGTGCCTGCTGCCTGGCGGGATGGCCAAGTCCCTCATCCCTCTGTGTAGATGGTGAAACGAACCAAAATTGAAAGCCAGAGAACCACAACTGTGGGTCATGAAAGCTTTTCAGCCTTCCAAAATCCAGACCAAGATCTTTAAGACGTTTTCTCACTAGAAGCTGTGTCAAGGAAAATCTCAACCAGAAAACATGGATGTACCTACCAAATATCAATCCTTTCGCCCCCACCTGCAGTTGTTGCTCCAATTGCCCGGCTTTGGCCTCGTCGAAGGTACTGCTGGAAGACCTTGGTGATAGATTTTCAAGATGGCTTAAGGGAAAGCATCATTTTACCACTAGACATTAAGGAAACAACAAGGGAAACCATATATGATATATGGAATATGTACCACAAGTTACCACCAAAATGACCCAGTTATGTAGGTATGTTTTCCATACACGGAGCATATGGGCATGGCTTCGTTTAAGGGAAACGAAGGCAGGTTCCCCGACCAGCTGAGCTCTACAGGGTAGTCTGCAATATTCACCTGGCTATGGATGAGGAAGTGAGCTCGGGCCGCCTGCTACCATCATGGAAGCCAACTGGCCATAGGAAAAACCGGCCATCTTGCCATTTTATGATTAATATGACATACGTTGCTAAGCTTTTGCGGCCATAGTCTGTTAATGTCGGTTCAAGATTGGTTATACAGTTATACAATGTTATACAGTAAGTTAATGTAAGTTATACATTCAGGTTAGATCAGGATTGATAACTTCCAGTTTACTAATATCATTATATAGGGGTTACCATCCCACTGTGCCAATAGGGACTATTGTATTCCAATCGCCAGGTTGGAATTCCGCCGAAGCCAGCCGGGCGGGCAGTTACCAAGGGTGTGAAAACTTCTCGCCGTGTGAACTGCTCAATCTCCTGGGGATTGACGATCGCCACCCCGCGTAAAAGTGGCTACAATATATGATGGAGGTATCCTGGCTGGTGGTTTCAAACCCTCTGGAAAATATGAGTTATTAGGCAGTTCGAATGATTATTCCCAATATATGGAAAAATAAAAAATGTTCCAAACCAACCAGTATATAACTACATGCTGCAGTAGATCTATGGGGGTATATCTGCACATGACGTGCTGGAGTATATCATGGAGTATCGTTCGAACGATCCCATCCCTCTACTTACCGCGCCTATGTTACGTAACATTCCTGTGAACAAATCCATCTGGACGGGCATTTTTTTGTGATACGGGGAGGGGATTGCTTGGCCGTTCAGAATTGAATTTACATGGCCCTAGTCAAAATTCCTTGGAGCAGCTCGGCCACAGTCGCTTCCGACATTTGAGGCAATATAATTTAATTGATGCCCTAGAAAAATATCCTACCATCCTTCCAAACTTTGGAATGGAAAACAATTCCAAACGAGAGGGAGGAAAAAAAAAACGTAAGCCTAAAACCGTGGTTCGATATTGGATCTATAATCTATTCATTTTGGGATATTTCGGGTCCCTTACTGGGGCCATCTGGCCCGGTCCTTGTGCCGTTCCACGCAAAACCACAAGGTAGGCGTCTGGCAAGGGCCGTAGCTCAAGACCGTCCTGAGCTGGGGCAGAATGGCCATCAAACTCCCAAAGTTGGATGGCCAAAAATCATCAGAAATCGCAAGCTGAGGCGGTTTATGTAGTTCAAACATATTCAAACTTCAAACTAACTCATATAAATTAGCAAATGGCCAACCGGAATCAGAGCTTTTTCTTACCTCAAAATGTCTAATTCTAGTGATTTCTTCTGAGAATGGCAGCTTCGAAGTAGGATGCTGAAGACGCACAAAGACGAACGTTGTGATGTCTTTTGTCGGCTTCATCCTGGGATCCACTAGCCATCGGGGGAATAGCTCCGACCAGGAACTGGTCCCAAACTCGGAACTTCTCCTTGGCATAGTTCCTGGGCGTGGGCCACCAGTGGGCCACCGTCTTGACATATCATGACAGTGTGATACCATATATTCAGTTTCCAAATATGGTTAACAATATCAGTTGAAATAATGAAGTGTTGAAGTTTAATATGGTTTAATGGGCCGTAGATGCAAAATGATGGAGGACAGTTTGCAGGAAGTCTATTCGAGCTAGTTGATATCTGATGTATATCTGATGTGTGCTTATTATAGACTTATGGAAATACCACCACACCTACGCGACAAACGCATTGTTTGCAATGATGATGAACGCATTATGATTCAGAAAGACCCTCGTTCCTGTCCGCCATCTGCACCTGGCCCATCCCCGCCATGAGCAAAAGGACAGCAGCCATGACCGACTCCCCTAACGATAGAAAACCATGTGCGAACCACTCTCCGAGAAAAAAAACACATCTTGAAACAGAATCGGACTGGAACATGTGTTTCCCTTAATTGAAACTTATGCCAATGATTCCATCCAGTTTTTTCGGGATTGCAAATGATTCCAGGTTTCCACCCTCAATTTGACATTGCCAATGTATCACGATTTGCAGTGGGTAAATTAATTTACATCTATCAGTGGGCCAAGGCTTCCAATTCTATCAGTGGGCCAAGGCTTCCAGTGAGCAAGCCGTGAAATTACTGGAGGATTTGTTTGCCAATTCTATCCCCATATATCATATAACTTAAGGTTAAATATCTATTAAATTGCCATTATTCATCATGAAACTACTGATCCTTCTACGTATTCGTCCTTTAAACCCACTAAATCTCCATTACTATCAAATTAAATATCCGTTCATACCTCAGCAAATCTCCATTAATACTGTATTCACGCCCATCAACTTCTCCATTGGCACATTGGTATTGAATCCATTTAAATCCCATTATAGATCTGCATTAAACCATATTAAACCATATTAAACCGTATTAAACCATATTAAACCATATTAAACCATATTAAACCCACTAATCATTCATACTCCATGAAATCCCAAGGTTGTACCAACCCCTTCCCGGATGCTACAGAAACCTGCCGAGTGTCAGGAAGGTCCGTGTCATGAGCCGCGTGAAGGCCACACCGATCTTCCTCGGAACAATGGAGGTGACCAGAGTTGCTATAGAAAATTGATATCATCATATATCATCTCTGGTTAGAATTATACTTAAGATACCGGTATAATATCTCCTAAATTATCTGAATTGAAATTATAATGATCCTAAGTTATGTAGATAGTTATACGTGAAATATGTCCGTATATGTCTTAGTTATATAATATATATATGGCATATATACATATATGTGTGTTGTGATATTTATATATATATATATGATATGTATATATATATGCATATATATATATATGCATATATATGTGTGTGTGTTATGGCTTGATATGGCAAACTGATCAGAAAATTTCTCGTCCTTCGAGCCCAGGCACAGGTCCAGCTCCTGTCGCGCATCCACCGCCATGGCCAGGTGCTTATCAGGTCGTCCCAGGTTGCTGAAGGCCGTCCTGGGATGAAAGATATGGAATGACTGACTCAATGGATTGGTTTACTCAATGGCCATTTCAGGAACCTAAATTGGAGGTACCTAGCATATATAAAGCCTATATAAGGCCTATGTAAGGCCTATGTAAGGGGATATCCCCAGAAAATATTGCCTTATATGGTACAGTACCTTCAATTTAGGATCCTGAGATTCCCATTGGTTTACCCTCTGGTAAACGTTTACATAGCTGTGGAAAATGACCATTTATAGTGGATTTTCCCATGAAAAATGGTGGATCTTTCCATAGTTATGTAAACGTTTACCAGAGGGTAAGGGAAAACCTACAGGAAAACCTACAGGAAAACCTACCGGAAACCATCGATTTTCCCAAGAAATAGATGGCTGTTTCCTGTAAGGTTTTTCCCTTAAACCAATCCATGGACTGACTCTTCTTGGTGCAAAATGACTTCAATATGATGCAATGTTGGAAAGGCATGGAAAGGCCAGAAATAATTAAGGACTTTAAGATTTTAAGCCTGTTTTGCGGCTTCAAACCATCGCAAGAAATACAAAGAAAGTCAGTCAGCACGGACAGGTAACGGCGGAAAACAACACCAAACAGTTGTATATTTGAACCGTTTCCTGGAATAATTTAAGTGAGCTGCCCATTCTCTTGGTGTGATCATGGCGCGCTGCGGCCGCCTTTCCAGCCAAACTTCTACAGATTCTTGCCATGATCCCCTCACTTGCACAGCATGGTGCATTGAAATAACTTCGGTCATACCGTTTGACTTTCTTCGCCCCCCAACCCCTCAAAAAAACACTCACCTATAAGCTGAACTCCCTTGGCATCTCTCTATATCCATCATAGTCAACCATTGTATACCATTGTATCAGTATCCATCCATGCCCTACATCAACTTACATAATTTGGAGTACATTTACCTTTTCTTTTTTCAATGGCCATTTCAGGAACCTAAATTGGAGGTACCTAGCATATATAAGGCCTATATAAGGCCTATGTAAGGGAATATCCCATTGATTTTTGACTATGTGACCACAATTGTCTACACAATGTCAATCTGCTTGTCGCAGCATGTCACAATCGTCAATTTCTCGGGGAGATCCGCAAGGAAACACCTGCGCCGTCTTTAATGTGCTTTGCGTGTTTCGACAAAGTTTCTACATGTTCTTAATTATATTTAGGAATTATATTTTATATGTATATATATATATATGTGTGTGTATGTGTATATATATATATTTATATTACTATTATATTATATAGGATTACATATTATGTTTACCACGTTTCTTTACCATGAACCAAACAACTGGCCTTTCCCACCTTCAGCCCACCATTGGCCCACCCCGGCTGCGTCGTTCGTCAAGTCTCTTGATCTCTGGCACCGTGAGGGCCGAGAAATGCGCGCGGTAGACGTTCTCTTCGGGGATGGAGCCGCACAGCGACATCACCTGCAACGGTGGGAAAATCATGGGGAAGCACCCAACGTTTGAAATGATCAATGGAGGGGTTAAAGGGAAAATCTACAGGAAACCATGGTTTTTACCATCAAATATAGGGTTTTCCTGTAAATTTTCCCATCATCCAATTCTATGAAATGATGTTTCTCATATAATGTCAACCCTGGATTAATAAACCCCGTTTACGGTTGTTTAATTGGGGGGATACCATAAAAAAGTATCAGATGAAATGACTATTTGGGGAGTACCCCCCTAATTAATAAACCATGGTTTATTAATCCGGGGTTGACATTAATCAAGTATAATCAAGTTATTAATTAAGTTCTTTTCAAAAGAATACTGGATTTTTATTGCTACACATTTCCGAGTTTTTTGCCCATGATTCGGCGGCATTTTTCTTAGGTAAGCGATGATTCGATGAACGTTGCCGCTGCAATCCTATCACTGTGGGAAGCTGATCTTGGGATCTTGGGCTTCCCACCGTGCCAAGCCAACTCATGTCAAACATGAAATATAGATAAATATAGGGGGGTTCTTAAAATATCTTTAAATGGGGGATCCATTTTAAACACCATGGCTTTCAATACTGACATGGTCAGTACTGAATTGCAACGACTTGGACACCTCCAAGATCAGCACAGCCCAGTCATCCCCCTCACCTCGTAGCAAATGTTCTCACCCTCACCTAGGCTCAGTCATGACCTGGTGCTGCTATATCGTTGTGCCATTTGGCCATCATAAACCCTCCAAACATGCGGAAATATAAGGATGAAGCCTGAAACAGAGTCAGCTGGCTCAGGTGTAAAACTGCCAAGTCATCGCTCATCCTTACTGTTACCTAGCGTCAAAATCATCCCGAGTCATCATGAAAATTCAGGCCAATAGCCATGATAAAGTTAAGGATACTCTAAGTTAAGTTAATGGCCATTGGCCACTATTTATATTTAGTTGGTCAGAATCACATTAATTATATATATCCCGTCATAATCATCCATACCTGTTCCGTATCCATCTCCTCTCCAGGGACTAAACCTTAACCAATGGATAGGGCTAGCTTGCTCCAGGATGTCAGTGATGCAACATGGCATAAATAGAGAATCATCTATATGGAGTGATCTATAAATGATGGATGGAATGGCCATCTTCAACTGATGCATCATGAATGATGGAATGTTCATCGCCATCCGAAATGACCAGAGAAATCCAGAGACCACAATGACTACATAAAGGATCATACAGGTCCATTAACCTCAGCACTTTTGAAGCACCATGCGAAGTTTGCGGATGCCCAAAGCCTGCCCAAACCCTGCTCAAACAGCTCAAGTGGCGGTCACAATCCAGCCATAGAGCCAGGTATTCCGCCTGTTTTCCCAAGTCTTGGAGATGTTCCTCGATCGGCCATCCAGGTGAGCTGGAAAGCTGTGGCACACTGTGGCACGCTGGTTTTTGGGCCTTTGACATAATTATGTCGTACATCACAGAGAGGAAAACAAAAATAATAATAATAATAAGGTTCAACCGGTTCAACCCATCTGGCTTTTTGATGGTTTTTTGTTTCAACTCATCGACCTCACAAGGCTTTGCCCTTTTGTCCTCGAATCGGGTCACTCCCACTTTCCGGCAAGGTTCCACAATCCGGTTCTTCGCGACACTGGCCTCCACCGTTTTCTTCACATTGCTGTAGAACCTGGGTGTCCCAACAAGCAGAACTTGGGTTTTACCCGTTGATCTCGAAGCAAGTGGAGCACCAATGGGTCCAGAATAGTGGTCATTTTGAGTAGAAAAAACCATCCATCTACATGCCGAGGGCTGAGAATCTTGACCAGGAGGGGATATCATCCCCACTACACCAAGCATGAGTTGCTGTGATTCTTCCCATCACCCGAAGATATATGGGACAGCCACCCATGCGGCTGGACTAGCTTTAACCATTGACAAACCTGTGGCTGGCAGTGGGAACTCCACATCGACATGTTCTTGGCACATTCGGGCGCCTGTTATGTAATGTTGTGTAGCCCCCAGGTTTCCTTCATAGTCTCAGATCCTCACTACCACCCTCTTCATCATCTTCATCCAAGGTGCAGATCAGCGGGTTGCAGCCGTCCATTCTCGAAGTCCAGCCCGAAGATGTGTCCAATGGTTGACGTCCTTAGCATCCCACAGCTGTTGGTTCACTGGGGATGGGTCAAGTTTGCCAATGGGACAAAATTAAACTGGGTGTACCTGGTACAGCAACATATTCGAATATTATATGCACGTATATAGGTGTAATATGGTGTAATAAAATCATGTAATCTAAAATTGCGAGGAACATTTTAGTGAGTCCCAAGCTGTCCTAAATTTGGACCCATAGGGGCTTCCCCGCTGTTGATCTCCCTGAACTAGGCATGGTGCTGACACACATCGGTGGAGAGTGCCGTTCCTTTGAGGGTTTAGTATGGTTTAGTGGCATAGAAGATAGCAGAGGCCCCTCACCCGAAATCGGGAAATCCAATCCTCAACTTCAGTTTTTGGGAGAGTGTTCCTTTTGGAAAATTGGAGGTCACATCCACATTGGCCTGCAGAGTGAAGCTCAATGTAAATGGCAATATCAGCACCAGGTTTTTCTTGGCCCCAGACCCAGGCAGACCTTGTTACCCCTGTTTTGTTTGGGGTGGGGAAAACGCTTTCCGTGAAATCCAATGAGCTAAAGTGAGGAACATCATCAAACTATGATAAAATCCATGAAAAATACCATCTGGTGATCAAACATGGCAATGGGAAATTTCCCCATTTATAGATCATTGTCATTGTCCCAATAAAACCTCCACTCTCCTCCATTTTAGGTCATTTTCCATTGCCACAGTTGCTTTGCAGAGGCTTTCAACTTGGCATGATGCCACCAAGCATCTGCAGGATGCGGCACTTCCTCAGCCATGAAGTGCCCACGTTGAGGATCTCAGGATATTCTGCCAGAGCTACAATAAATTGTCTTCGTCCTTGAAGACGGGTATTGAATTATTGTTTGATGAATTGCTGATTGATGGCAAACCTGAACCAATCTCTCCCCATCATCTTTGGTGAAGATCTCTCTGTTGTCTCCCAAGCGCCCCAGCTGCACCGATGTATGGGTCAGTTCACCCAGGACTTGCAATTGGTCGAAGGTTTCCCAAATTGTATGATATGTTCATACATGTTCTTAGGTCGACACACAGTCTTGTGCTAGTTTTTGCTATTATATAAATAGTAGTAAAAAATAATAATCAATAGTTTTATAAAATAGAAATAAAAAAAAAATAATAATAATAATATAATAATATAATAATAATAATGATAATAATAATAATATAGTAATATAAAATAATAGCAATATAAAATAATAGTAATAGTCAACTCCCCACTTGATGGACACCTCTCCGGCCAGGCCCACTTCGGTCAGGCATGGTCAGGCGTCTGCTGCGCGGGCGGGAACCAGCCCACGAACTCAAAGACCTGCACTGCGCGGCTCTGGCCCTTGCGGGTGCCAAGGCGTCCGTTGCCGCAGAGCGACTCCGCCACGAACTTGGCTACGCTGGGCTTCTCAGCCACCTGGGGATGAGATCCCCATGGTGGATGAATGGATGGGTTTTTTCGGGAAAATCTACAGGAAACCATGGTTTTTACCATCAAATATAGGGGTTTCCTGTAAATTTTCCCATCATCCAATTCTATGAATGGATGAATGGAAGGGGTTGAAATTCATTCAGCGGCTCAAAAAATGCGCTCATGGCATACTCATGGCATACTGTGGCTCTTAATCATTCATAATCTTTAGAGAATTATGACTGGAAAAACTGGAAGTCCCGGAGTCCCAACTATCAACCACCGCTGGGGGCGATGAAATCCAGCACTACTGCGAACGTCAAGATCATGCTTGGAGCCACATTGCCAATATCATATAAATTCATGATATGCACAAGCGTCGGGGTGTTGGTTTCCCAACACCCCCCCCCAAAAAAAAAAATACACCTGTACGGTATTCTTCCTTTCATCACAGGGAAGTTCACTTGTTACAGTAGACGTTACCAGGTTTCATGGTCCCCACCGAGGCACCATCAGCACCTTGGGCAAATCGTCCCATTTCTGGTCCCGCAACTTTGCTTGTTCCTGTCTCCTTTGGATACCTCGAGTCAATGATTGGGTTTGAGGGAATTTTATGGATTTTTTATCATCAAACATGGATGAATTTTACAAACAATCATCAACAACATGGATCTTACATGATACCAATAAGAGTGGGGTTTGAGTTGATGGGTATTAGTTTACAGTGTAGTATGGGGCCATTATGGGCCATTTATGTTTGAAACTTATTGTTTTTGCGAAATGTGAGTGTTTCCTGCAGATTTTCGCTTCAGCCAAATCTGGGATAGGGTTGCATCACGGCAAATGCAGGTGTCTTCTGCGCAATCCTCCTGGTACCCTCACTGGGGTTGCTGGTCAAAACGATGCCGGACGGCTTGCGGTTTGCTCAGAAATAGGGGGTGTGGAATGTCTCTAACATTGATTTCCTATACTGCAAATACACCACGCTGGACACAGCACAAACCAACAGAAATCTGCAGTGTATTTTACAAATGATTTCTTTCAGGCAACCATGGGGCCATACAAACGTGTAAAATCGTATAAACTGGTTGTTTGAGAAACCACTAGTTCAATTCGGCGCTTCAAATTCAAAGGTCCAAGGGCCATCAATTCCGAATCTATAATGTTTGCTAATCAAGCTAATCATTAATCACCTTCCACCTGCCCCACCAAACACCTTGCATGGCTCACACAGCTTCAACTCAAGAGATTTACATTTGATATTGACACAGGTGGCACGAAGTCAATGGAGCCAATTGAGATCGACTCCATGAATTAAGTAACAAGACTGAAAATCAAAACTGGCAAACTTGACACTATGTGATTAGGATAGCGATATTTATTTAAAAATTTAGGTTTCCAGCTTCAAATTTGAGCTTAGTAGTGGGAATTGATCTGCAAACAAAACCTCAAACTTGCGGCAATGCCATGACTTCCCCCACCATGGGGTTTCTTATGCTTTCTCCACACACACACACATTCTAGACACTGGAAAACGAGGCCACTACTGTTTTACTCACCATTAGCCTCCGGTAATCTAACATAGTCATGGAAAACGGCCATGTCTTTTTAGCTAAATCCCAAATCATCTACAAGTTTACTCCTTAAACGTTGCTTAAATGGATCATCTTCCATGGTTAAACTATGAAGTTGAAAGAGGCAAACTGCTAGTTTCACCATGTTTCCATGTTTCACCGTTTCACCCCAAAAATTGGGAGAACTCCAGACCCAGTGATAGAAATCCAGGGCACGTTCCACCAGTTGCTGCATCTCCGCAGGGATGGGGCATCCAGCTTTCTCCATCACGGCGGCCATGCCAACCGCCTTGAAGGCATCTTCACCTGGACCCCGAGGCTAGCATTGTTTAATGTTGTTTACCCTCTGGTAAACTAACATAACGAACTGGAAAGATCCACCATTTAGTTCGTGAATTTTCCCATGAAAAATGGTGGATCTTTCCATAGTTATGTAAACGTTTACCATGTTGTTTATCCCTGGAAATTTAACATAACGAACTGGAAAGATCCACCATGCTATTAATGGAAAAAACATGAAAAAAACAACTATATATTTAACTATGGCAATTGTCAATAGCTATGTAAACGTTTACCAAAGGGTAACTTTCGAAAACTAAAATAACAACTCAAACCAACTCAAACCCTCAAAGCCTGAAACCCTAAACCATCCTAAACCCTAAAACCCTGAAACCCTAAATCCTGAAACAGGCAATGTTTTCGTGCATCCGCATGTGACAAGTGTATGACATTGTCTGGGTATGTATGGGTGTCTTATTTGGGGAATGCCCAATAAGAAACCTTGATTCGGAATGGTTTATTCTTGGGTTTAACCTGCGTACTAAGTCCCCTAACTGGATCATCCCATGCATAACTGGGTTATAAGTTATAAGTTATAACTCGACTTATTAACCATTTGCTAATTGGGATGATCCTCCAAGTATTGACTTGTCTTGGATTGGCTTCAGGGCCCCCCCAAAAAAAAAAAACAATTCGCCAGTCATGCTGGATTAACCACTGGGAAATAGGAAATCGCAGACTCAGCAAACCTAAGTTGTTCTTAAAATGTGTATACCCCCCAAATGGCTATATTTGTGTGGGAAAAATGATGATACGCCAATGAATTATGGTGCAAAAAAAACACTCTTTTCAGACAGACCCACAAATACATATACTTATACATACATATACTACCTAATTGACCAGGGATTATGATAACCCATAGGATCAGGACACCGTTTTCAACCAACTATAGTATAATGAATGAAATGGGAAAACAGGCTATCTATGCTATCTTTAATACCTCACTTGTAGCCAGTCATTTCCCCTCGGTCTCAGGCCTGACCGCGTCAGGAAGGTCAAACTCCTTCCTTTCTGCCCCGCACGGCCCGTGCGCCCGATGCGGTGCACGTAGTCCTCTGTGCTGTTGGCGCTGTCGTAGTTCCTGGGGATCGAACCCCCCAAAAAAACAGTGGGGATGTTCCTCCGCCAAAATGGGGGATTGGACCATGAAAAAGTGTGATCTAACTTTATATTAGTTGTAATTATTGATTCAAACATCAAGAACGGGTGATTTAGGTCACAAACACATTGATTTAACGAAACTCAGCAACTATGATTCAACCAACAAACCCCGATTTGATTTAACCCACAAAAATTGTGATTTAACCAACAGAAACGGCGATTTTACCAACAACATTTTGGTTCTAATCATCAACCATGAGGATTTCGCCAACATTTTTTTGGGGGAAAAACCTGGGGAAATCTTAACCGGAAACCCCCAGTTCCAGGGCTGCAATGGTGTCCTTCAAGGTGCACCCGTTGAAACAAACCATTCCCTTAAATTCACTATAAATGGGTGGTATAAACCTATAACCCCGCCAAAACTGGAGGTTTATGAGTTGGTTTAGCAGTTTAGCACCTGAATTTCTTCCATGTCGGCCAATTTATTTCTTGCGGATCCCAAGGCCTGAAAATCGCCAAGGCTGGGGCCATGTTTTTCATCGCGGCGGCCAGGCCTGGAACCTGCTCAGATGTCATCTGCGCCGACGAAACGGTGAGTCTGCGACTACTAAAATGTTCATGGCTTCAGAACAGTTCAGATTCCAGTTCAGATCCCCAAGACTACAGAGTTGGTCATAGATACAGTTATTGGATTTTTGTTTGGAGAGGTTCGGGTCTATCTTTTTGTCTCTGTGTTTTATGTGTATCTTTCACGGTGTCTTAGATCGCGACTTTGCTGAAGAATCTGAGACTTTTCAGTGAGACGGCTCCATCGCAGCTTCGCTGTGATGAAGTCGACTGCTACGCATTGGAATGCCTAAAAAAAACTATATGAAAAACGGGAATCTCGGGTTAATGCCAGAACAGGTTTCGTTCAAACTGATTTAGCTGGACGGCGGGCGTGCAAGTATGTTTATGATTTATATATGTCGAATTATCATATCATCTATCTAGATTCTGTATGCCTTTCACAAGTAGTTGCAACTGTCAGAAGTTATTGGAACGCTCTCCCGGATGCCTTCCCGGAGGCCTCTCTCGGAGCCTTTAAAGGCTCCGAATTCCTTTCGAGATGAGCTTAAATACTAACGATCATCCTTGGAAAGGATGTGAAATAAAAGAATTACAGTACCCTCTAGCTATGTCAAAATAGCTATTGAAAATGGCCATTGAAATAGTGGATTTACCCAGCTAGAACATGGTGGATCTTTCCAGTTCGTTATGTAAACGTTTACCAGAGGGTAAAACAATTATGGGTTTCAATGAGCTGGTCTGAGATTGAAATAGAGTACCCCCCGACATCCGGCAGAGTCATCTAACATTGCTGGAGGAAGCCGCTTATTTTCAGTCATGAGATTCCCATCCCAACAAAAACCACTGGTTTACCAGTGATCAAACATGGCGAAAATCCCCCATTCATAGCTCATGTTCCTTCATTTTCCCACTCAAAACTCCATTCAAGCTAGGATGTTCATGGATTTTCCAGCTTGCCACGTTTCATTACAGGAGCTTATGGGAAAATATAAAGACTATCTGTTAAAGGCACCGTGGCCAGCTCCAGTTTCCTGGCACTTCCCCGAGAAATTTTCTGCGGCAGCTCTTTGGCTTGGACGGCTGTCGAATGGAAGAGGTCGCGAAACCAAAGGCTGTAAGGTTTACAATAGCCAAAAAAAAACTCAACTTCTGTCTCTAGTTTCATGATGTTTCTAGATTTTTTTGGGGTTACCAAGTGTCAATGGGGGGTTGTGTCCAATCTGCTTCTGGGATATGGATCAAGGCAACCCAGCGCCGTGGCTGTTTCACTATCCACAACTGGCTGATTTTGTGGATGGTGATTGATCATATGGATTTGGAGTAATTACACCTCATTGCTGCACAATCCAATCATTCCAGAAGTTCAGTCATCACCGCCAGGTTCACGCTCAAGCCAAAGTCCGAGATTTCTATATATATATATTATTATCTTGGGGTTCGATTCACATTTCGTGTATTTCCGAAAGAGTTCAAACAAATAAGATCCAGTACAAATCACCCAAAGATGGGAAGATTTGGCATATAATGTTTAATCAAACCATGAAAACTAGGTTCCCCTCCTATTTTTAATCAAAAATGCGGATATTATCTATATACTATATATATTATATATATATATATAACGTTGGTAGCATAACTCCCAGTGCCGAAGCCCTGGGCTTCGATTCAACAGGCCGCCGTGTGTCTTCTCCGAGGCCACCGTTGTCCGTGTTTTTTTTGGGACCACGGTGGCGCTAGGGAACTGAGTTGGCACCCAGCTCTTGGGAAAATTCTATTGGGAACTCACGGGATTCCAATCCCTATAGGGCTATTAATGTCAACCCCGGATAAACCATGGTTTATTAATTAGGGGGGTACTGCCCAAATAGTCATTTCATCTGATACTTTTTTATGGTATCCCCCCAATTAAAGAACCGTTTGGGGTTTATTAATCCAGGGTTGACATTATACCATATACCAGGCTTGCATGAGGACTGCCAAGGAGGCTAACATCTTTCATCATCTTTCCAAGTGGTGCTTCGTTTACAGTAATCCACCAGCTCAACACCCTTGGATCAAGCTGACCCAGTACAGCGGACGGCTCATTTCATTAAGTCGTTCTTTTCTTCCTCACGGGCGGCAATTCTGTGACCCAGCTGGGTCTGGGCAAAACATCTGGGAAAACCTACCTTTCGGCTGACGTGACCGCAAAAAAAATACGCAAGTCAACTGGCGTCATCGTCCCAGGTGGAATCAATCGCATCGCATTCAAAGAGCACAAAATCGCTATGTCACAGGACCTTCAAAAAACGTTAACGTACAAAACCTTCAGTGTTGACCTTTGTACCTAGGACAAAGGCTACAAACATCGGAGGGGCCATGCCTGGACCATGCTTCCAGCAACCCACCGACCCAAGTCCATTCCCAAAATGGTGACCTTTGCAACGAGCTTCGCTTTTGTTTAAGTCCTTTACAAACTGCGACGCATACTTGACTATCCTCAGCTGGCCGTCAGTGACCAGAGGGCCTCATGTATGCAGTTCATCCAGTCTCAACTATTAGGGCAAAACATCACAAAAATTATACAATTGATGACTGGTGACTTGAACTTGGGAATTGGGAGAGAACAAGAGGGGCTACGCTACAAATCCCAGGGTTCATTGGAAAAAGTTTATTCCAAAACAACATTGCTGAGTTACCCTCAAATAATTTAACATAGCTATGGAAAATGGCCCAGTTATAGCTGATTTACCTCTGAAACTGGTGATGTTCCATAGCTATGTTCGTTTACCAGGCCGGGTATGATTTGAAGTTTCCGCATTCCTTCCGCAAAAAAATGCTGCAGAAAATCTATGGTGCAGCAAAGGCTCTTCACTCCCGCGGCGTCACTCTTTCTCATGAACCGCTGGCTGATGTCGATGAAACCTGGCTCGGGACCAGTGGAAAACATGGGGAGAGTCTTCTCCCACCCCGCGATTTGTGACCGTCACGGCCGTAACTATAACACAGTCAGAACATGTTATCAATGCGACCACCTCAGGAATTGGAACTACTTGCGCAAAGGACATTGGTTTGTCCAAACATGGTGGTGATGGTGCCCCTAACTCATTCAAAAATCCACTACGAAACCCATCAGTTTAGGAAAGTTTAAGATACTTCCCCGCCTTGTGAAAAAGCTAGCCATACAGCCCATTTTACATATAATTTCCCACATGACATAGCCTTAGTCTTTTCCATAAAATACCACGCCAATTTCAGCACAAATTCCACACCATAGTTACCAGTCAATGGATTGGTGTAAAAATCGGAACCGGAAACCATAGATTTTCCTATCAAATATGGGGCTTTCCTGTAAATCTTCCCCTAAACCAATCCATTCAACCGCACCTTGGACATCCAGCATAGCCAGCTTCGCATCACTGAGAGCCGTCCTTAAAGATGCCGCTCGCCGCTCCGGCTGAGGTTGTTCCGCGCAAGCTGAAAATGATGGGAAGTGTTGTATTTTGGGGTGTGGTTGATTAATTACTCTTGTGTTTTTTCATTCAAACATAGTTGAATAATGTTGCATAATGTTGAATATATTGGATATATTTGGATGGTAAAGAACCATCGCCTCCTACAAAGATTCCACACAACATGCAGGCCGTCACTGTCCCGAAGCTATTACGTTCAACTGCTCCAACCAGACCCATCATCCGTCATCCGTATCTATCCATGTCTTCCCATGGATTCATCTATCTTCCAACATGTTGATGACAAAAGAATTGTAAATATTGTACAAATATATACAAATATCATAGGTTTTTCATCCGTTCCATATCTGTCCCATCTTCATTTAGACAAATCATGACGGAACGCATTCATTTGTATAGAATCCGAATTTAACATTCTGTGACATATCCTATTGTTTTAATAAAAAATAACATCGTATACGGTACATATTTTGGCTGTCATATCTACGAAAATCCTAACATAGTGTAACTGGGTAAGTGTATAAATTTGTAAATAATATGTATTCAGTATTCATCATAGTATCACCAACACTAAGTGACTATAACGATCTATGATAACCTTCATCATAGTCGAACAATCTGGGTAAATTATAATGTCATTAACCTGAAATGTTGGGCCATTTGGGGATAATTCCCCCAAGAAAACCATGATTCCAGGGTTCGGAAGAACAGTGAGGTGGTTATAATTATCCCAGAACAGTTAGTATAACATCTGAACGATATGTATTCATCGTAGCATCACCAACACTAAAGCATACTAAAACTATAACAATCATAACCTTCATCATACGGTGGATGGTTGCGAAATCCTGCACCAGTTGGTAGGTGGTAACTATTCCATTATTTATAGGGTTTCAACCATCCCTTTGATGATGCAGGATTTCGCAACCATCTACAGTATGATTATTAGCCGCTTGGTCAACTCTTAGATCTACTTACTTCAGGACCCTAATCTCAGCAAAACACGGATTGATGAAACTTCATTCAGATAAATAATGGAATATAGAATGATATAGATCGGTCATATCAGAAAATCCCCATTCAATCCCCATTAAATCCCCATTCAATCCCCATTAAATCCCCATTCAATCCCTATTAATCCACTATATAAATCTGTTATAAATCCACTATAAATCCATATAAATTCACTATAAATCTGTTATAAATCCCTATTAAATCCCCATTAAATCCCCATTAAATCCCCATTAAATCCCCATTGGTAAAGCCTTTATTTTTGCCCCAGCTACAGGGTGCCCCGATGCTTCCAGGTCGTCCACAAGGCCGCTTCGGAAACGCAGCGCTTTTCACCCACCATGGTCACCTGGCAGGGGAGAATCCTCCAGTCATAGTGGATTTATAGGGATTTATAGCAGATGTATAGTGGAATTATATGGATTTATAGGGATTTATAGTAGATTTATAGGGATTTATAGTGGATTTATAGGGATTTATAGTGGATTTATGGGTATTTATATTGAGTGCTGAGAGCTTCTCATGGAAAAGCCTTCCCTTAGTGTAGCTGAGGGTACAGTAACCATTGGTTTTTCGGCCAAGATTTGCTCAATATATTTGCTGGGATATGCTGGGGTTCAACCTAAGGCAAAAAATAGCTGTCTGTAGTTGATAATGAATCAGACCTCCAGGGCTTGATCTGGCTTGATCTGGCTTGATCTGGCTTGTCACGGCTGGTCAGTGCCTGCTGATGGCCAGTCAGGGCCGCCTCGAACTCATGGGCATTCAACAGTTCCCCCGTTCCCCCAATGGTCATGCTGAGTGAGCTAGTTGTGATGTAGCCCCTTCCAACTTGGAGATCTCATGTTAAACAAATCTAGATGAAGGCCCTGCACATCTCCCCCGGCCCTGCACCTTGCCCCATCCCGGCCGTCCCAGGGCCGTCCCGCAACGCCACGCCGCAACGCCCGTTGCGCCTCGCCGTAACTGTCGGTGTATTCCAAGGTGCCGCTCACCACGATATACCTGGTGGATCAGAGGATCATCCACTGGGAACTAAAAGACAGAAAAGTATAAATATATGTAATTATATGCAGAACATATTATAATATATAAATATATATATTGTTCTACTAACACAGTATTATAAATTCAGTATTCATCATAGTATCACCAACACTAAGTTACTATAACGATCTATGATAACCTTCATCATAGTCGAACAATCTGGGTAAATTATAATGTCATTAACCTGAAATGTTGGGCCATTTGGGGATAATTCCCCCAAGAAAACCATGATTCCAGGGTTCCGGAGAACAGTGAGGTCGTGAAATAATTTACCCAGATATATGTAATTAATATGTACAACATATTATTTAAATATATATATATAGTTCTACTATAAATATACACATATATATCATATATCAATATTAATGGTATTATGAAAATTTCCTGTATATAATTTTTATGTCACGATTTTAGTGGGATTTTACTTTCTATCTTTTTGGGGGCTATACAATGTTGGGAAGGAGTCCACTGTTCTATCATCAAACAACGGAGGTTGAACACTGCCCAACTGTTCCAATTTGTTTACACAAAATCCGTACAGAAGCATGGCGGTGTCCGAAAACCTGGAAACTTGATTTCACAATCATATTGAATCCGATCTGCCCTCTGGTAAACTAACATAACTATGGAAAATCACCATTTTTAATGGGAAAATCAACTATAAATGGCCATTTTCAATAGCTATGTTAGTCATTACCAGGGTAATCCCATCAATTTTGGGGGCTAGTCATTACCATCTTCTCCCAATCCTCACCATCCTACTCTGCCGATGCCAGGCAAGCGTCATCTTGGGCTCTGGTGGCAAATCACCCAAGCTGAAAATCACATCCGTGCTGGACAGCAACCTACAGGCTGATGCTTTAGCGGGAATTTTTTCCTTTACCCTCCGATCTCATCAAACATGGTTTGCTCTAAAATCGTCATTTGTATATGATTTTCCCATGAAATTTTCAATTTCATAATATGTAATGTATGTATTATATATATATGTGTGTGTATGTGATTGTATATGTATATATCGGGGATGGGGATTTATGGGAAACTCCCATTGCCAAGTTTGATTACGGGATGGTATCTGGATCATATCTACATGGTTCCATATGTTTGGAAGTATTGTATACACGGGGATGTGCCCTCAGTCCCTGAATGTTCAAGGGATCATCCTGACAAAGCCAAAACGAAGAAATTCCCGTAGGCTTCGGCCACTTGGGGATCAAAGGTCAAAGTGCTTCAAGGGTTCCTTTCCAGTCACCAGAATCAGTCTGAGAACCGTTCCGTTTGGTTATGATCCAGGTCCACTTGACATGAAAAAACTGTGCCTTGAGATTCAGGTTTTCCATCTTCATGAGTGTTTGTCCTATCTGATTTCACTATGGCATACTATGGCTACGGCAAAGAAACAGTGAGACAGTGAGGCGAGAAAAAAAAAACTCCGAAAAGCAACAGTAGACTTAAAACAGAGGTTGAAAGGAGTGGTTCAAATGGTGTGTCGCCCCACGTTTCCCCCGTGAACCAAACCCAAGAAACACCAGCCCCGGGGCCCCACGTCACGAAGCCAGGTCGCAACATCGACATGGCGCGGTGGCACACTGGTCGCATCATAGGACCCAACTGCTGCAGGAGTTCCAGGAAAAAATGGTGCGTTTGCAGCACCTGGGAATACATGTCCTGGACGCCACCGAGTCACCGCGGTCGGTTAAGGGAACCGGGTCGAATTGGAGGGTTGTAACATGTGAGGTAACAAGATGTAACAACCCAAGGCACTTGCGATGTCAGGGATGCAGCCTCAAGTACGGTGATGTCTTGGGTTGGAAAATTGATGATGGGTGGTTGGTGAAACGTAGGAACCTTTTTTAAAAAAACACCGGCCAACCATCTTTGTGATCTCTCCAAATTTGGATCTGTCTAGGGTTGCAATTGAACATCGTCGTCCCATCTTTGTGATCTCTAAAAAAAACACTTCTCAAATATCCCAAACATAAGGTCATCGGTAAAGATATCATTCGAAAATCTCAAGTATATAAGTATATATTTGGTATAGTTCATCCTTAAAACAAAACCAAAAAAAGCACCATTCGGATCTTCTCAATACCACTTTGTATTTTTCAAATCCCTGTTGTTGATTGGATTTTTCCTCTGACAAGGGCGCAGTTGTCCCACTTTCAACAGCGCCGTTGACCGCGCCGTGGTAATTTCCGCAGAGCTTCGAAGGACAATTCAATCTTCAACGGTTCGGAGATGACATGCAAGAGTTCGACGGATTCCTGCAGCAAATTGGGCAGGGTTCCATGGGGGATCCCTGGAAAAATCCCAAAGAGCTGGATGTTTTACCTTGAAAAACTTGTGAAAATCCTATGAAAATGGATGATAACTAGGGGTACCCTCCATGAACCCGCCATTGGGAAAGAAAACACAAACATACAAGAGTAAAACCACTCATGGTTTGATTCATCTATAGCTTATTATCGTACAGTACCTGAAGCGACTTATTATGATCTTAATTATATATACAATACAAGATCGTACTTCCGTACAAGAGTGGCTTTGAGCAGCTTTTTTCGGACTATTCCTGACTACTGACAATATCTGTAGCGCTTAGGACATCAAACGGGCGATAAATAGATTGAGTCATCCATCTCTTGAAACTCAAATGACTCAGTTGACCTCCCATACCATACCACTTTTTCACGTGGCGAACACGATGATCAGTTATTTGGGGTTGAATGGCGTATGTATATATATATTATATAATGTATATATATATATATTATACACCTCGAAATAGTACATTGGTCATGGTTGACTGTTGGATTGGTCTAACCACATGACCTGATTCATTCTGGCCTCAACTACCCTGGCCTCAACTACCCCACAGTGCCACACTTGGAGCTTTTTTCATAATCCCTACGTAACTGGGGTAATTATATCCCATTATAATCCATATAACGTTGAACAGGATTCTTGCACATGGTTATGACCTACTTACACCTCCAAAATTCAACATGGAACCCCAAAAAAAGATCTGAAAAAATTAGAATATCCTTTGGATGTGGCCATCAAAATGTGTTCCATCCGTGGTTTCACAACCCCACAAATTACTGGGGGTATATCCCATTAATATCTGACTGATTTCATCTGTTTGCTACCATGCTACTAAATAAATATAATATAATGTGGCAAAACTCAATAATAAACCAGCGCAGTAATTATATATGTAAAGTAGGGGGTCCCTTTTAATCATCCCATGACTATACTCAGTTCTGATGACTTGGGAGTTGGTGAGGCCCTTTTTGGCGCTGGAATTTGGAAAGTCGTCCGACAACTCCGACAACTCTTGTGACAATTTGAACTGAGTATACCCAATAATTACTGAAAATCTAGCACCTTGCATTTTGGCAATGGTTTCCCATGAAATCCCATTTTCAATCCCCACATTTAGGGGGGGATGGGGAAACCCACATCCAATGAAAAGCCAATAATTACTGGAAACCTAGCATTGGAATATGAAATTTGCATGGAAATTCCCATGTTTTCTTCGGATTGAAAAAATCCTCCCATCCTCGTGAAAGGTGGTTTGCTGCCTATTTCTATGGCCGAAAGTCTCATTGGTCAGAAGTTATTTCCACATGATACTTATTATAGAAACCTCCAAGGACACCCAAAAAAAGAGAGAAAAGCAAAACTATATTGGTCAGTTGGGATGATCATTCCCAATATATGGAAAGTCATAAAGACGCCATGTTCCAGTCACCACCAACCAGATTTTTCAGCCCTGCGACCGGGGTGAGGTCTCCAGAGATGGCGTGCTTGGCGTTGCGGCACACGCGCCTAACGTTCGAGGAGGATTGAACCACCAAGAGGATCCGACTCTTGGAGTTTGAATAGGCACCAAACATGGTACCCGGCCTGGTAAACGTTTACATAACTATGGAAAATCACCATGTTTCATGGGAAAAATCACGAACTAAATGGTGATTTTCCATAGTCATGTTAAATTACCAGAGGGTAGCTGACTTCAACAAAAGTGGTGACCAGCACAAATGCAGCTGAAAAACATGAGTTTGGCCATGATGTAACCAATGGATTTCATTAATTGATATGGGCAACAGAGTTTCTACCCTCCAACATCGGCTTTTACTGTACATGGTAACTTCAACCAACTTAAGGGAGACCCTGCCAGTTCAAGACTTCTGAAATGGTCTTCGAGTACCTACTTGGAATATCTTGGAATGGAGGGCTCAGCAGCAAAACTCAATATCTAATATATCTAGCAATTATCTAGCAGTGATGTGATAGTTAGATATACCCTCTGGTTATTTAACATAGCCATGGTATAGATAGCCCATAGAAATAGATGGTTTACCTATTAAAAATGGTGGATCTTTCCATGGCTATGTTAGTCATAACCAGATGGTAGATATAGTTGGCTAGTGATGCTTCAAACCCATTTGTTTCGGAAAGTGATCGACTGTCTGCAAGACCAATGGAGCAATTTGACAGAAAGCCCACCGCCTTGAGGTCCTAACGTCATCTAAAGTCCACTTATCTTGCCAACTTAGATGGGCCACGGCCATGGAGTTAATTAAATATATAGTAAATGGATCTATATATATATAAATGGATTTTCATTGGGATATAGTTGGTGAAAACCGGCTGAATAACTAGTTAGCAAATCCGGGCCATTTAGAGTACAGCACTCTTTTCGATGGATCCTTCCTCCAGGGCTCTGTTTTTTTTGCCAAGTCGCTTGGTGATCACTTTGGACACCTTAGAGGTGTCAAAGGTTGGTGAAAAGTCAGTCCTCAACTTTATCAATGGATTGGTTTAAGGGAAAATTTACAGGAAAACCCCATATTTAATGGGAAAATCTATGATTTCCTGTAAAGTTTCCCTTAAACCAATCCATTGACTTTAGCGATCCCATTTTAATCATAGGTTTCCTAAGTCCATGGTATCCCCAAATCATCATAGATCCGGGGCATGGATGGACCATGACAGTATTGAAATTCATGGGGAATCCTCCATTTCTCAGCTGGGCCCCTTGGCTACATTACCACCCTGCATGTGGGACCTCGTAGAACCTAAGGCGTTCAGAACATTTCAGAACCGTTACTGTCACACAAGCATTCGAATGTACCCATGTTCGATCTTAGACACCCTGCTTAGTAAAATATATATTTATATATATTATATATTATATGTATATATATATTATATAATGTATATTATATATATAACATATGAATGAATCTGAAGCACCGCTCCATGTTCAACCATCAACGATGATTTTGCAGCATACCAGTCAATCCAGTCGACGCAGTCTACTCGGGACACCATCCTCCGGCCATCCAAAGGGGCAGCGGAACCAGTGAGTTGCCCACTAAAACATCCATAGGTTTGATTACCGGGGGCTATTGAAAGAAACCATCCCAATAGTGGCACACCCAATCATCAACCGAAACTGGGGATGGGTTATGGCATTGGGTTTACTAAGTTTACCGATGTAATCAATAAGAATCTATCTTTTCACATCTTTTGACCATGGCAAAAGTGCCCTAAATGATCCTAAATGGCGTACGGCCCCCGCCAGGCCACGTTATTCTGCTTCAGATATCGCTTCAATGTCGCCAGTTGCCTCGCACCGCTCCCTCCGATGATGTACTGCTGGGTGAGGCCAGAGGTGAAGACGCCCAGCATGACCTGCCGAGCCAAGGGGCTGCTCTTGAAAAGTTGCTGCTGGGCACCATATGGCAGTGTGTCAAAACCTTGTACCCCTGGTGAACATCAAAATAGCTGGTAAATGGATGTTCAACCCCCTAAAAATGGTATTAATAGGTATTGATCCATACCCATATTTGAGTAGCAAATCATCACGGTCTTGTGGCTTAGCCACTTAGCCCCCTAAGTAATTCATCCACGAGTAAATCAACATCCGGAGATAATCCGGAGTGGACATGTTACTTGACCTAACTTAGATGGGCCATGACTATTTAATTGGTGGGTCATCCCTATTTTGTGAAAAGGTTTCACGGATAAATGCCGATGTTTGAATGCTACATCCATATTTTTGAATAACTATTCTTCACGGATGATTAATCCATATTCTGAATGTGTTTCACTCATTAAAACCCAATGTCTGAACATGTTTGATGGAAATTCATGGATCAATTCATGGATCAACAAAAATCCTGATGTTTGATGCTTCGATCCCCTTTTTTGGGGGGGGCCCAACAACACGGCTCAACAGCTCCGAATTTTCGCGGTCCCACGGGCACCAGGGCGATGACGAAAATGGCGCCCCCCACGGCCACCGCGAAGAGCCGCTCAATGGGCGAGGCCGGCGAGATTTCGTCCATGCCACCGGAGAACCTCACCGCGTTATGCGCGTGGCAAGGCCACGGCAATGGCCATGGAGGGGGTGAACCATGGTGAACCATAGGTAAGAAATAATAAATAGGGGAATCATCCATTTTATGGAGGAATTAACCATTCTATGGTGGAATAACCATAGAAATAACCATAATAAATAGGGGAATCAACAATTTTATGGTGGAAAGTACCATGGAAAGTGAGTTTGTTGGATTTTGTGGGAGAAATTAACTCCTTTTACATCTCACAACAATGATAAATCTAGTGTTACTAAAGAGCTGTGACTAGCTATCGGTTTCTTCGGGCCGCTTGGATCAAGAAGGTGTTCCCCAGTGATAGATGAGTGGGTTAAGTTTTCTAAGTGATGCACAGCCATGTTTGCCGCATCGGTTGCCTCAATCCTAGGAATCCAGGCAGGGCCTGTACCAAACCTCGCCGGGGTCATGTGGGATGCCGCTGGCACTGTTCTACTCAAGGTGAAACACCCTGCAAACTCTCCCTGGGAGCAATCATCTAACTCAGGTTGAATTCAAAAACCATTCAATTTTCTACATATATATGTATATATATAAATATATATGCAGTATTATTTTGGTATGTGTACATATATATATACATACATATGTTATAATTATAATATATTGAGTATATATGTATGTATGTATGTATGTATGTATGTATGTATGTATGCATGTATGTATGCATGTATGTATTTATGTATACATATATATACATCTCTCTCTCTCTCAATGATGCAGCATAGGAACTGCGAAAGCGCCCAGTGGAGGGAGGCCAGGTACTGGGCATCCACTCCTGGTGGCACAGCAAACATCGACATCAAAAACACACAACTTCAGGGATTAAAAAAAAAAAACGCCAGTATAAATGACTTAAAATGACCAAACATTGAGGGATAAATGTTAGAGGATGTTTAGTCATTTTAAGTCAGAGATACTCATTATACTGGCGTTTTGTTATAATGAGTATCTCTGACTTAAAATAACTAAACATCCTCTAAAATCTTTTTTTTTAGTATAAATAGATTATACCTATTTATATCTGTATTTTTTGAGAATCTAACGGTAATCTAATCTAAGTCTAACTCCATTCTAACTCCATCTTCCCAGCATCGTTGGTTTTTTTGTGCGGATCGTCTTGGGGAACCTCCATTGACTCAGTCCTTGAGTGTTGTAGCCCAAGACTTGGACCCAGGTGCTGTCCGTGGTGTCTCGCGCCCCTATGGCAAACCAGAGGCCTCAGAGCCATGGCAGACATAGAGCTATGACCTCTGAAGGATGGTGGCTTTATAGATGGCTAATAGACTGATGGCTGAGAGTTGCGTTTGTTTTTTTGATTTCTTGGGATTTTTGTGATAGCGCCTTCAGGCTTATGGTGTCAAAGATTGATCTATTGTAAATAAATAGGGATGGGCCCGTCAAGCATTAAGCGCACCAATGAGCCGTACAAGTTGTTCTTGATTACGAGTGGAGAAAGCAATCTGTCGGCATCCACTGTTAGGGTCAAAAGTTCATCTAACTATGGTGGGATTCCTTACGAAGGTCATAATCATAATATCTCATAATGGCAACCCAATGGATGTCCACGCTGGTCTGGATTATCCGATCATATCGCCAGCGGCTCATATGGTCTGCGCCGAGGGGCACCCAGTGAAGTGCGAAACCGCAAGCAGAACGATGAGGACTTTGCCTGGCCGCGGGCGTAGTTTCCGAGAAACAGCCACAGAAAGAGGCAAAATAGGCACAGTGGTAGTCCCGGTCAACTCACTTCAGAATACCCTCTGGTAATTTTTAACACTATTGAAAATGGCCCATCTATAGTGGATTTACCCATTGATAGCATGGTGATTTTCAGTATGTAAACGTTTACCAGGCCGGGTCCCTCCAAAAGCATCCGGAAGCCACGCACATCACAGGTGGAACATCTTGGAAACCACCCCAACTTCCTTCGTGGATCATCCCAGTGAATATCTGGCACACCGAATAAAAATATCATGTTGAGACTGTTTTTATCACCTACCCTCTGGTTATTTAACATAGCCATGGTATAGATGGCCCATTTATAGATGGTTTACCTGGGTTTACCTATTAAAAATGGTGATTTTCCATGGCTATGTTAAATTACCAGAGGGTATGTCTGGATTTTAAAACATGATGTAGTTTAATATTAGCGTCTATTAGTTTGACCAAATTAATCCACTAACTCAGATGATCCAAAAAATGCGGCTTCGTCTAAGAATGTTGGCAACCCCCCAATTTTGCTGGGTTCGAAATCTTCAGAACGTCATTTTCCCACAAAACTGACCATGGCCTTGCATATACATATGTGTATGTATATATTATAAATATATATATGTGTGTGTGTATTTATTTATATATATATACATATTTATATTTATTTTTTTATTGTTATTTTTTTATTTATAAATCTCCAAATTTCAAACACAGTTCCATTTTTTGACGATATCCTATGCATTCCATTTCATTCCACATCTATCTATATAAGTCTATATACTCCAGGATATACATCATAAATAAATATACATATGTATAATATTATGTATATATATATATCATAATGATGTGTGTGGGGGCCTTCCCAGCCCCCTTTTTTCCTAGGCACCCCCGATTCGCAGTGCAGCAGCGGGACTCACTTGCAGCAGCGGGCCCAGCGTCTCCGACTGGATGCGCTCTGTGACGTTGGCCATGATCTCCTGGAGGGTGATGCCACTCGGCAGCAAAGGTTGGTTACAAACATCTTTGAAAACCATGTTTGTGGGTAAAATAAAATCTAAAATAATATGTTAAATGAATCTGGTAGATAGCAACAAAAAAGAACTTGGATAAGTTCCAATTCTAGGAAATATAGTGGTAAATTCTAAGTTTGTGAATCTTTTAGGGGGGCGGCTTTGTAGATTTAATGGATAAGAATAGTATGCAATAGCTGGAAATGACTTGGAGTGATAAATTGTTGGTCCATGGAATAAATGGGCAGAGAAAATCAATGGATAGAAAGTTGGATATAGAGTCCTTGAGCAAACGCAAAATGATGCACCTTTTACCACTTTATTTAATGCATATACAGTATATATATATGTTAGCATTGGTTTTGTCTTTTAGTAATTTTGGGGGTTGCTACAATAATTTCGATCCAGATTAATGTGGTAAACCTTATTATAAATCATCCCCAATATGACCATAAATGGGTGGTACAAAGTACAAACCATGCCCAATTTAGATCCCTCCCGTAATAACAGGTAATTAATCAAACATGGCAATGGAAATCAATCTGGTTGGTGGTATACCTACCCCTCTGAAACATATGAGTTCGTCAGTTGGGAGTATGAAATTCCCAACATATGGAAAGTCATAAAATTCATGTTCCAAACCACCAATCAGTCAATCATTTACAAATGATTTCCCATATCTTCCCATTCAACTTCCATTTCCAGGGGCCACGTTTGATTACCGGAGGCAATGGGGCGCTCCTGCATACGCACCAAGCGCAGTAGCCGGACGATTCGTATAATCCGTGTGGTGCGGGCAAAGCTTAACATGGCCACACCTGCACGGCTTGGGTTTGGATGGTTTGGTACCTGAAAATGCTGCAACATCCATCAAGATCCGACAAATTTGCATGGGAGAAATATGGAAAATGATGATGAACCAGTGGGCTTGGGGTGGCCCATTTGACAAACCCACGGAAGCTCCCAGATCTAGGGCATGGCCAAGAACCGAGGTGTGTCATCCGAAACTGGCTTCAAGCCACCTGAAACCAAGCGGTATGTCATTAGCATAGTGAGGATAATCATCTCAAATAAGGGGCTGGCAATAAGAAAATTGAAACACCAGCCATCACCAGCCTCTAAACAGATCACCTTGTTCAATGGATGCCAGGGAAAATTACAGATGCCACTGTTTTCTACTCCAAAAAAAGGAGGAGTCTTGCAGATGTTCTCTTAAACCAATTCTTGGGTCTCTGGTGATACCCACAAAAATGGATGGTTGGTGCAACTTGTCAAGTTGTGCTTTTGTGAGGGTCTGACATCTCTGAAATGTCGGCCCATCCACCACCCCTTTGTGGCCAATCCCTCAGAAGGTAAATTTTGCGGAGAATATGACGGATTACCTTCCAGTAATTCCAGTAAATAAACATAGACCGATCATAGACCGTGAAAATAGTCCATGTGGAAACTAGTCTTTCAACCCCCTATTTGGCGGGATTTATGCTTGTTGGTGAGATGGAAAAAAAATCGAATCCTTCTCCATGAAAATTGATCAACGAATCACTTACTGGCACCAAGCTGCAAAGGTTTTTTTTGCCCTCCTCCGTCTTTGATGGTTTGCTGATATGTTCACATATTTTCCGGATCCATGTTAGAAAAACGGTAGGAGAACCGACTGTAGTGTTGGGGACTTCAGCTGATAAAAAAGCCAAGGTTGATGAATTCGAAATTTACATTTTCTCACACCCACCACCACAAAAACTGCACCAAAAATGAATCAAGACATATCAAGACATATCAAGACTCATTAAGATTCATTAAGATCATTACCCGCTGGTAAACAAACATGCCTATTGAAAATGATTATTTATAGTTGATTTACGAATGTTGAAAATGGTGATTTTCCATATGATTTTCCATAGTTTACCCATTAAAAATGGTGATTTTCCATAGTTTACCCATTAAAAATGGTGATTTTCCATAGTTTACCCATTAAAAATGGTGATGTTCCATAGTTTACCTATTAAAAATGGTGATTTTCCATAGTTTACCCATTAAAAATGGTGATTTTCCATAGTTTACCTATTAAAATGGTGATTTTCCATAGTTAATGTAAACGTTTTACCAGGCCGGGTAAGGTCTCTACATCTCCAGCACCTCCAGAAGAAAAGATGACCTCCGACCAGTCCTCCAGCTCGGTCCATTGACACATTACCAGGCCATATGGGACCCATATGGAGGTTTAAACCAACTTAAACCATTAAAATATGGTACCCCCAAATGGAGGTTTAAGAAAAATATACACAAAAAATGGAGGTTTTTCCCCAAAATTACTTATTAATGGTACCCCCATTTTCATCGATTTGAATAGATTTAAATAGAACTTTAAACATTATAAACCATCCATTGGTCCATTTTGGGGTACCCCCCCTTTTAGGAAACCTCCATATGGGTCCCATATTTCACCAGGATCGTCAACAAGTGCCGAGACGTCGTCAACAAGTCCCGAGACGTCTCGCCACTGAAATTTATTTTTTTTCTCTCAGATGTATGATGCTTAATATAGACATATATGGACAATTATGGACATATCCAAGGACCTTTTTCAGCAACCATTGGTTTCCCCACAATGTCCATATATGTCCATATTAATCAACATACTTATGTATGGGATAAGTTCTGCAACCATTGGTTTCCCAAGTAAAACAGGTGGATGATTTGGAACCCCCCAAGCCCAAGCGTCCGAAAGCACAATGACTAAATCCATCGCCAACCAAGTCTTCGCATAGCGTTTCCTTAGCGAATGGTGTGCGCCAGGCCTTTTTCATGCGAACCGCAGGGTGCTGGCTAAAGGGCTAAATCCAACTCTTTCCCTAGTTCGCATATTTTTCTGGGATTTATATACATGTTTTTATCATTTTTTCCTACAGCACCAAATCATACCAAATCATACCAAATCCACAAGCATGTCATCTCTTCTCATAACATCTGTAGTGCACACACCTATACAATCCTATACTATCCCTGTTTGTTTACGCCCGTCTGTTTGCTCCTGTAGCCACTGAAAAAACGAGAAACGCAAAACGGCTACAGTGGCTACAGATCTCACGAGCCATAGCTTCAAAATGATCTTGATGTCATACTCCACTGAGCCGTCGGCTGTGACCTTAGTCAGCGCGCTTAGTCAGAGCGCATTTCCTGAACCCAAACGGATAAACATGGCTGGGAAATCTGCCAGAAATATAGATGGTCTAATCATGTCTAATCTACCTTTTCTACCTATAAAATCTGTAGTTTTCCTGATTGGCGAATTGTTCGTTCAGGTTGGACTACTGGATGCGAACAATTGGAAACAAACTTATATAAGCTTCTGCCAAAAAAAAAAAACTCTTCCCATCCAAGCTGGATGACGTAAAAAAAGTCCTGGCATTTCCATAAACATCCCATGGCTGGAGAAGCGACGTTCGGAAGCGCTAAAGTGCCATGTGAATGTCTCTGCCCTGAAAGAGGTCGCTTATTAACATATAAATACGCCGTTGAAAGGGGGTCTTCTCGAGTCTTCCCTCATCCTGACTCCATGGCAAATCTTCCGTGCCATTTCAACAAAGAAGTCTTGAGGGAAAATGATACGTCCCTCCATGAAACAGGATCCCTTCTCATGAGATGATCCCTGCTTCAGGCCTATCATGGCCTATCCAGGGCTCCAGGCTACCCCTGTGATGCAGGAGAAGAAAATGTCAAAGGTCCAAAAGAGCCGGGTCGTCCACCTCTGCTGGCGCTTCATCAACTATGAGGGGCAGCCCGTGCAACTGTCAAAAGGTGATTTGTTTCGAATCCTCGAGGAACATTCACCCAACCCTGGACTTTCTGTTGTAGCTCTCCCTGGCATTTTCGCAGTAACGATCCCAAAAACGGGACATTTACAGCCCCTGCATTTTGTTCATTCCGTTACCCTCCCAACTGTGGTGCAGAACACCGCAAAAAAAAAACAAGCACAATAAGACAACCATTTGGAAGATGATGAAGATGGAACTCATCTGCAAGTTTTGAGGGGGCATTACCGCTATGCTAGGGTTAAAAAGAGCGCAACAACTGTGCCAACTCTCATGCAGCCAAGAGGCTCCATGAAGTCTAAGAACAAGTTCTCTGGCAAGGTATACGCTTGCCTCAGGGCTACTTGATGGTGCCAACTACTACCATCCGTCAAGCATGGCTGGCAACGGGAAATTGTACTGTCAATGGGTGGATTTCCCATTGCAATCTTTGATTCCCAGAGGGCATGTCTGCTAAAAGTAGGTCATATAAGTCATGACATTGATTGCTTGCGCAGCAATTTATGCAATCTATGCCAGCTACTTTTGGTTGAAAAAATGCTCCCTCACGTACGTATACAACACTATTGACCACGTAGGGCTACAAGTAGTGCCAGGGTTCGCTAGCTGATAACGAGTGAACGATAACCCGCCTTTCGGCTCCCCATTGCAAAGCATTCCTCACGGCACTATTCCCATCCAAACCCAGAAAAACATATCTATGCGCACGGGTAAGGAGTTGGTACTCCACGAAAAATATCAAAACTAGTGTAATAGTGATGAATAATGATGAATAGCGCCACAGAGACATAAAGAAACAGCTTGAAACAGCCTATGGCCATGGCTGCCTGGAGCTGGAATTTTCGACCGATACCCCTATATATACATATGTATATATATTACATAATTAATTATTTATGCCCAGCTAGTTACCCTTCTCGTGCGCAGCAGATCGCATGAGTGGAGTTGGGGACAACCATCCAACGCCCACGTTGACCAACACCAACCAGGCATCATGGACGTGCAAAACAACCATGTTTGAAAAGAGGCATTTGTCGGGGGATGCTGCGCCAATCTTCTGGCACTTCATGCAGCTGAAAGCTATCCGACGGCAACTCTCCCCCCGGCTGCAACATGAGAAGTCACAGGTTTGATGCCAAGCTGCATCGGAATCATGACCTGAGAGTGAATGATTTGTGAGGCTGACACTTGTCTGAACTTTTTGTCCCAGGTCAACATTGAAACATGTTCCACACTGTTTCTGGTTGGTGGTTTCAACCCCTCTGAACAATATGAAAGTCAGTTGGGATGATTATTCCCAACATATGGAAAGTCATAAAATTCATGTTCCAAACCACCAACCAGGTTTGAAACATTTGAGACAAGCTATGACCGGCTATGACATATGATGCTTTGAGGGAACCCGCCGGAGTCATATCCGGGCCACAGTTGTAGAGGCGTTGCTAAACAGTTGTGCTATCTGGATGGGGATGTGCGGCTCCGGGCTCGATTTCCGGCACACATCGTTTGTCGAGCCAAGTGACCATGTCATACAAGACCATAATCAATGAGCCCAAATCCCAGCCGATTCGAGTGTTGGAATCTGGATTCCTCAGTGCAAAAACGAAACCGCGACAAGGCCAGGTGCCTTTTGGGACCAGTCTCCAAAAATCATCAGCTGGAACCACTCTAGAAATGGTCCTGTCCTAAATCCATCTAAATCCTAAAGCTGATATTTTTGGATTGAAGTCATTACTCACGACCCATCTTTGATGGTATAGGGGGAGGAGAAAAAAAACACACACAAAAAAAAAATCGGCAAATCCAAGAAAAATGAACTCAAGGCCAGGTTCAAAATCCATCCGTGCGAAGCTGGCTCCTCGTAGTCATCCTCCTAGCACCCAGGCCCATTTCTGGCTGGAAGAAACGGTGTATTCTCCGTGTATTGCATGAGTTATATATAAATTGACATAGAATGACATATGGTCCATATATGTTCATATACGACCCAAATATTCTGGTATCTTCTGGTTCAAGCATCTTTTGATTGGATTGGTTTAAGGGAAAATCTACAGGAAACCATGGTTTTTACATGTTTTTACCATCAAATATAGGGCTTTCCTGCAAATTTTCCCATCATCCAATTCTATGATCTTTAAATCATTTAAATCCACGATGTTTCTATTTCTATGGAGTCTTTCCCGGCAAGTTGTCCTCGTCTCCCCGCCATGGGGCCGAACTTTCGGACTCCGAGGGAATGCCATTCACTTTGAGCTTCTTCCTGAGACTCGGGAAGCGAAGCGATCCTAAAAACCCCTGCAAAATGATGCAAAATGTCACAGCTTGGTTTGAACATGGTGAAAACCATGGCAATTTTTGCCAATCATCATTGCAAAAAATTGATGATCCAGTGGTTTGGGGGGCGACCGATTTTCCGACAAACCCATATGAAACCCAAAAATGCTGAAATTTTATGTGATTTCCGGCAACATCATTTTCAGGAAACCTTTTGTTGCGGGTCCATGTTAGTTTCAGATGGCCTACAAAAGGCTAGTCTCGGCTCCGTCTAAATATCCAGGGGATCTTTAAACTATCTGCCGATGTCTGGGGGCAATTCCCATGTTGATGTTTACTTTGCTTGAGTTGACCCAACATATGATAGTTATGATAACCATGGGCCTGGAAGTTGTTTCTGGGTAATTGATTTAAATTAAGGATTCCAAAAACTACGAAAACTAAGAAAACTGATTTACTGCGTGTGATTCCCACATAAAAGCATTCCGACAGACATGATGGCACTGTGCTGACATAATCCTGACATATCCAGAGAAAAAACAGAGAATGGTCTCCCCCCCCAGAAGTTGAATGGGGAATCCCCAGGAAAGCTCTACATCTGGTAACAACCCACCCCATTGTGCTCCATGTAAGGAATATTTGCCTACATAAGTGGGTCGTTTTAGTGGGAAATCTTGGGGTTTTTGTCCGGCTAATCCATACATGGAGCATATGCAGCATATGGGAACGTGGAGCTATGGTTTCCTGTTTTGCTTCCTCTATATCTGGGGCAAAAACGATGGTTTCCCAAGAAAATTGCATGATGCCCTTGGTCAGAAAAATGATTTTGTTGGTTAAGCATCACATCATCCCAAATATCACTGCGGTTTCTGGCCAAGATTTTCCCTGAAACCAATCCATTGAAAACCTAAGTCTGGTCGGTTTCACAATATAATCCCAAATAATAGCATATAATATCATATAATATCATATAATCCCAATCCCCAGAGATTGGTTTAAAAAAAACAACCAAAAAAGACGCATAAGATATAATGAACAAAAAATAAACAATCCCCATAGATCCCCATAGTGCGTTCCCATGGATTTCACCAAAAAAACCTGGTGAAAACCACCACTTTGCCAGTGAAAACCCATCGATTTTTACGCCAAGTCGCATGGCCTTGGCGCTGGCCCTCCAGACATCCAGCATCTCGAACTCCTCCGGCCCTCCGTTGCCCTCGTTGCTGTCGGAGTCCGTGTCGCCCTCCTCCTGGTGATGTTGAAAAACGCAACGGTGACGTCACCGTCTTTGAAAAAGTGCCATGAGGAAAAAACCTGGTGGTGTCCAAAACCTGGAAATACATGGAAATACTGTACCTTTTGAGAGAAAAATATGAATATCCATTGCGATTCAAGATGGTCACCAGGAGGGTTTTGACCAATACTCATTTGGATACCAGTTGGGGATGGTTGTAATCCCACCATATCCCACCCATTTATGGTCTATTCACGTTGATTAGTGGGTTTACCGCCACATCCCCCAGAAAAAATGATCCCGTTCTGAAGAAGGTGATGTGGTGGGCTGTGGGCAATTCAAAAGACTTAAGGAAAAATTACGATATCGCCCGACTGCCATAGACCCTGAGAACTTAAATGATATCTATGAACAGCGAATTCTATGAAGAAAGAGTAGTCTTCCCACTGGTATTTGGTGGGGTCTATGTTAGTTGGATGGAGGTTATTACATTTTGAAGCCTCAAGTCTCAGGGGTAACCGGGTAGTCTATTAATGGAGCTGCCAAAAATTGGCAGCAAATTCTTTGCCTCCAGAACATCCAAATATCTAGGTTGATTCATCATGACCCTCCAAGAATATGCGGGAGGTTCGACTATGATTGAAAAAGATCATCCAAGGAAGATTTGAGTTGGCTCAGATTGCCACAGCATGGGTACATCATCTCACACCATCGTCATTATGTCGTCACCAGACCGCCACAGCCCCCGTGGCGTTTTTCAAACCTTGGGTGACTTCTCTTCTCCAGTCACACCTGGCAACACGGCCAACCTCGGTAATGGGCCATTGGGCCATTGGGCCATTCCATGCATCTACACCTGGGGATGGCTGAATTCCACCCATTTCTTTGAAGTGATTGGGGGCGATTTACTGTGGATGATTTGTTGGTTTTACATCATCAAGCGCGCACAGTTTGGAAATTGTGGGCACCCTTGGTCTCATTCTTGTTGCTGGCACCGCTGAGGGGCAAAAAATATCTTTGCCACAAGCGATATTGAAAGCGAAACAATGTTCCAGAGCTGGCAAACCCTTTTGGAGAGCTGGCATTCAGTCGCAGAAAATCCGTGAACATCGGCTATCCTTCAAGCATGATTATATGATTATACCATATCATACCTTCACCTGGATGAAATTCAACAGAAACGGTAGCCTCTGGGGTCGCGTTGCGACGTTGCGACGCCAAGAAACTCGCCCTGGGGGCGTTTGATGACGGTCCGGTTCTTGGAGCCTGGCGGTTGGCGGTTGATTCATGCCCTGCCAAGGTGGAAAACAAAGCGAAGTCAAAGGCCACGAGAAGGTACACCTACACATACTAAAACTACCATCTGGTTATTTGACATAGCCATGGAAAATCACCATTTTCAATAGGTAAACCATCTATAAATGGGCATAAATGGGCCATTTCCCATGGCTATGTTAAATAGCCAGAGGGTATGTAGTCATGAACGGGCTACATAGCAAATCTGAATCAAACAAGGATTTTTGGGGATAAGACATACCCAACAAAATCGGGTAGTCGAGCAAGAATTGATACTATGGCACGGCTGACTCAAGGAGTTGTTTCCACTAAACCCAGATTTCACAGGTTTTCAAGTGATTGCAAAAAAAAGAAACGACCAAATAGCCATATAGTGATAATCTCAATAGCTCACAAAGTTTCTTGTCCTGGAGGAGAGGTAGAATCACAAATTACGAATGTGACCCAACACACAAACCACTTCAACCTTAAATGATTTAGAAATGTCAGAGATTTTTATAGAAACATTAGAAACTGCTTGTGTCTTTTAACATCCCCCACCCTATTTTCCAATTTTGTAGCTTTAGATTCTTGGGGTTTACCCTCTGGTAAACTAACATAGCTATGGAAAGATCCACCATGGTATTAATGGGAAAATCCACTATAAATGGCCATTTTCAATAGCTACGTTAAATTACCAGAGGGTACCAAACTTCCAACCCAGGCGGCCCAGGCGCCTTTCTTCTCCTCTTCCCGCTCCGGCGGCAACGGCTTCCAGGGCTCGGCGATCTGCATGGCCGAAGCATTGGGAACCCATGCCATGAAGGCCTGCCAACTGCCACCTAGCGAGGCGGCCAGGGTCAGCTCCAACATCTGGTGAGTCTATGGCTGTACCATATGATTATACCATTAATTATATATATGTATAAGTACAGTATATCATTATCATTAAATATATATATATGTATGTATGTATGTGTGTGTATATCCATCTATAACTACTATATCTCTATCTATATCTATTTCTATCTCATCATCTATCTCTCAATCTATCTATATCTCTATCTCTATCTCTATATATCTATTATATCTATATCTATGTTTAATCTATATCTACATTTCTATCTACATTTGTATCTACATCTATCTCTCTATCTCTCTATCTCTCTGTCTCTCTATCTCTCTGTCTCTCTGTCTCTCTATCTATCTATCTATCTATCTATCTCGATCGATCTATCACATATCACCTGTAGTTCAATTGAAATGTCTTTGAATACGTCCTTTTTTCTCCGCCAAAAAAAAAAGTGGACACGCACCACCAGGTCTAGCCCCATGGCGACGTCAGGGCCTGGCTTCTGAGCTCCTGGGCGTCTTGGCCCAGTTGTTGGGGGGATATTGGCACCACTACAACCATAGCTCCAAGACGCTGCCTCCTAAGCATTGCATACTGAAAAAATTGACCTAAATTGTCTAGAGGTGCCCTCCAAACAAGCATGGCAGAAGTTCATACAGTTCATACAGTTCATACCCCTTCTTTTCTTGGTACTTTGGATTTTCTTGTAGATCCTACAGGAATGTGGAGTATAATTGCCAGGGGCCAGGTTTCTCTTGGAGCCCAACATGTGGTCCGGGACTGTTTTGTGGATCTCAACACACCGCGCTGCAGTCGTTACGCCTGACCATATCGAGTATATAAATATACACTTGTTTCACCTTGTTTCTGAAAATTTAGGTCAAATCTGAGATACTACTCTGAATTACTACATAAATCTATACGTAAATCTATATAACTATAACTATCTCGTACTATATCATGCTGAACTATCTCGTACTATATCATGCTATATTACTATATGACTATGACATCTATTCCTCAGAATAGCTGCCATCAAACCATTTACCCCGCGCCAAGACACCCTTCTTGCCCCTTTGCATTTTCCCGGGCGGCGGTGGGAACGCTGGGAAGCTGGGCATGGCATCCTGGAGGGGGGGCGCGTGACAGGAGTCCGAAGTGGTGAATAGCCCATATGACCCATGGGAAAACCATGGGAAACCATGGAATAACCCCAAAGAACCATGGGAAACCATCTTTTCTATCCATGTGAATAACTAAATATTAACCCCAAAGATGATAGAAAAGTGGTAAACCATTGGTGTTGGTTTTGGTGTTTGGAGGTTGGCAATTATCGTTCACCTGGAAAAAACAGCGTTCGATCTTTCGGGTATGAAAATGGAAAATCCTTCGCTTATAATGTCAACCCTGGATGAAAATAAACCCCGTTTACGGTTGTTAAAAAAGGGGGGGATACCATAAAAAGGTATCAGATGAAATGACTATTTGGGGGGTACCCCCCTAATTTTCATAAACCATGGATAACCATGGTTTATTCATCCGGGGTTGACATTATAAATGATGAAATCCTTCGCTCCATCATGCTCAAAATGCTGGGGATTTCATCAGCATCAGCCATGTGAAGAAATCTTGCCACCCACCGACAAAGGGTCACCGGTAGAAAGTCACCGAGTTTTTTTGCAACTGGGGTAGCCGGCCTGGTAAACGTTTACATAGCTATGGTAAATGGCCATAGAAATGGTGGATTTAGCCATTAATAGCATGGTGGATCTTTCCATAGTTTTTGGTATGTTTACCAGAGGGTATATTCCTCATATAACTGGCTTGGTGCCCAGCGGGATGCACAGCATTGCACGACTCAGTGGACTCCTGCTTCTGCTTGTAGGATTGCGGTCCCGCATCCTCTTCATCCTGGGAAATCTACAGGACACCATCGTGTTTTACAATCCATATGGGGGTTTCCATAAAAGCGGGTACACCAATAGCTGGATGGTTTATAATGGAAAATGCTATGAAAATGGATGATTTTTAGGGGTACCCATGGGTACCCCCATTTTGGGAAACCTCCATATAGTTGTATGGGTCAAATGTGGGTACCGCTAATTGGATGGTTAATACATGTTAATACTAAGAACAGACTTGAATCTATGGTCCCCCAGGTCTTTAATTTCGACCCATGCCCATAGGGGTTTCCTGCAACTTGTCCCCAAAACCAATGCAATGATTACAGAAGCCTTGGTTTCCCAAGCACTGCTTCCCATATCGATACACCTTCAAAAGGTCAAGTCCCTACTGGCACATGATGTTCCCGCTGGGTGGTAAGAAATAAGATTGTTGTAAGCCAAGCAAAACAATAAATCATTCATTGACCCAGGTTTACACAGTAGTTTAATGTCAACCCCGGATTGAAAAACCCTGACTGCTAATTGGGGGCTTTACCCCCAAAATAGTGACGCATCAATATTAGTTAATTACCCCTAGGTTCACCTTATCACCATCGTATCACCAATGTTTCCACTTCGGCTATGAATCAACTATGAACGCATATCACCCAGCAACTATGACTTTTTCCAAAATATTCCAATCTTGGCTACCATTATCTACCATTCATCACGTGCCAACTGTTGCCGCCATGCCAGTTTCGTTGGTTTTGCTCAAATCCCTAACGCCTGGAAGGCGCGGTTCCCTCTGCTGGGCCTCTTTTTCGGATTCGGCTCCTTAGACACAACGCCAAGGGCTGGGCGATTTCGACGAAGATTATGGGATTTCTGTGGGATCTAAACATCAAAAAACAAATGTCAAGAAAAACAGTTTCATAATTTGGATTTGATATCATTTTAGGGGGACTTCATTATAGGGATTTTTAGAGGGTGATGGACATATGAGCTTCTATTACCTTTCGTGGACTTTTCATGAAACACAATCTAGTTTCCAAAAGAACCCCCACGTTGAGTACACACATATATATATATGTGTGTTTCATGTGCAATTATATATACGTACGCGTATTATATGTTGTTAATAATCATATATAATATGTATGTATATATATATGTCTGTATATACATATGTACCCCCCTTAACGTCCCTATTATAAGAGTATTGCCGGAAAATGCTGGGCTCTATAAAGGCCCGATCCAGTTGATGGTGAGGACATATTTCCACAAGGTAGGGGGCCCATCTGTTCCTATCACCTAGGCTCTGCGATCATGTTTTGGAACATGATGTTGGTCACCTGCTCCGGAACTTTCAGACCCAACTTCTCCCGTAGGAAGGTGTTCTCAGCCACTAAGTTGGACATCTGCGAGTCATGAATCACCTTGCGGCACCAGAATTTCCCGGTGAGAAGGATAGGATGATAGGAAACTCCAGATTAAGGGATTTCTCAAACGGCCAAATTAAGGATTTATACAGTCCTCAAGTCCTCATGTTTGGCAATCCCTAAAGAGTCTCCAGATTCTCCCCATGGATCCAGAAAAAGGGCTGATTTTGGTTACCTCACCACACTGCGGTCCGCCTGAACTTCATCGAGCACAGCTAAATGCCTCACCAAAAGCTCTTCTGCTTGCGCGCGAAACTCAGCTACACACCTCGTTCGAAGGGCCGAAGGGGGCTTTGGCGTCACTGGATGTGCATGTGGTGTCCAAGAAGTAACGGAAAGCTTGAGGGTTTGTAGCGGGGCATCCTTCCCAAATGTTGTTGGGCCATTGTCGTGACAAGAAACATGACTGGTCATGACTTGTTGACCTCGTCAATCTTTATAAATCATAAATAATCATAATAAATCATAGAGTAAGTAAGTCAAGTTATGGATAGAAACGAGTCCTGAATTGATGGTCATTGTGAACCGTTGAACCACCGATGAATTCTTGGCGACCAATCTAAACACCAAATCCATAGCCTGGAGAATCATCAGTCACCACTGTTCCTATCCACTTTGGGTAGGGGGGAACCACGGATGAAACCAGCAACCCTGATCCACCTCGGTGAAACACCATCAACGCCCCTGAAAATTTCGTTAGTGGAACCCCGAAAAATCGGAAAACTTCAACCTCCAGAGCCAATGATGTTCCCATGATTTTCTCAAAATGACGATGGACTGAGCGCACCTTTTGACCATTTGAGGTCTCCCCGCATCCCAGGCCTTGAGAGGCCTGCCTCCAGTCTATCCACTTCCTCCTGCAAGGTGGGTCCATTAGGGCTCACCGGCGTCAAACCTCGGCGCTGGGAAGCCACCAACGGAGTTTTTTTTTGGGGCCCCACGGCCTTGCGTTCGGCAATTTCCAGAACATGTCTAAAACCTTAATTCTTTTTGGGATGTCTTGCCCTTTTTGGTGTGTTTCATGTTGAATTCATTGAATTCTAGAGAGGGTGCAACCCTCTAGTAATCAAACCTTACTCTTTTTTTGACAAAACTTACCGTTAGTGAAAACATCACCTAAAAAGCCGGGACGGTTGATTCCACAGAAGTCTGTATATGCACAATTAAAAATTACAATTATAGTAAAATAATTATACATCATGATACTGTAATAACAACAAACACAATGATCATAGACGTATATACATATACTTAAAAAATAAGTAAACACGCAGAAAGTCATGTTTTACTGTATATCTTGTATATAGCACAGATATACCCAACTCAGCTATATCTGGGTATATTTCAATGTATTAATATACAGGTATTATATACCCAACTTTTTGCCCATTCAGCGTTCGACCCCAAGAAACTGGGCGACTTCGCCGCCGAAGTCGCCGGCAGGATCGGCGTGACGTCCTCGAGCTCGCCTCGGGGCGTGGCGAGATCGATGGGGGAAAATGAAGGCTTTAGACCAAGGAGATGAACTACAGGTTATACGTGGTCTATACATGGCTTATACATGGTCTATACATGCTTTATACATGGTTTATACCATGTTCTAACTAACATTACATGTCCGAATGATTTAAAATGTTGATTTCTTATACCACGTTTGAACTAACCATGCTTTAACAAACCAAAAATTGACAAACCATCTTTTGGCCAACCAAACATGTTAAAAGGTTGGTTTCAACCAAAAATTGGAAGAGGAAAAAAACAGATTCAACCAAGCAATTAAATAGAGATCTCACCAAGAAAACACTGTTGTTTGAGAACGAATAGGTCGTTTAAGCAGCAAAACTAGGGTAACTAGGGTGTTGAACAAACCAAGCTGGACTAAAATGCTGATTCGACAGAACTTGGGGATTTCTTCAAGTTCCTTCATCAACATCACCTTTGTCCGGAAGACCTATTGTTCCACCACTTCCCACGCTAGGAAACAGTGCTGGTGCGGTAGCTGGGGCATCATATATTGCACATGTATAAGTATGCATGACTATGCCCTGTTGCCAAGTAAGCTTCAGAAATCTATCTTCACTGTGACACCTGGTGTAGCTGCATATGGATCTACCATGATCTACCAGGGTCACCTATTCTGCTGGGTGACTGTCTGAAAATAGGGTAGCCCATGTACCCCCAATCCATCACCTGATTGATCACCATCAAATCCCTATTTTCACATGGCCACAACTGGGGGGTAAAACATCGTAAAACCATAGTTCCCAGTTTTCAGACACCCCCAGATTAATCATATCAGTTGGTTAGCCAAAAATCTAGGATCTCCCCCATGATCTTCCCATGATTGTTGCTTAAATCACCAGATATTCCCAATATAGTTTACATATTCTTCATATAATGTAATATAATATAATATAATATAATGTAATGTAATATAATATAATGTAATGTAATATAATGTAATATAATGTAATATAATGTAATATAATATATTATAATCTAATCTAATATAATATAATATAATATAATAAATATAATATAATATATAATAAAGTATCATCTAATATAATATAATATAATATAGTATAATATAATATATATATATTATAATAGTATATTATTATATTATATTATATAATCTAATATAATATAATATTACATTATATAATATAATATTATATTATATTATATTATATTATCCAATATAATATTATATAATATAATCTAATTTAATATATCTAATATAATCACCATAAATCCCCAATCTAGTTTATATATTCTGTATATATATATATATATCTCTCTCTCTCTCCCCAATATAGTTTCTATCTATATAATAATATATATATATGACCAACCAGATCACCATGAATTTCTGGGTGAAATCTGTGGTCTGAGTTGCTCTCGGCTGTGACCAGCACCTCGACTCGGTCCTCTACCTGCACAAATCGCTGGATCCATGGGGGAATTCCTACGGAGGTTTCATGAGGTCATGGGGAAAATGTCTCAGAAAAAATGAGGATTTGTCATGGGGAATCCTGAAAAAACATGGGGAAAAATGAGGATTCGGTTTTTTGTTATGGGAAAATCCCACCTTTTTTTCGATGGAAACTGTGGGTAGCCCAAAATCGGAAACTTTCGGGATGAAGCCAGGGGACAGTCAAAAAAAAACAGTCAGATTTCGCCCATGAAAAATGGGAGTTGAACCACTGATGGAATGGGATTTAACCACCAGAAATGGGGATGAACCACCAAACATTGGGATTAACCCTTGAAAAAATGATGCGGCTGTTTGTACGCAATTTGCCTACTAAAAATGATAGGTGTCCATAGCAAAACTAATCTTACCAGAGGGTAACACAAAGAAAAATCGGAGTGAACCAGCGAATATGGTATTCTCTGGATGGATTTAGGGGAACATCTGAAGGAAATGCTGGCACTTATGCAGTAGGAGCTCCCAGCTCCAAATGCTGGCACTTATAAAACCATTCCTGCCGAGGTGTTGCTCCCTTGAAATCTGAAGCTGTTCATCCCTTTTAACTGCACCAAACGCGGTTGGCTATGGAGGGAGCCATCCCTTTCTAATCCATGGGGGTAACCCCCAGTTATCATCCACTTATAGTAGGATTTTCCACGAAATAGACATAAATAAACCATCCAGCTATTGGGGTATCCCCATGACTATGGAAACCCCCTACATCTCAAAAAAAAATCCTGGCCTCAGCTTCCTTCAGGGGAGCATCCAGCGTCACCTTCTTGGACGAAAGTCTCTGCGGCTTCTCCTTCTGCAAAGCAGACTTTCCCGGCTCCATGGCTGGAAATCAGCTGAAAAAGCTGCTGGATGCTCGGAGCTGGAGTGGGCTTTTGAAGACACAAGCCAAAAGCATGACCCTGATCTTTGAAGATCCAGCTGGTATGTTACCCTAATTGAGTAGCAATTCAACATGCATAGGAAACTGAGTATGACTCCAGCAGAACCAAAGAACATCGAAGAACCATTTGTGCCAGGGGATTAGGAGGTCATCTGGCAAAGGGGACACCGCGGCTTGATACTCAAGGAGCTCTGAGATGGAGACCACTCAATGGCGAAATGGATTGGTTGAAGGGAAAATCTAGGGCAAACCATGGTTCTCACCAAACTTGAGAGCAGGCGGAGGCGGACGAAAGGTAGTGTAGTGGGAGAGGAGTGGTGTCAAAATGCTGCGCCCCTAAGATGATACACCAAAAACATTTTTGCGCAGTCTAAGATCATTTTATCCAGAGCATGACTGCATGATACGGTGTCTTGTGCAGCGTGAAATGATGCACGAAAAGGTGTTTATTTAAAACCCCTTTTTAAGACCCCTTGCAGCAACTGTTATTGAGGCTGAAGCAAACCAATTATGCTGGACTACAGGGACATCTCCCTCATGGAGAGTGTGCCTCTACTGTGGCGGACCGTGACCGCGTCACCCGTGGGAATTGAACCCATGACCATTTTAGAGGGGGGGGGCCCTTATAATTGATATCTAATACATAACGTCGAGAAGTCTACGTTTTCCACGGGCTGGCCCCCCAATACGCCCTATGATTGTGCTGAAGCACGGAGAACTCAGGTAGCTGACGCTACCTTTCGTGATATGGAAGTTTCCTATCAGACTATCCCTTCATCCAATTCTGGGAATCACGGAATATCATGGAATATCAACCAAAAAATGCGGTATGACTTTGAACTCACCAGGAACATATCAGGAATTACTTCAAGCATTTTTAGCTGGTAGGCCACGAGCCGAACTTGGTATTGGTTCCAATGAGGGGCCCCGTTTGAATCATAGGTGCAATAGGAATCCTGCTCCTGAAATAAACAGTTTGAACCCTGGGAGTCATCATTCCATCTCTGCACCTAGCGTTCATTGGGAAAATATCCCCAAATCTATCCGACTCAAATCGCGTTCACGGGAAGATCACAGGAAACCATGGATTTTACCAGCAAAATATTGGGTTTACGGCATTCCCTCCGACCATTTCTGGAAAAAACAAAAATTAGGGCTACTGACAAGATGACCATAGATTGCCTATGATGGCGAACGTGAGGCTAGTTACCACGGCTATTCAATGGTTTCCTTAGTGATTCCTTCTAATGGCTGCGTTGCGATCGCAACCTTTGGATATCCATTCCGCTAATGATGGCCCAATAAGTAATATTGTCAGTGGCTCATGTAAGGCTCATAGTATTCATATGTATTCATCTACACCATGTCCCTGCCTGAAGAGAAAAGTCCTGCATCCCAGAATTGATTTAACACGTTGTATATAATTCACCATTGTGTCTAGGCAAACTATTTATATCGATGTATATCATCATAAACTACGGAAAAAAGTGGAAAAAATACATAAAAATACATCGGGTACAACCCCTGGATTTGGATAGTAAATTAACATGTTTCTCCAATAGATTTTCGATAGATAATCCAGTGACCAAAAGCATCTTGGCCAAGAGGCACCACCAACGTCACATCTTTGATGTCCAACCTGTCAATCAAACCGCTTTTACAATGAGAAAGATTGAGAAATTGAGAAAAAAGATTGATGATATGGGAAAACAAAATTATATAAACAATAGCAGTTGGGTATGGTTTAGGATACTTTCAAAGGGTAAAACAAATTCCAACAAACAAATCTATGCGCTGAAAGCTTCGGAATAGAACGGGTTCATGTCACGTTTTTTGCCCAAGATTGCACTCTTTAAACTCACCTGGAGCCTTTAAAAAAAAGCAAATCACCCCAGGCCCCATGTATTTAAATGTTGTTTTACTTCCAGGTCAGTGTTTCAGGATGCTGTGGTTTGGTTCATTTTTTTAGCTCCTGGAGTTTCGAATGGAAAAAATCGCAGGAATCTGATGAGAAAAAAGGGCACCCGCACCCTCTGGCAGCCACATCTGTAGCCACAAGCACACGGGCTCGGCCATTGCGAAAGTCCGCAAGGGCGTCTTCTCTCTCCTGGGACCATCAAGGGACCAGAAAACCCACCATCAATGGCATCGAAAACAGGCTTAAGCCTGGCTGAAGCAGAAATGGAATCCAAGAATGACTATGTTATGCCATGTTCACACCAAACAAATCTATATCATCATCCTGATTCAGGTTCGAATGGTAAGATTTTTCGGGTAACTCGGTTGAAGTCGAAGCTATCACAGGGACTCCGAAGGCGTGTCAGTCATGACTGCTAGAGACAGGATGGCTCATCCGCACGTTCAGAGGTCATTTATGCGACATGGGCCAAAGGTAGGAACTCAAAGAATGGGATGGTTGATGATTGACAGTGGACATCAAAATAGATAGTATCGATGAATATCAATGGGAAGGCTGTGGCCCAGGTTCCTCAATCGAGACCCGGGTCCGTTGGGGTCCCGGGGTGCATCACGAGGTATCCTTTCGAGAGTCATCATGCCACCATCTGAGGTTGGTACCCATGCTTTTGCAAGTTCCTACTATGGCCACCTGGACCCCCAAGCCGATATATCAGTCATAGCCGTGGCCCAAATCTACATCTGGATCATCTAAATGCATCAATCCTCATAAATCATATATAAATATAGACGTCCTAGAGTAGCTAGGATATGATTAGAATATGGAACTCTCAAAAACAATTCAAACTAGATTGGGAATATGTCCTATACACTATTAAATCAACTGTTCAAAATCTATAATGTGGTGTAAAACAATCAGAAACCATCCCCCAGTCATCACCATTCCCAGTCATGGCTGGTTATTATGTTCGATCTACTCCCGACGTCACCAACGCCACGGCCTGCCTGTTGATCCTTGTCGCTGTGCATGGCATTGGCGTTGATCTAGGCCATCGACGGACGGTTATCACCATGAATAATTACCACCATGAATACGGCTTATTCGCCACTCATTCGTGTGGTTATTAGCCAGTTATGATCACTATTAGCCACCATTAAATCCATGTTTATGACATGTTATTACCACATATTACCACTATTAAATCCGCCTATTCATGTATAAGCTCCGGGTTACAATGTTACAACACATGTTTTTTTAACATCACGTTTCACATCTGGCACCTGCAAGTTAGGGATAATCCCAAGTTGGGGACCTGAAACCACCAATTTCAGTGGAGATGTGCCTTGTAACCACAAGCAAAGGCACTTTCTCATGTGCAATGTATAATATAATACAGTATAGTATAATAAAATATAATTTGATACATATAATATATATATATTCTATTTTATTATACTCATATATATATATATATTATATTATAGAATGCGTTAAATCATATGCTATACTATATGCGATAAATCTTATATATGCACGCATACACAATGCAGGACAAATATGCCTTGCAGTTGATTCTGCTCACAGCGTGGTGGCTGCTGCATGTTACAATCAAACAAGGGCCTTTCGCTGCCATAAATCTGCGGGACATTCAGGGTGGAATTTTGGTGGTTCAACATCACCTGTCGCAGATATTCAAGATTGGATTTATGTTGAAAACAGAACTGATTTTTGGAGAGTGCCAAAATTCTGTGCCTGGTGACCACAAACAGAGTGATCATTTCGCACGCACCATCTCATTATTCTTGGCCCATACCCAAGCAGAGACCACGCAATCTCCTTTTCCCGGTGCAGACACAAGAAGCTCAGGTGCACTGCCCCCAAAAAGCTTCCAGCTTTACATGGAGATGTTTCTCTTTCTCCCTCAGTTTTTTTTTGAAAATTTTCCCATACCTTTCCCGTTACACTTAAATGAGTGTCCCTATGATTTCCCTATGATTTCCCAAAGGGGTTTGTCTGAAAATGTTGTGTGCCTACACCCAATGGTTAATGATCAGTTTCCCTATTAAATTGCCATAATTGGGGGTACCCTATTTTCAGACACAGCCAAAGATTTCTCAAAAGTCACCAGCTCAGCCGAAGGCACCGCGTGCTTCCGCAGGCATCGCACCACGATGTCACACTGCTTGCGCATGGCCACGAAGACCAAGATGCGCGCGGAGTCCGCAGATCCGCGAAGCACCTGGAGGCTGCTGAAGTGGAGAATTTGTTTTTTTAAAGTGGGGAATCATTGAGATTTTATCGGGATTTTATTGGGATTTTTATTGGGTTTTTATTGGGTTTTATTGAGATTTTATTGGATTTCATTGAGATTTTATTGGGATTCGATGGATTTTATTGGGATTTTATCGGGATTCTATTGGGTTTTTATTGGATTTTATTGAGATTTTATTGGGATTCGATGGATTTTATTGGGATTTTATCGGGATTCTATTGGGATTCTATTGGATTTTATTGAGATTTTATTGGGATTCGATGGATTTTATTGGTATTGGGATTCTATTGGGTTTTTATTGGGTTTTATTGAGATTTTATTGGGATTCGATGGATTTTATTGGGATTTTATTGGGATTCTATTGTTTTATTGAGTTTTATTGAGATTTTATTGGGATTCGATGGATTTTATTGGGATTTTATTGGGATTCTATTGAGTTTTTATTGAGTTTTATTGAGATTTTATTGGGATTCGATGGATTTTATTGGGATTTTATTGGGATTCTATTGAGTTTTATTGAGTTTTATTGGGATTCGATGGATTTTATTGGGATTTTATTGGGATTCTATTGGGTTTTATTGAGTTTTATTGAGATTTTATTGGGATTCGATTGATTTTATTTGGTTTTTATCGGGATTCTATTGGGTTTTTATTGGATTTTATTGAGATTTTATTGGGATTCGATGGATTTTATTGGGATTTTATCGGGATTCTATTGGATTTTATTGAGATTTTATTGGGATTCGATGGATTTTATTGGGATTTTATTGGGATTCTATTGAGTTTTTGTTGAGTTTTATTGAGATTTTATTGGGATTCGATGGATTTTATTGGGTTTTTATCGGGATTCTATTGGGTTTTTATTGGGTTTTATTGAGATTTTATTGGATTTCATTGAGATTTTATTGGGATTCGATGGATTTTATTGGGATTTTATCGGGATTCTATTGGGTTTTTATTGGATTTTATTGAGATTTTATTGGGATTTTATCGGGATTCTATTGGGTTTTTATTGGATTTTATTGAGATTTTATTGGGATTCGATGGATTTTATTGGGATTTTATCGGGATTCTATTAAGTTTTTATTGGATTTTATTGAGATTTTATTGGGATTCGATGGATTTTATTGTGATTTTATTGGGATTCTATTGAGTTTTTATTGAGTTTTATTGAGATTTTATTGGGATTCGATGGATTTTATTGGGATTTTATTGGGATTCGATATTTTATTGGGATTCGATTGAGATTTTATTGGGATTCGATTTTATTGGGATTCGATATTGAGTTTTATTGAGTTATTGATTATTGGGATTCGATGGATTTTATTGGGATTTTATTGGGATTCTATTGAGTTTTATTGAGTTTTATTGAGATTTTATTGGGATTCGATGTATTTTATTGAGATTTTATTGGGATTCTATTGAGGGATTCTATATTGGATTTTATTGAGATTTTATTGGGATTCGATGGATTTTATTGGGATTTTATTGGGATTCTATTGAGTTTTATTGAGATTTTATTGGGATTCGATGGATTTTATTGGGATTTTATTGGGATTCTATTGAGTTTTATTGAGTTTTATTGAGATTTTATTGGGATTCGATGTATTTTATTGAGATTTTATTGGGATTCTATTGAGTTTTATTGAGTTTTATTGAGATTTTATTGGGATTCGATGGATTTTATTGGGATTTTATTGGGATTCTATTGAGTTTTATTGGGATTTTATTGAGATTTTATTGGGATTCGATGGATTTTATTGGGATTTTATTGTGATTCTATTGAGTTTTATTGAGATTTTATTGGGATTCGATGGATTTTATTGAGATTTTATTGGGATTCTATTAAGTTTTATTGAGTTTTATTGAGTTTTATTGAGATTTTATTGGGATTCGATGGATTTTATTGGGATTTTATTGGGATTCTATTGAGTTTTATTGAGTTTTATTGAGATTTTATTGGGATTCGATGGATTTTATTGGGATTTTATTGGGATTCTATTGAGTTTTATTGGATTTTATTGAGATTTTATTGGGATTCGATGGATTTTATTGGGATTTTATTGGGATTCTATTGAGTTTTATTGAGTTTTATTGAGATTTTATTGGGATTCGATTGATTTTATTGGGATTTTATTGGGATTCTATTGAGCTTTATTGAGTTTTATTGAGATTTTATTGGGATTCGATGGATTTTATTGGGATTTTATTGGGATTCTATTGAGTTTTATTGAGTTTTATTGAGATTTTATTGGGATTCGATGGATTTTATTGGGATTTTATTGGGATTCTATTGGGTTTTATTGAGTTTTATTGAGATTTTATTGGGATTCGATGGATTTTATTGGGATTTTATTTGGATTCTATTGGGTTTTATTGAGTTTTATTGAGATTTTATTGGGATTCGATGGATTTTATTGGGATTTTATTGGGATTCTATTGGGTTTTATTGAGATTTTATTGGGATTCGATGGATTTTATTGGGATTCTATTGGGTTTTATTTAGTTTTATTGAGATTTTATTGGGATTCGATGGATTTTATTGGGATTCTATTGGGTTTTATTGAGATTTTATTGGGGTTCGATGGATTTTATTGGGATTTTATTGGGATTCTATTCGGATTTATTGAGATTTTATTGGGATTCGATGGATTTTATTGGGATTTTATTGGGATTCTATTGAGTTTTATTGAGTTTTATTGAGATTTTATTGGGATTCGATGGATTTTATTGTGATTTTATTGGGATTCTATTGGGTTTTGTTGAGTTTTATTGAGATTTTATTGGGATTCGATGGATTTTATTGGGATTCTTTTGGGTTTATTGAGTTTTATTGAGATTTTATTGGGATTCGATGGATTTTATTGGGATTCTATTCGGTTTTATTGAGATTTTATTAGGATTCGATGGATTTTATTGGGATTTTATTGGGATTCTATTGGGTTTTATCGAGTTTTATTGAGATTTTATTGGGATTCGATGGATTTTATTGGGATTTTATTGGGGTTCTATTGGGTTTTATTGAGATTTTATTGGGATTCGATGGATTTTATTGGGATTTTATTGGGATTCTATTGGGTTTTTATTGGTTTTTATTGAGATTTTATTGGGATTCGATGGATTTTATTGGGATTTTACTGAGTCTTTACATGATTCATACCTATCATCAATCATGAGATTTAATGACTATAGGGATTTTAATGAGCATAGGGTTTTTCATGATTACCAATGGGGATTAGAATGGAAGTTGCTAAGGATATAATTATGATGATGTTATATAAATAATAGTGATCTCTATTTAAAATCCCCAAACAAAACATGATGAATTAATTCGAATGATCTGTTGAGTGGCTGAATTCTAATGAGCAGTGGCTGCTAAAATCCTCGTTGATGAGTGATTGAAGCATCAAACCGTTTAAGCCTCAAAGGCGACCACTTCCAGACCATGACTCATGGAGAGGGGTTGTAAATATTCATGCAATTTCCTCAGGCTGGTGTGTGTCAGCTTTGTTTACATTTAGTCAATCATGTCAATCATGATTGTGTGCAAAAAAAAGGTTGCCGGTTGCCAGGTTCATCGCCAATATATTGCACATCATAGCCCCCCACTAGTCATCAACGAATGGCTCATTTACATGATATTATATCCAAGTGTTCGATGGGCTACGCCAAGAAACCTCCATAAATGGTGATAAAATCCACCGTTGATGGGTTGTCCTCTGGTATCCTCTGGTATTGCTAATTCAATCTGGCGATGGAGAAAACACCATCAGGACCGTTTTCACCAAAGTGTAGATATGGGTTGAACCTGAACCAGGTACTTATTACATAAAAAGGACAATGTACAAGACAGTCTGAGGTAGAAGCATGTAAGAATGTAAGAGCCATCAACAACCCTTTATTTATGCAATGCAAGGGCTGGTAAATGAGTGTACATGGGAGCATGACGTTTGAACATCTTTGAACCATCTATTGTTGAGGAATAAATGTCAATCAGCATCCTAACCTCCCCTGCACCCACAAAATCTCACATCGCAGGCAACAAAGGACCTTTCCAATCAGAAAATCGTCTTCCAAAGCATTCCAAAAACCATTCTCAGTAGTCATCTATAAATGTGTGACATGTTCCATCATATTCCTGTCCATATACAGTACATCCCGTTTTTTGTAAACCCTCAGGTTTCCCGATGCAGGTCACCCATTTCCCAAGATGGGCAGTCCACTGAAGGTCCCAAACCCTCCAAGTACCTGATTTCGAAAAAAAGGAGGAAAAAAAAACAGATGTCATCACTTACCATTGGTTGTAAAGGGGAACCAGCAGGAAAAGGACATCCTGCAATCATCAACCTGCCGATGTCCAGCTGCCGATTTTCCACCTGCAGAAGGGCGTCGTCTTTCTGGGAGGCGTCCAGCACCATGACCTGCTGACTGATGTCCTCATTGGCCTGTGGTGCCATTTCTCAGTGAAAACACATTTGAAAAGCCACAGGAAAAACGGAAATCATGCCGATTTTGCAAGAAAATCTGACATGTCTGAAACTTTCGGCCTTTGACTATGGATAGTTCTTACATTACATCACCACACATCACACACATCACGCACATCACGCTGGGTGGTTCAACAGGATGCGCGTCCCGGTTGATGACCGTGGCACCGTGGCACCTGCAAACTGTTGGTGTCTCCCACCTGGATGTGGATAGGCTCCTCCGTTGGCACGTTGGAAAGCCCTGGGACGCCCTGGGGTTAGGGTATGATACTCTGTATATATATATATATACATATATATATATATATATTACATATCTATCAATCTATCTATCTACCTATCTATCTGAATATCACTTATATTATATAATGTGATATAAAGTGCCAAAGCCAACGATGAGCGTCAATCAGGGATCATTTTACATCATCCAAATCACCTGCAGGGTATATCATTTGGAGAAAGACCGGGGATGGTTACCTCTGGGTGAGTTATAACAGTTCACCAACCTGAGACAAGGTCGTTTGGATCCTTTTGGGGAGAGTCACCCTTACTAACAATCCTTTCCAGGGACGTCGCTATGATTTACCCAGTCAATTCCGATGTTTCCTGGTTTCAATCAGAAAATGAACATTTTTACGGCTAGATCCCACAAAAAGAGGAAAACAAAACCTGTTTGATGGTGAAATTTTCAGGTAACTACTACTGTAAGTTCCAGGATCATCCATTTTTGGGGCTTTGGGACTGGGGCCCTTTACTTTCAGATTTGTTGCAAAGACTTGCCCATTGCCCTGCTGTCTTTTTCGCGCTTTTCGCATTCCCTCAGAGAGGGCGCTGTGCAATCTACGATTCGCGGTCGCACCGCGACTTACGCCACCGCAACCGGGGTGTCTTTGACATCCCGATGGGCCCCTGCCATCTAACGCCCGACCCTCAAAACGAGGGAAATAGGCAATTGCTATCATCCTACGTCGTACTTCGTGACTTACCCTTTGGTAATCAAACCTGGCAATGGGAAATCCCCCATACATGGAGGTTCTAGTGGGAAAACTATCTATGTATCTATCTATCTATCTATTTATCTATCTATCTATCTACCTACCTACCTACCTATCTCTCTGTCTGTCTGTCTATCTATCTATCTTCCTGTCCTGTCCTGTCCTGTCCTGTCCTGTCCTGTCCTGTCCTATCCTATCCTATCCTATCCATCTATCTATCTATCTATCTACATTTGTATGCATATATAATATCATATATATATATATATATGTGTGTGTGTGTCCATTGCCACGTTTGATTACCGGAGGGCCGGAGGGTACAATTCTCTGTTTGCAAATGAATACACGCATACCAAAGGGCCCTATTTTTAAAAAGTATAGGAGTAACGGAGTAACTATGAAGATTTGCAAACATTCAATTATACAAACAAGACAGATATTCCCCACCTAGGCTATAGTCTGAGAAAGCGAGAAGTCAGACTGTGCGTGATGTTCAAAACCCAACAAATCAAAAAAAAAAGAACCATTAAAAAAAAAAAAACGCCTTGCCCCCTTTCTGCGCAGATTTAGGATGCCATATCGCATATGTTGATTTAAAACCTGGATCCATGTTACTGCCATGATGGCAGGGGTGAAGCCGCAACAGGGCGCAGAGCAAAGGAGCTGAGTCAGGCCAGGCCTTTTTGTTTATCCTCCACGGCTGAAGAACAAAAAAATCAAGAAAAATGGGGAGTTGCCCAACTAACCACATGAATTTCGCGTGGCCACGTATGAAATTTCGCGCTCAAATTCAGCTCCCTGTCGCGCGACTTTCTGCAACGGATTCGCGACATTTCTGCCAGAATTCGGTGGAGATCACTCCTGGACCTACAAGAACCGAGTCGTCAAAGCCATTCGAAACCACTGGAAACCACACGGTGTGGTGCTGTGAACCTGCTGTTCTTGGTCATAGCGACACAGAAAGGCCACAAAACATCCGGTTCTTTGTGGATGCAGCTGGCAACCTGGACCGTATCTCAGGGCATTTCCATTTTGGCGCCATCAAAGGAACAGGAATGAAAAACACAGGATGCCGTTGGATCATCATTTACTTGATGGGCTATTGCAAATCGGAAAATAAAATTTAAAAAAAACAGGATTCTGCCGAATGCGGCTGAGATAATTCGATACTGATCATCACATCGACTACAGGCAAAACAAGGTGCTTGTGGCAATTAGGTTGGCAAGCTATATCTGATTATATCTGGATAAATCATAGCGCTTCACAGAGGCGGAAAATGAAGGAATCAAAGGAATGCTTGGGATGCCTTCCCCAGTGCTTCCCCAGCGCCCCTTTTCCAGTGAGCTGAGCTCAATTCTCTCCAAGGTTTTCAACTGTCAAAAGATGTCACAATGTGTGTATCAATAGGGTTACAGCAAAATTGGATCAACACAAGAGTTCGTGGCGTCGTTGTTTTCATGTGTTTTTCATTGTTTTTCCAGTATATATGGGGGCATGGGTCACTGCCAGCTGCGTGAAGGACTTGTGCCTAGTTCGCTTTGAAAACCACTCGGGCCGCGACTGGCCAGGGCAGCTGACACTCGCGTCACGCCACTATCATGTGTCAAAGTAGCTGGGGATTTTTTTCCCTATCCGGTGTGTTTAACAGACGGGATATTCGATTCCTTCGTTGATTGTGAAAGAGCCACCCACACCTGCCGCTTGGCCCACTGATGAACCCCTTTAAGGGTTGATGGATTGCCACGCGAGGTGGTGTCGTCTTTGCGCATGATCGGACCGTGTTTTCTGGCCACATGGCGATTTGAAGATAAGGCAATTTGGAATGACGGCCCAAGATGTCCCCAATCAATGTCAACCAGCATTTCCGAGTGCCATTTTCCATTGAGATATACTGAGATCCGCAGTTCATCACTAAATCCACTGTATGACACCGTGCTGGTAAGCCTATTCCAAATCCTGCGCGTGGGTCATGAAAAATTGCCTCCCAGCAGCCGGTGCAAAGACTCAAAGGAGACCCGAACCTCAACGCTGGCGAGGGTGGGTTTGGATGGCTGGCTTCCTGATGCTAAATGGAACTCGGATCGAGAACGGAATCTACCAGTAACTGAGTCAGTACAACTGTGACGCCTAGTCTCATCTAGTCAATCTAGTCTCTATACCTCTCTATCTCTCTCGTGGTTTTGTGTACGGCTGCCTTGCAAACTGGGAGCCGCTGTACCTAAGGAGTTCATCGGTGTCTATCTGACGTAAGAGTACAGCAATCAGAAGCCACATACCTACTCTCGATCCAACTCCGTATTTGTAATAATATACATACGTATATGCATTTTTCTACATCGTCATATATCAATATCATCATATCTCTATGTAATTATCATATATGCATATAATCAATGAATCATATATATATACGTATATATGTAATAGAATACAACTGATAATTCGTTATGTTTCTGCGAATGCTATAACTAAAACAAAGTGCACACAGCGCGTTCATGCGTGTTCTATGGTCGGTCGATGTCTGTCGGATGAGTTTCTGCGGCGAAGTAGCTCTCCCTTCACCGCTGATGTTGTCAAAGGCTTTCCTCGCAGCCTTTGCTGCCCGAAGCCGCTTGGAACCTGCCGTGAAACCACGGGAAGGAACGGCGTTGGAACGGCGAACGGCGGTGGAAGGGGTTTTCCAGGGGGGAGATTTCATTCACTGGGCTAGGACATTTAGGGAAGCGTGGTGGAAAGAAAAGATGGGAAGAAAAAAGGGGAAGCATGGTGGGAAACACGGTACAAGGGTAGATGATTGTAGTCATGGAATGTCATGGAAACTCTCCGGAAACCAATGGTTTGTAACATGAAAATACGGGGGAGGGCAGGAGGCATTGACGATGGTGCCGATAGTGGCCGACTGACCCGTATTAGCTTATAACTTTACCTCTTAACATCTCTCAACCTATCCAACCAGTATCTTCGTTTGCTGATTGTAGTTCCCGTTATATCTCCCATTGTGCTGTATCCCCATTCAATATCATAACATATCATCAAAATCTATAATTAATGGATTATACTGGCTATAATGTGCTATAATCTCTTCATTCATCCCACGTTTTTGTAAAAAAACATGGGGGGGGCATAGACCTGGACGCCCTGTCTACTCTTGTGCTCCCAGCGGCCGCTGGTTTGGCACGACTCGTCATCCGAGGAATCCGGCACGCGATCGCCCCGATCACCTGTTGGAGCTCAAAAAATCCGATGGGACACGGGGTGAGCTACGGAACTGGTTAGATCTGGTTGGTCACTGGGTGTTCTGACCATCTGATAATCCATTTACGAACTTGCTAACTAACATTAACTCCATAGCCCACCGAAGATCCTCCAAGTACACCCATACGCCAAAGTCCTTGCAATGTTTGCGTTTGACAGCTATTCCCAATCAAAACGCTCGCCACGACCCCTGTCCCGGCACAGACCTTGCAAAACCCCTTTCCCCATTGGAAACGCTACGTTTAACATCGTTTAACAAGGTACCACAATTCTATCTCAAATGGGTTTTTCTCATTATATAATTCACAATGGAACGCCAGTTTCATACAGCCCTTTTGGCCAAGAACTGCTGAGAGCGCATCTTCGCCCAGCATTGTTGCCAGTCCAAACATGGGGAGCAGAGGCAAAAAACCGAAGAAAACTTCAAAGTTTGTGTGATGTCAACTGGGGGGAAAAAACGAGGTCCAAAACGAGGTCAAAACGAGGTCCGAATCATGGCCCACAGCTACGACATATGGAACTTGGCTCAGTAGGTGACACATTCTCCAGTGCGCACCTGTTTCTATGCAGTTATGCATGTACATCTACACAAGTGCACAATGTAGGAGCTGCAAAACCAAACAGCCAACGATGCCAAACATATTGGGACAGCAACCCTAAACACAACCTAAACGCCGCTTCGCCACTTAGGTCTACATGAGATAGTAAAATAGCAACCTACCCTAAACACAAGCTAAACGCCGCATCGCCACGACTTCCACAAAAGCCTTCTCCCAAGCTAATTTCAAGATTTTTGGGATTTCGCCACGACTTGGGCAGTTAGGTGTAGGTGGTTACAGAACAAAGATAGGGGATCAACTGATCAACTGAATCAAAAATGTGCGCATTGTATCGTTTTGCCAAATTGGGCCATTGAAATGAAACATGGACTATGTACCCTTTGTTAATCAAAACTGGCTAGAATCTCCCCTTGCTTCAAGGGAAAATTCCTCTACAAACGGATACTAGTATAATACATATATTTCAATGGTTGGGGCAGAAGTTGCCCTTTTGCTTTACTTCATTGCAACACCGAGCACAGAACCCATCGCCATGTGTCCTGCTGGGAACTGCACGGTCTCATCAAGATAAAGTTGCATCTTCAACAAATCATAGGTTTTTTCCCTCCTGTGATTCTACTTCTAGCCACCCCCAGATAGAACCGCTCAATTTACCACTATATTTTACGAGTAGGAGTTTTCCTAGTTCCCCTGACTTTTCCCTGCCTGGAAGGTGTGCGGTGCTCGCCTTCTGCAGCAGTTTGTCCTTCTCCGCGAGCTGTTGCCTCGATTCAAGGTATTTTTTGAACCGTAAACCATGGGTTTTTAACCAAGAAATATGGTGTTTTACCAGACAACGAAACCATATTGTCAATGGGGGGGTATTATCAACAGCTTGTTGTTCTTTAAAAAAAATGAAACCATTTTAATGTGGGCGAACTTGATACGACTTTTGCCTATTAAAAATCATGATTTTCCACATGGTTTTCTTACAGTACCAGAGGGTGTTTGAAAGGAAAAAGGAAATGCAATTATTCATCATCCTGAAACAAGGCCACTCCACTTGAGAGGCGGACCACCCCCATTGAAGCCGAGGTGGGTGCTACCCTAAGCCCTAGCAAAACCCTGCCTCCGGAAATAAGGCCATTTGGGGCTGATTGAGTTCCCATTTTTTGTGGAGGAATTCCATTTTGATACCCAACCCCCATCCCATCCCATGAATTTCCATGATATATCCCACAAGTTTTCTTCGAGTTCATCACTAAAATATACTAAAATCCCATTTCGCTGCATCAAAAACTGCGTTAAAACCATGCGTAATCGCACAACTTTATACAACTAACCATCAACCATCAACCCCACATCACCTATACAAACCACAAATATACATGCGTATGTATTTAAAACTCGATACCAGTAGTACCGCACAAGGCGGTGGCGGAAGTTTCAAAAATAAGAAACCTATAGGAGAGGTTGGTTGTTGTGAATCACGAATGGCACAGCGAATCCACTGATGGACCGAAAGGTGGTTGGAGTTGTGTTTTTTGGAATGGCTGCAATGGTTGCAGTGGTCACCTCACCCACAACTGCTGGATGTAGTGTGGCGTTGTGCAGTTGTAGTTGTAGCTGTAGCGTAGCGCAGTTGTAGTTGTAGTGTAGTGTGTTGGTGGAGCGCACTTGTAGTTGTAAAGTAGTGTAGTGTAATGTAGCGTAATGTAGTGTAGTGTACTGTCGTCTAGTGTACCCTCGCGTTGTGTACTCTTAGTGTCGTATAGTGTAGTGTAGTCTAGTGTCGTGCGTGTGTGTGTGTGAAGTAGTGTAGTTGTAGTTGTAGTGTAGTGTAACTAGTGTAGTGTAACTAGTGTAGTGTGTAGTGTAGTGTGGTGTGTAGCGTAGTTCGTAGTCGTAGTCGTAGTCGTAGTCGTAGTCGTAGTTGTCGTCGTAGTCGTAGTCGTAGTAGTAGTAGTAGTAGTAGTAGCAGTAGCAGTAGTAGTAGTAGTAGTAGTAGTGGCAGTAGCAGTAGCAGTAGCAGTAGCAGTAGTAGTAGGAGCAGCAGCAGCAGCAGTAGTAGTAGTGGTAGTAGTAGTGGTAGTAGTTGTTGTTGTTGTTGTAGTTGTAGTTGTGGTGTACTGGCAGTGGTAGTTGTAGTTGTCTATCTATCTATCTATCGATCGATCTGTCTATCTATCTATCTATCTATTTATCTATCTATTTATCTATCTATCTATCTGCAAGCTCGAAAACGAAGCTATTCTGCCAGACTTCTTCAATTTTTGAACTTGACAACGTCAAAAACGAAACAATTCTGCGAGACTTCCTCAATTTTGGAAGTTGACAACATCAAAAACAAAGCACTTCTGGGAGACTTCCTTCAAAAATGGAGTGCAGAGCGCAGAGCTGACGGCCTCGTACCAATGCGTTTTGCGATTTTTCCACTCCACCTGCCTAAAGCACTGCGCCTGCCACAAACAAGTGATGCCAGGTCATACGAAATGCCGCATTCTTTGCAAACTTGAAGATCTGATGCTCCAAACATGATTCAAAATGCAACCCCTCTCAGGAAATCAGCGCCCGCACCTCCTAACATCTCTGATGGACATGTCTCTTGTACTGCGCCTGCCACGCGAAATGCATCTTCCTAGATCCTCTTCAAATGTCCCACGCCTGCCATCATTTTTGGACATGCTACAAAACCCTCACGTTTTGCTCACTTTTGACAAGGTGCACAATCCCTTGCGCCTGCCACGCAAAACGACATCTCAACTTTCAAAAATTGGTCCGAACATGTGGTGCTTTTAACATTTTGACTTCGAAATGTGCTTCGCGCCACAACGGCGTGCACTTTTTTGACATCTCAACTTCCAAAAGTGGTCCGAGAATGGTGTGCTTTGTACATTTTGACTTCCAAATATGCTTCGCGCCACAATGGCGTGCACTTTTGCGACATCTCAACTTCCAAAAGCCGTCCGAACATGAGGTGCTTTGTACATTTTGGCTTCGAAATGTGCTTCGCGCCACAAAGGCGTGCAATTTTTCATCTCTCATCTGGCCAGCTGGCTCCGCACCCGCCGCTTTAGCGAGCCTACCTTTCGACCCTCCGGAGCCACAAAACATTGGAAAAACACAGTGTTTCGCGACTTTCCCACCTTTTCGCTCCTGCATCTTCTTTCTTCTGTGACTGTTTCTCTTCTCTGATCTTCTCTCTTCTTCTCTTCTCTTCTCTGGCTCTTCCCACCTCTGCTTTTCCATCTGTCCATATTGTCGGAAGTTTGACTTCTAAACCTCCTTCGACAAATACATAAATAAATAAATATATATATATATCAGAGAGACTCTATATATATATATATAATTAATTAATTTAAATATGTGTATGTATATATATATATGTGTATAATATATATATATATAACATATATATATAATATAATATATATATATATAACGCACACTATATACATATACCTAACACCATCATCCCCATGCCATCCCATGCCATGGCACTGGGCTTGTGCCAGCTTCGAACCCGCCCGCTCCAGCAACCTCTGCAGTTCTGCGCGGCTTACGAAGCCATCGCCGTTCTCGTCCAGGCGGTCGAAGCTGCTGCGCAGCAGCTTGGCCGAGAGCAGGTCGCGGCCTGGGGAAGGGATGGGAAGCTGGGCAGTTGAGGTTACTCTTATGGCCTAACTGATGACTGTAACCATGGTAGAACCCCATAAGTTCATCCTTGTAACCATGGTTCTATATATGGTTATATAATGTTATATATGTTATATATCCATGGTTACACTTATAAAAAGCGAACTGCACTTCCAAGTGATATGAAGAAAAAACATGAAAAACCCACGAGCGATAACATCTCCCATGGAGAATCCATTGGTCCACAAACTGGTTGGCTAATTCCATAGCCCGTCTTCGTGGAGCTTACCACGGAAAATATGGGGATCACATGGGGGCGCAATGGGAGAATACTGCAAATATCATTGGAGATACCATCTGGTTATGACTAACATAGCCATGGAAAATCACCATTTGTAATAGGTAAACCATCTATCAATGGGCCATTTTCCATGGCTATGTTAAATAACCAGAGGGTAATGAAACAGCTTTCCAAAAATCCTCAGGTTCACAAAAATCGTTGGGCGGAGATGGGCCATACCATAGCGACCTTTGCCATAGCAGCTATAGCATGGCTCATCTTTGAGACTTGATACAGACCCTCTCTCCAAGTAACATAGATCCCGCCAAATAGGGTAGTGGAAGTCGATTTTCCTCTAAACATGTCTATGTTAGCGGGAAGAATGGGAAAGTTCCCATTCTTCGAGACTTCAATCACTTGGCCGCTCGAAAATTCCCCCATCCCTGTCCCTGTTGGAGATATAATGGTATATATAATAGGTAAATAATGGGTATGCTATATAATTAATGGCCATATAATACTTGAGCATTAAACATTGGGAGAACATTCCTGCCCCTCTTCCAGGTCTTCCAAGTCTTCCAGGTCCAAGCAACAGGACGGCACTAAAGCAGCCACAAAACGAGAGAATTCCACGGCCCCGCCGCCGTCCCTTAAGAGACGCACGGCGGCCTGTCCTTGGTGGCGCCGGCTGGGGCCCATGGTTTACCTTAATGCATCTGATCAAGTCTCACTGGCATATCATCACCTCACTTTGGGAGCATTATATAACTATAGTAACTACTAGATATATATATATATATTATATATAATTATATATATATATCAAATATCTATCTATCTATCTATCTATCTCTCTTTCTCTCTCTCTCCATCGCCCTCTCCGGGAGTTCAGCATCTTGCTGAAGGCGAGCCAAGGACAGCTGTTTTTTTTATCTCATTTACTTAGCCCCCAGTTGCCCCCAGTTGCCCAAAAATATGTACAAATGCCCTCCCGAGCTGAAGAAAATCCATGGATTTCGAAGAGTTCCCTCCGAGATCATTGTCCCATGGCCACTGGCAGCCCAGCTTCTGGCTTGCTCTGGCTGCAGCCCTGCCTTTGTCAAGGCTTCAGTGAGCTCGCCCCGATCCAACCTCGGTGAGCCCCAAGGCTGGGCGGCTGAACCGGGGATAGGAAGGCGTTTCGTGGTTGAAAAACCCATAGAATTACCATCCAGTCAAAGATATAGGGGGTTCTAACATGTTCTAACATCTTCTAACCCACTTACTGACCACTTATAGCCACACCAGGGGTCCATCGGTCACCAAGGTACATGCCGTTCCCATCCTTGTCCATGGATTCGAAAAGCTGTGTCAGCTCGCCTCGGTATTCACAAGAGGGGTCACTTCATTGAAAACAGATCCGGATTTTGGGGATGAGTTCTGATGAGTTTGGGAATTTCTCCTGGTGTTTTTTCACTTACCATAGTTAGAACATGCCCGCAGCAACTTGGACGCTGGAATGACCTTGGAAGCCCCTCACCCTCGGTCGCCGAGCTGCGTAGTTGAGCCAATGGCAGTTGGGAGGCCATATCTAAAAGCACGGCCTTTCAGCGCCATGAATGACTGATACAACGCCCTGCGGCCTCCAAGCCACTTCCAGCTTGGATCATCTGCCAAACCTATCCAGTTCAAGCCTCGGCTTCACCTATATATCGCTGCTATGGAATCCCCAACATCTTCCCGTCGCGGCCTGCGCCAAAGCATTGGTTCGGTGAAACTGAAGTAGGCCTTGGATAGCTTGACCTCTCTAGCTATTTTTGGTCGAAGGTTTCAAAATCACTAGGCTTTGGCATGAGGACATTGCCGCTAAGCATATGATATAAAATATGACTGACTATTCATGGATATGACCAGCATGATGTCATGGTGATATCATTTTTACCAGGGCTTCCAACGCTTTGCCGTACAGCTGGAAATTTACAGCACGCAGAAGTTGACCACCATGGGTTTAGCATCCAAAAAACTTAATCACACCAGGAGTACTTCAAACCTAGCTAGTCACAAATGAACCTGGGGGTAATCTCTCTTAACATCGATATCCTAGTCCTTCATCTTAGCTCGTGTATGGCACCTACATAGGAGTCACCAAATAGATAGAATTGGATGTTGGTTTGTTTACATGTATGTATGATTTTATCTATTCATGCACATATGCATAATACACGATAAGTTTGAGTATGTAATTATATGTGTATATATATATTTATATATACATAATCATCACCCTACATGTGCATACATCTATCTTCTGCATCTGTATATCTGTATAAGTATATGTATGTTATATGTGTGGGGGTGTTCAAACCAAGCGTGAGGTTTTGGCTCAAACCAAGCGTCTATCAACTTGTCCAGCACCGAGAACTTGCTCTCCTTCAGGAGCAAAGCTTGAGGCAGGGCGCGCTTATGGGCGCCAATGGCTAAACAAATGGGTACCCTGGTTCTCTCATCCATAACTATGTCTATATATATATATACTGTGGCGGACCAGCACTTAGAATTTAAAAAAAAAAGATTAAAGTTTTAGAATATGGATTTATGTTAATTTTTAACATACTTGAGCCCGGGGTGAAAAGCACTAAGAATATTCAAATCGAGGGGGTACACATAGAATATTTTTGTAGTATGCTGTCTTAAGGAAAAACTAGCTACATCCGACCATATATCCCAGTAATTCCCAATAAAAATCATTACCTCCAAGCCTCCTCTCGCTCTCTCTCTCTCTCTCTATCCCCGTTCCTGTTTTTTTTTTTGGGTTTCCCCATCAATCTATGGTACTCTACCGTGCTACCGCATGAGTACCTCAATGTATGGGTTCGCAAATCTCAATGGAAAACGAACAAAACCCAATACATCAACACAACAAGAACATGGTTTACAATAACAAACTCAACAGTAAACTTGTTGGTTCGGTACCTTCTTTGATGGACTATCAGTGACTATGTAGTTGTGGCCATATTCTAAGTGCATTTACTGCCCATAAGCGCACAGTTATACAGGCAAAAGCAGCAAGTGCAAAACCGGTTGGTGCTGTACCATGCGTGTTTTGCTGCAGTACCAAAAACAACTGTAAACCATGAGGTACCGTACTGAGATTTATCGGCGATCATGAACTCAACAGTTGCATTTTGTTTATGTTTTGTTGGTATTGTACACGGCTTGTCTTGCAGTAACAAACTCAACTATATATAAACTGTTCAGTTCTGTATCTTGCTTGATGGACAAAGTGACTCTGGCAGTTGTGTGCATATTCTAAGTGCATTTGCTGCGCAGAAACGCACACTTTTACACGAAAACAACTGCCAAACGGTTGGTACTCTACCGTGCGTGTTTTGCACTACCAGATGCAAGAACTGTAAGCCATGCGGTGCTCTGCTGAAATTGTTGTGCAAACGTGAACTCAACTGTTTCATGATTTGGTACTGTACAGTGCTTGTTTTGCAACAAAGAACTCAACTATAAACTGTCCGGTTCTGTATCTTATTTGATGGAATACGCGACTCTGGCAGTTGTGGCCATATTCTAACTGCATTCACTGTCCAGAAATGCACAGTTTTACACAAGCAAAAATAACAAATGCCAACCGGTTGGTACTGTACCATGCATGTGTTGCAGCACCAAATGCAACAACAGTAAACCATGTGGTGATGTACTGAGATTGTTTGCGATCATGACTCAACATTTGTACACTGTGTAGTACTGTATCTTGCTTGTTTTGCAGTAACAAATTCAACTGTAAACTGTTCGGTTGTGTACCTTTCTTGATGGACTATCAGTGACAATGTGGTTGTGACCATATTCTCAGTGCATTCACTGCCCATAAATGCACAATTTTACATCAACAAAAACAACAACTTCCAACCAGCTATTACTGTACCATGAGTGTGTTTCGCAGAACGAATTGCGACAACTGCAAGCCGATGTGGTGATGTACTGAGATTGTTTTGATACAGCTGCATTTGTTTTGCAATTTACCTTTGTTATGAAGGAAGTAACGAACCCAGCTGTATGTTCCTGTTCTTTGTCTTGATTGATTTTCAAAGTGACCATGTTAGTTGTGATCATATTCTAAGTGCATTTGCTGCCCATAAATTAAATGCACAGTTATACAGGCAAACGGCAGACGCAACAACTGCAAACGGGTTGGGAATGTACCATGCGGCGACCATACGTGTTTTGCAGTGCCAAATGCAAAAAATGTAAACCATGTGGTGTTGTACTGAGGTAGTTTTGCAATTATTAACTCAGCAGTTGCAATTTGTTGGGAACTGGACCTTGCTTGCTTTGCAGTAACAAATTCAACTGTAAACTGTTTGGTTATGCACCTTCCTTGATGGACCAAGCGACCCTGGCAACTCTGACAATATTCTAAGTGCATTCATTGCCCATAAATGCACAGCTTTACACAAGCAAAAACACAACTGCCAACCAGCTGGTACTGTACCATGAGTGTGTTTTGCAGAACGAAATGCAGCAACTGCAAGTCTATGTGGTACTGTACTGAAATTGTTTTGCAATCATGAACTCAGCAGTTACAAACTTTTTTGCACTGTACCTTGATTGTTTTGTGCATTCACTACCCATACATGGACAGGTTTACACAAGCAAAAACAACAACTGCCAACCAGCTGGTACTGTACCATGCGTGTTTTGCAGTATCAGGTGCTAGAACTGTAAAGCATATGGTGCTCGGATGAAATTGTGGTGCAATTATGAACTCAACAGCTGCAAACTGTTTGACACTGTACCTTGCTTGCTTCGCAGTAAGGAACTCAACTGCAAACCGTTCGGTTATGTGCCTTCCTTGACCTTGACCATATTCTAAGTGCATTCACTGCCTATAAATGCACAATTTTACACAAACAAAAACAACAACTGCCAACCAGCTGGTACTGTACCAAGAGGGTTTTTGCAGAACGAATTGCAACAACTGCAAGCTGATGTGGTGATGTACTGAGATTGTTTTGAGACAGCTGCATTTGTTTTGCAATTTACCTTTGTTTTGAAGGAATTAACGAACCCAACCCAACTGTATGTTTCTGTTCTTTGTCTTGATTGATTTTGAAAGTGACTATGTTAGTTGTGATCATATTTTAAGTGCATTTGCTGCCCATAAATTAAATGCACAGTTATACAGGCAAACGGCAGACGCAACAACTGCAAACGGGTTGGGAATGTACCATGCGGCGACCATACGTGTTTTGCAGTGCCAGATGCAAAAAATGTAAACCATGTGGCGTTGTACTGAGGTAGTTTTGCAATTATTAACTCAGCAGTTGCAATTTGTTGGGAACTGGACCTTGCTTGCTTTGCAGTAACAAATTCAACTGTAAACTGTTTGGTTCTGCACCTTCCTTGATGGACCAAGCGACTCTGGCAACTCTGACAATATTCTAAGTGCATTCGCTGCCCATAAATGCGCAGCTTTACACAAGCAAAAACACAACTGCCAACCAGCTGGTACTGTACCATGAGTGTGTTTTGCAGAACGAAATGCAGCAACTGCAAGTCTACGTGGTACTGTACTGAAATTGTTTTGCAATCATGAACTCAGCAGTTGCAAACTTTTTGGCACTGTACCTTGATTGTTTTGTGCATTCACTACCCATACATGGACAGGTTTACACAAGCAAAAACAACAACTGCCAACCAGCTGGTACTGTACCATGCGTGTTTTGCAGTACCAGGTGCAAGAACTGTAAAGCATATGGTGCTCGGATGACATTGTGTTGCAACTATGAACTCAACAGCTGCAAACTGTTTGACACTGTACCTTGCTTGCTTCGCAGTAAGGAACTCAACTGCAAACTGTTCGGTCATGTGCCTTCCTTGACCTTGACCATATTCTAAGTGCATTCACTGCCTATAAATGCACAATTTTACACAAACAAAAACAACAACTGCCAACCAGCTGGTACTGTACCATGAGTGTGTTTTGCGAACGAATTGCAACAACTGCAAGCCGATGTGGTGATGTACTGAGATTGTTTTGATACAGCTGCATTTGTTTTGCAATTTACCTTTGTTTTGAAGGAATTAACGAACCCAACCCAACTGTATGTTTCTGTTCTTTGTCTTGGTTGATTTTCAAAGTGACTATGTTAGTTGTGATCATATTCTAAGTGCATTTGCTGCCCATAAATTAAGTGCACAGTTATACAGGCAAACGGCAGACGCAACAACTGCAAACGGGTTGGGAATGTACCATGCGGCGACCATACGTGTTTTGCAGTGCCAGATGCAAAAAATGTAAACCATGTGGCGTTGTACTGAGGTAGTTTTGCAATTATTAACTCAGCAGTTGCAATTTGTTGGGAACTGGACCTTGCTTGCTTTGCAGCAACAAATTCAACTGTAAACTGTTTGGTTCTGCACCTTCCTTGATGGACCAAGCGACTCTGGCAACCCTGATAATATTCTAAGTGCATTCGCTGCCCATAAATGCACAGCTTTACACAAGCAAAAACACAACTGCCAACCAGCTGGTACTGTACCATGAGTGTGTTTTGCAGAACGAAATGCAGCAACTGCAAGTCTACGTGGTACTGTACTGAAATTGTTTTGCAATCATGAACTCAGCAGTTGCAAACTTTTTGGCACTGTACCTTGATTGTTTTGTGCATTCACTACCCATACATGGACAGGTTTACACAAGCAAAAACAACAACTGCCAACCAGCTGGTACTGTACCATGCGTGTTTTGCAGTACCAGGTGCAAGAACTGTAAAGCATACGGTGCTCGGATGACATTGTGTTGCAATTAGGAACTCAACAGCTGCAAACTGTTTGACACTGTACCTTGCTTGCTTCGCAGTAAGGAACTCAACTGCAAACTGTTCGGTTATGTGCCTTCCTTGACCTTGACCATATTCTAAGTGCATTCACTGCCTATAAATGCACAATTTTACACAAACAAAAACAACAACTGCCAACCAGCTGGTATGTACCATGAGTGTGTTTTGCAGAACGAATTGCAACAACTGCAAGCCGATGTGGTGATGTACTGAGATTGTTTTGAGACAGCTGCATTTGCTTTGCAATTTACCTTTGTTTTGAAGGAATTAACGAACCCAACCCAACTGTATGTTTCTTTTCTTTGCCTTGCTTGATGTACAAAGTGACTAATTATGTACGAACCCAATGTGGTTGTTTTAGACACAAATTCAACAGTTGTGTCCAAAACGATTGTGGGTTTTGAGACGCCTCGAAAACGGCTGTGACACACACGATTTTTATGGTTTTCTCTTAATATCAAACTATACATAAACATCCAAAATATTCTAAGTGTGTGGGGCCTTTTTATTTTTTAAATTCTATGTGTGAATTAACGCAACTCAACAACATATGAAAACAGATATATCCTGGACTCACGTTAAACACGGAAGTTTGATTTTCCCATATTCTAACTGCTGGTCCTCCACTGTAATGTGATATGTCTGTACATGTGATATGTCTATTTAACAAAAATAATAATGCATATATTTAAGGTATATGTATATGTAAGCTATGTAGAAATACATTAAGGCGCACTATGCAGCAAAATAGTTAAAACTATAGGTGTTCATCCCAAACAAATACCTTTTTGCAGGTGTTGATTCCGCAATATCCTTAGCAAATCATACCCAATACACCTGATGATTTCCCCTTTTTTGTTCATGGTTGTTGCCTAATCGCCCTATTGAATGTTCACCCTGCCGATTTTCCTGACCCTTTAACTCTCCCACAGCCAAAAAAATGTCCTACACGTGAAAGAAATCAAATCGCCAAAAATGAACGGTCAAGCATTCAATCCTCCAACAAGAAATATATTGAACACAATTGGGGGAAAAAAAACTCTGGAGGTTTCCAATCCATGAGGATTAGCCCTATAGTTATCATCCATGTGATTTTCGACATTTTTCCCATGAAATTTCCCATGAAATAACCATCCAGCTATCAAGGCAAGCATCGATCACGTGACTGCAGCCATCGATGCGCCAGAATTTGCCTCATCTGCGACCTGCGGCGGTGGCCAAACGAGCAGGCCGTAGGTTCACGCAATTTGTGGTGGATCGAAATGTGACCCATAAAGACTAACCTATGGATATTCCATGGATAGTCCATGATATGTTCAAAAAAAAGCCATTGTGAATGGACAAGTTGGATATGTTGCAATAAGTGTGATGGATCATGAATGATTTATGGATAAGTGTGGATAAGTTATACCATGTTGTACCCAATACGCCTGTAATAACCCAGTTAGGCAATGGACCTGAGAAGGCTCCATTTTGGGATCCTTGCCCCAGACCAATGACCGCATCATGCCACGGGTTCGTCTGGCGGTCTGGTGCGGAACTGGCATTTGCCAGCTCATGGATTGTGAGAATGCCCAATGTCTTGGAAACTACCCTCTGGTAAACTAACATAACTATTGAAAATTGCCATTTATAGTTGATTTACCAATTAATAATGGTGATTTTCTATCGCTACGTTAGTTTACCAGAGGGTATAATCAAACTCATCAACCAACTATCATCGGTTCTATCCACACATATCCCCATCTGATGCTTTTCTTCTTTCCTATGGCCAACCAATCCTCAACTCCTCAACCAACCAAGCCCTATCCTGCATCAACCACAGAATCATTTTTGGGGATCGGTTGATCCCGGTTTCTGTAGGGGTCGCACCTGGAAGGCTCCTCATAGGCCAACATTTCCTTCACCAGGTCATCCGCAGCCGCTCCGCAGCGCAGCCTCGCAAGGTCGGGGCCTCGCTTCTGGCGCTCCAGGTAGGCCTGAAAAAATGGGGGATGGCCATGGGAACCCAAGAAATCTCAGGTACAAAAGCCACCAAAAATATGTGTTTTTGTTGCCACCAAACATGGAGAATTAAACCTTGCTTAAAAACATGTGAAAACTTGAAAAGCTGAGGATGAATAGGATGAATTGGGATTTGAAGCAGCTAAAAAGGTGACAAAAAGGTGACTTAACCATCGAAGAATGGACCCCGAGAATCGCAGAGAATTGCCTTCCGATGCTCATTTTTCAGGGTCTACATCGGTGGGATCGATATGATTTGATATGATTCCAGTAGTAAATGGATAGTACAATTCACGTCAATTAATCAGCCTACGTCCCAATATGGACTTGACATATTGGATGTCTGTGTTTGAAGGCCATTTGAAGTGTCAAATCAGTCCTTCCAGTGATTCGGAGACGCCCTCATTTGAGCTCCTCTGAGGGGAATATATGGCCATCACATTCGGGGGGAAATGGGTTTTACATCCACCAAACCAAATGCTTCTGACCAATAATACTTGGAATCAACATGTGTAAAAACCGAGAAAACCTTGCCTTGGTGCCTTCAAAAAAGATCAGTCATCCAAAGAATTTTCCTCATGCAGATCAACCAACTCAGCCAGCTCCGCCCACCTTGAGTTCGCTCCGCGATTCTCCCAAAGGCGGTCGAAAGGGATAGAAGTAATTGTAGTAACTTCCATCATCCTCGCATCTGAACATCGGCTGCATCGGCTCCATCTAGAAATGCCAAGGCGGAAAAAAAAAAAACAACCGCATTTTGCGCCTGTTTGAAGATGTGTGAAAGAAAAAACAAACACACATGAATTACACATGAATTTGTCTTCCATGTGTTAGGTTTGGTTTTAGTATATAGTGGTTTTTACTAAGATTGACCAACAATCTCCTAGTGGTAAAAAAATGGCATACGGTCTGGTATGCCATTTATCATCACGTACCATTGGTTGTAAAGAGGGGTTCACCCCACCAACCAGTAGGATATCTATGGCTTTGATCGTATTGCATCGACACATATGTGCCATGAAAATGTTCCTAGCCCATACCATTATACTGGCTGGTGAATAGGTCTGCCCCTTTTGAGTTGTGATAATAATCCCCAATAAACATCAATAAACCAATTAGTCTAACCCCTTACGATAACCTGTTTATCAGGGCACTTTTAGTGGCTGGGGATTCGCAGCCGGCATACCCCATTGTCAGGACACAGCCATTTCCAGAATTTCACTGCTTAAATCAACTTCCCTACTTTTTTGTGGTTAAACCATCATATAAGCGTCATGTTTGATGGTTTATCATGGTTTATCATGGTTTTCCGCATGTTTAAAGCACCATTTCTGCTTGGTTTCTCCTTTTTTCAACACCATTCCCCGTATCAAACTCCCGGCTCCTCCAAATTGCTGGGCTCCGTCTCTGGAGAGTCCCGGAGACGCCGCGGCCGGGTGCAGAGCAGCGCATACAAACAGCAGCCCAAGGACCAAACGTCACATTTGGCCTGAGATGATCTGATTAAAAATGGTGGTATAATGGGATTTTCTGGTGATTTTCTGGTGATTTCATGGTGATTTATAGGGATTTAATAGGACTTAAGCAATTAGAAATGGAGATGGGAATGGTAGGCCTGAAAAATAGGCCAAAAATATATGGTACCTCCAATAGAATGGATCCTGGAATGGCCTGAGATGATCTGAGATGATTTTGACAGTCCCAACAGTAGCCTCCGGTCATTTGTTTATACCCTCTGGTAAACGTTTACATAACTATGGAAAATCACAATTCTCCATGGGAAAATCCACTATAAATGGCCATGTTCAATAGCTATGTTAAATTACCAGAGGGCGTTTGTTATTGAAAATCACCAATGGACCAATAGGTCATCAATTTGGCCTGAGATTCGGTTCGATTTAAAACGCCACCAATTCCGACCAATGGGATGAAAAAAGGTGGGAATGGTATGGGGATACAACCCCCAATATGAACTGCATGTATAAATATATATATATATGTACTATCATCAATATTATCACCCTTTTATCCTTATTATATAGCACTAAACCACCATTTTTGCTTGGCAATTCGCAATTTACAATCACCCAACAGCATCTACTGAAAAATAGAAGGGCCGATCAACCATGATCATTGGTTGTAAAGGGGGCTCACCCGTCCGTTAATCAACCTCAACCAACCAGTAGGAAAAGAACATCTATCATCACCCTACCAAGCTCAGGAGTTACCATTTACACCTTAAGATATTTTATATAGAGAGATATGTGCTTAATTATTTATTATGTAATACATGGTGAATCTTAGATACCCGCCAAGAAGTCTCTATATTATATATATATATATTTAGTTGGTTAGTACGGTTTACCATTGATAGCAAAAGATTAATGTACTATAAGTATCTATAAGTATCTAACCAAGGTTGACCCAGAATATATGGATCTCCACAACTACCAATCCAGGATGATTGCTGGTTGAAGCAACACAACCAATCGCTGGTTGACCAACCATCAACGAGTTGGAAGGCCGTAAGTTGGGATCGTCATCCCATGCTTTCCATCCCACTTTCTTTGATGTCTCTCTTCATGTGAACAGTGGGAAGCATATCTTGAGTTGTCCAAAGTTTGGAGACTCAAAACATCTGAAAATCCCATCTGGGTGAATCACAATCATAACCTGAAATCAGTCAGAATAAAGGGATCTTAGCACGGCCCAAACGCAGAACGCAAAGCGAGTTCCGGAACGTGCGTTCCGAACGCAGGGGGGGGTTCGAAGGAACATGCTAAGAAGGGCCGAAGGGGGGTAATTCATGATACCCTCTGGTAAACAAACATAGCTATTGAAAATGGCTATTTATAGTTGATTTACCAATTAAAAGTGATGATTTTCCATAGTTATGTTAGTCTACCAGAGGGTAATTCCACCTCCCAGTCCCATCATTCCAGGCCATTCCAGGCTTCGCAACGTCGCGACGTGTCGCTGCCATGGCACGTTGAAGCTGCCGCGAATGACCTCAGGCGCCATGGTGGCCAGGGTGCCAGCAGCGTCGGCGGATTTGAAGGACTCGGCCTGGGGGTTCGAGTCTTTGGATCATCCGAAAAAATGAACCGGGTGAATGGTGTTTTTATATGGTTGTTTAATATGTGTTTTATGCCACTAAGGGTTCATGGTTGCTTAACTTATATATATGTAACATATATATATATCCCATTTAACCAATATCCCATTTATCTCCATTTATCCCATGGGTCAACGGCTTTTCATGTCCCATTTTTGGTCACATCATCCATCCCTTAACCTGAGACCCTGAGACAGGTTGAAGTGGTGCGGGATACCCTCTGGTAATTTAACGTAGCTATTGAAAATACACCGTTTATAGTTGATTTACCTATTCAAAATGGTGATTTTCTATAGTTATGTTAGTTTACCAGAGGGTAGTAAGGCACCAAAAATGTGGGTATGAGTCGAAAATGGAGGCAGAGGACCACATGCGTTGGTCATTTGCTTTGTCTGAAAACAGGGCGCTCATAAATTCGATGCTTGATCATCACTTTCCCCATTGAAATTGCCACATCCCACGGACCCATATATATATATATGTGTGTGTGTGTATGCATATACATACATACATATACATGTATATATATATGCCCTAATTAGCCCTAATTGTTGGTTACATCCCCTGCACATGAGGCCCATGACTTTCGGCGCGGTGGACTTTCCCACCTCTGAGGGTGGAAAGAGCTCTGCTAAGCCGACGTCAATCACCACCGCTTCAGGGGGCTCAATGGAGCACAGCCTTAGGCTTTCAGGGCCCAGGGGGATGCCCAGGGGGATGCCCAGGGGGATGCCCAGGGCCCATTTCCATTCCGAGCCAAGGGAATTCCCAAAACTTCCAGGGCTCATCTCGCCAAAACCATTCAGAGTCCAGAGTGTCCCTTTTACCCATGAGGTTTTTCGGTTGTTCTTGTAATTTACGGGCAGTATGACATTGGATGTGCCGTTGGTTCATATATATATATACATACATACATACACCTCAAATATCCTACAATTGCTCTTGAGTTGGCCAGTTGACGTTGACTATGTTGGACCGATCATTGCTCCATCATTTATTGCTAGCCAAATCAGAAACAGTTTTGCTTCAGGCAAGGAAAACCTACTCCCAATGAAGCAACGCCCCCAACGAAACCAACTCAAGACTGAATTTCAATGCAAAGTTTGGTGTGTTCACACCGCAGGAATGTGTCCAAACCTGTATTAGTTGGACCTTCACACCTCACAAATGAACAATGTATATATAGTAATTTTCAACCAGGGGGGTTCATTCATAGCATCTATATCCTCTCCCAGGCCCAATGAAATCCAGTGGCATGATATTCTCCAATTTCAGATCTTTGTGCATGACGCCTTTGGCGTGGCAATACGCGACACCTGCTCCGTGGCCGTGCTGAAAACTGTGCAGCGAAATGGCCAGAAACCTCGGCACCTGGCATGCAAAAATACCTAGAACCCCTAAACCCCATAGGTTTGAAATCAAAAACCAATCTTGAACATGTCCCAAACTATTAGAGCCCCCAAAAAGAAACATCGGTTTGACGGTTTGACGTTTCACTGTGTATCAAACGAAACATGAAAACAGCTGAGTCGGAAGGCTCCCACAGAAAGACTTGGGATCCACGACCTTCGCAGGCTTGGCGGAAGACCACGGCGACCCAACCTGGCGTGACGGCGTGACCCAAGGCTGGGAAAAATCTTAGATAGAACATGATAGAACAAATCATCGGCAAATCCAAGGAGATCTACGGACTTTTTCTTGGCTGGGACAGTGACGCCAGAGCAGTCATGCCCCAAACAAATTGGTCATTTCATCCCATATTTTTTCCAAAAAAAAAGAGCACCCTTCTGGTAGGAAAATGACTTCATCCGCAGCAGTAGTGTCTCCGCTACAAACAGAGTCTGCTGTGCTTGTCGAAGAAGAAGGATGATTCAAAGATCAAGAAACTGTGGTCTTTTGTCTCAAACGAACTCTCACAACTGGGGTGTCTGGTCCTATAGGATTACCCTCTGGTAAACGTTTAAAAAAAAGCTATTGAAAATGGCTATAGAAATAGTGAGTGTTCCATCGTTTTCCCATGAAAAATGGTGATTTTCCATAGTTTTTTCCCATGAAAAATGGTGATTTTCCATCGTTTTCCCATGAAAATTGCTGGATCTTTCCAGCAGCTTCCAGCTGACAACGGCCTTCCGGCAGCTGCTTCCGCTCCGCGTAGGACTTCTCCACGGCTTCCAAAAGGTCACCACCTGGAACGATGGAAGCCCTGGGCCTTGCAAATGGTGGGTTTTGCCATCACTAAAATGGATCATAGATATCTATATATATATCTACATAATATATCTATATCTATATCATTCTACATCTATATGTATGTGTATATATATAATGTCTATATATGTAATATAATATATATATATCATATGTATGTACATATATATATAATAATAATTAATATATATATATATATCATGGGGGTGCGTCAAAATGCCGGTATGGATCGACCCATGGTGATTCGGACGTATGGATCGGTCTGGATCACCTGCGTTTTGGTATGGATCGGGGGTATGGATCGGCCTGTGGCTTCAGGGAATGGATCGGGCTGCACCTTTTGACTCGCAGCCATATATTTTATACACAATATAATAAATATTAATATATATATATATGTATTATATATCACTATTGCATATATATTATATTCGTATTATAATATATAAGAATATGATACCAGTGTCGAACTCAAAATCTGTGTTGGTTTGTTCAGAAAATTGGTTGACTATTGTTGATTCTTGTTGAACAACATTTTAGGCTATTTTGGGAGAGGTTCGGCAATCAAAATGACAGGGGGATGGAAGTAGATACCTCTGTTCTTGACATATATAAAAGTTGGTGATGGGTGAGGGATCTGCACGCCCTATTGTCTTAGTAGGACAACTGGATAACTGTATGTTCAATGAGGGAGAGGAGAAAAAAAAACAGTACTATAGGGGCATTGAGCAACAAAATCGGGGAGTGAACCGTGAACCACTGCCTTTCCAATGGGGCCTCTCCTCTTACCGAAAAAATGATTTAAAGCCCGTAGATTCGTAGATGTTTCAAGGACGTTCAAGGGTTTTTTGTCCCCTCTCACCCTGTTAGCCATACTTTGGATCATCCCAACCCGCAGCAGTGTGAACTCGCCTGGGAGGAGATCTGTGATGAGATAGAGAGATCCTTGGGGCAAGTTCTGGCTTGGAATCATGATGAATCATGGCAAGTATCATTAAGTACCATCAAAATTGATGCTTGGTGAGTATGATTGGATAGCTTGATGATGCTTGATGTCTGTATGAATAACACCATGATCTTGAGATGTCTTGAGCGTGGTCCCTTTCACTTCAATGGCTGGATCATCTGGCATCAGCATCTATCAGCTTCGAATGATGCACAGGTTCCAAGGTGATATCAATGGATTGATTTTCAAGGATTTTCAAGGGGGGAACCTACCAGAAACCGTGGATGTTACCTGATGTTACCATGATATAGGGTGTTCCTGGACTCTGCACATTCTCCCATCTCTGAGATGATACTGATGGATTTGGTATGCGAATCCCGCACCAAAAATCCGGGTATGGCTGGCCAGCTTGCCATACCCGTCAAATGCCACCAGCAGCTCGCTGCGCTGTCAAGCCAAGCTTCTGGAATCTGCGTAGTACTCAAACAATCTGAGGACTGCAGGATGGTCCTTAGGGTACCCAGTTTCCATCACCCAGCAGTCCCTGCAGTCCCAGTTTCCGGCTGCCCCAGTGGCAAGGACACCGTTTGGGAGGGCCGGACAGCACCAGCCGAGTTGCCAGACTCTTCAGCTTATCGATCTCTTCCATGATAAGTTTCAAGGGGTATCCCCCGCTCAGCGCTTTCCTTGGAATGGCGTCGTGTCACAAATGATGAAGTAGTTGGGTGCAAGCTGCTTGGCTTGGAAGATAGATATATCGATATATATATATATGTGTGTGTGTGTGTATTTATGTACTAATATATATATAGAGGGAGAGAGAGAGTTTAACAATGTTTAACAATACATTGAATACATTTAAATACAGAAGAATGTAGATATTCCGACCCTTGATCTTGAGGGCTAATTGATCTAATTGGCTGATTTGTGCTCCTTGGCTCCCCATTTAGCAGGGATGCAAAACCATTCTGGGCTCCCTAGCTCCCAAGCCTGCTGGGATGCAAACACGGCCGCGAAATCCATGGAAATCCCCCTATAGATGGAGGCTTTTGATGGGGAAACCAGAGGGTAACTGGGGTGCCTGATGATATCCCATGTGCGAAGGGGTCATACCTACCATCCTTGTCCTCTCCAACCATCCTCCCCAAAACATCCCTCCACCCACGAACATGACCCAAATCAAGTGAAGGGGATTAATAATCAAAACTATAAAGGGGTGTAAGGGGTGTTACCAACAACAATAATCTTCTCAGTACCCATCTTCCCCTCTTGTAGATATGATTTAGCTATATTTATAAACAGTCATAATTTGGCACAACCCTGAGATGTTTGTCTTCGCGCCACGCTTCTGTTTGTCCACAATCTTCATGACCCTCATCGCCTTGGTCTGTCGACACTGCACTTTCCGCACCACGCCGAAGGAGCCCTTACCTGAGAGTTCCCCATGGCTTGACATGGGGCAACAGCTGTGGACAAGTGGTCATGTGACGCTTAGTGCTTCCCCTGAACCCGGAGAAAAATAAAAATAAAACAAAAATTGGCTGCTGATTTTGATGTTTCTGATCTGTTTCTTAGTTGGATTTGGATGATTTGGTCATCAGGTCAGGTTATGGATCATTCCAAGATCCACCCTGCCATCCACCCTTCATCCTCCGCCCTGCGCCAAGGAGCCCAATACCCCCAGGACGCGGTAGTGATCCTCGGGCCTCCCCTGGCGACGGCTGATGAACATCTCGCGACAGAAGGTCTGCGCGGCGTCTTCGTCGTCGGTTTTGGTCCTGACGCCGTCAGCTTCCCCTCGTTGGATGGGGAAAAAAACTTCCCCATGTGTTATCTGTCGAAGATCTATAAAGATCATTAAAGATCTTTTTCAGCCCATTTGAAGTTGGTCTGTCGATTTCTGCGAATCAAAAATCAAAATGAAATGAAAGTTGCATTTTCATGCAATTTTGGGGTATAAACTAGTATAAACCCAATCGCCGCTCAGGTGGGAGAAATGCAATGGAGGCTTGAGACCGAGAGTTGCCCCAGGAAAATTCATCAATTTTCGCGAAGCAAAGGTCAAGACTTCCGCTGTTTTCCTCAGCGACTCATTCCCACCTCCCCTTCCCTCCAAGAGACCTACCGAAGAGCAGCTGCTGCGATTTCTTCCAGGCACTCAGGGAACTTTCTACGGGCTTTTCCTCAGGGAATCTTTCATAGGGGCCTGGTGAAAATTACCCAGTTGGATGGTTTACTCAGCAATTATTATACTTAACTTAATTTTTGATTTTTTCATGATGGTTTGATACTAAATATTACACCCAGTTGGGTGTAGTTCCTTGCAAGTGTGAGTCTCTTCTAAAATGGAAAACTTTGACCAACGAGCCCTGCGGAAAATGGCATCGCCCTCCCTGGAGTCACCAAATCATGCGCGTGCTGAAAAAGCTGGTCACCAACAATGTCATCTCAATGGATTCCACGGGTTTTTTCATGTTTTTTCCACAACAGTATGCACTGATATGCACCAAAACCATCACCAAAACCATCCAGTAACAACGCTTTCAGATCATCCAGTGACGTCATTCCAATCATCTCGGTGTGCCGTTGTGGTTGCAATGGCTCCCTTTGCGCTGGCCGCCTTCTCCTCGGATGGGAAACGCCAAGCCATTCAGCCAGTTTCCGAAGTTTGTTGGATGAAAAGACCAACAAGTTGTTGCTTAATTGAGACATCTGCACCAGAACAAACCGGAACCATTCCCCAGTTGTTTTGCTCAGTTTGTAGAATCAAACTACATCAAAACTGGCAAAGTCATGCGAATTTCACGTCGATTTATATACATACCCTTTGGCAATCTAATCCGGCATTGGAACATGCCCCATTTATAGATGATACGTCTGTGAATTGGTGGATTGGCAACCATCAAAAAATCATTTAAAAATCCGACGTTCCAAACAGCCATTTTGGTTTACCGGCGGGTTTACCCAACCAAAAGGCGTTTGCTTTAGCTACCTCCACAGCGCAATCCATCTTGACCAGAGCCATTCCGCCACTGGGTTCACGCTAGAGCCCTTATATAGAGGATTTCCTGGTTTGTGTATGTGAGCATGTTTCCACTAACAGCATGGAATCGTTGTTAGCCCGCCATGGTCATGTTCGAGTCCCAGTAAATCTACCACCTCCCTCTTCCCAATTTTTGACAACGATTCATGATGATCCCCCTTCTAGTAACCACAAATATGCTTTTCAGGTCGCTCCAAACATGCACACATATGTGTAAAATAACCACCTTCACCAAGACCTTTTTTTTTGCGAGGGTTTATCCACCATTCCCTCAACTGACATAGACAATCCCATAAACAGGGTCTGAATTTGGTCCCAAATGTCATTTGTTCATATGTTTTCACTGGAGTTGACCTGCCCCAATTCCATCAAATTCATTCAAATTCCATTCAAATGTCACAATGTCCTCCATTTTCCTCCGAGCTTCTGGCGCTTTCCTCTCATGGACCGTCGCCGTCGCCTTTTTCTCCGCGCTCGGCTGCTTCTTCTCCGGCCGTGGGCTGCTGGCGGCGGTGGTGGCCGGTGAGGCCGGCGAGGCCGGTGAGGCGTTTGGCGTGCGCGGCGCGCGGACGTTGGGCGACGTCGGGGAGGACGTGGGGGTGGAGCTGGGCTTGGCCCAAGCTAAGTCTTCCTGAGCAAGGACCCCTTGAGGGAATGGAAAATACTTGGGCCGTGGAGTTTGATGAGTTTGTTAACTAGTTAGTAAATGGATTTTAATTCGGACAGAGTGGGTCAATAAGCCACTTACTAACCAGTTAGATAATCCCATGGCTATTGAAGTAGAGGTGCTAATGTGTCATTCATAAATGTGTGCAAGGTTTGGATTATAAGATGTGTTTTTGTTTTTTTGAGTGAGGTGTGTCCGAATTTTGCGGATTAGGAATCATTCTCACAGAAGCTGGGGGAGGTTCAAACCGTCCATGAAACTCATCGCTCATGTATCCCACTTCTTTCATCCCAATGCCCTTGTCACCCATTGTCCCTCTCCAAAAATCTCTAGAAGCCTGTATACTACTACCTACAAAATCATATTTATACATTCAACATTCCATAAAATTGATGAAAAATCCATGAAAGAGGCAATCTCAGTGTGGATTCCCACCATTTCGCGCCAAGGTGCGGCCTTCGCCTCCCTACTTGGCCTCCGCGGCAGCGGTGCCGGCGCCTTTGCTTCGGGCACCTTGGCTTCACGCGCCTTCGCTTCGGGCGCTGGGGACATGGATCGCTCGCCGGGGGCCTTCCTTGGAAGCTGAGGGGGATGGGATGGGATGGGTGTTTTTGTTGTGATTGGTCCATGGTTCAAGCGGTTTTTGACACTTCGAACTTCGAACATGATCTGAACAAATATTGCGTTTCGACTTCACGGCTTGGATGGTTCAATTGTTTCAGATCCAGATACCCAACATTTTAGCCATGCTTCTCAACTGTATGTTTACCCCTGGCCCCTGGTTCGCTGAAAGTGTTGTTCATACCAGGCCATTTCTCACCAAGCATTTCTTGCAATCACCAGTGGGGGTTCTTGTAATCCACTGGGTGGATGGTCCCTCAAGAGTTGGATAGTTGGAGGGATCTTGGGGTTACCATCTGGTTATTTAACATAGCCATGGAAAATGGCCCATTTATAGATGGTTTACCTATTGAAAATGGTGATTTTCCATGGCTATGTTAAATAACCAGAGGGTACAACATATCGTAACTTCTTCTCCCTAGGTTATAGCCATACCCCCCCAGCGAAACCCTGGTGGGATCTTTGGGATCCCTTCCTTGTGGCCCCGCCAGGTTTCTTCTCGCGTTTCAGATCGTCACAGCCGCCAGAGGGATTGCGCAAGGTGCCATCTTCCCCCAAAGCTTCCTGGGTTTGAGAAACTCCACCCCTTTCAATTGGCTTGGATCAAGACAAATACACTAAATACACTGACCCAACTGAGCACTTCTTCGCGACTGGCAACCACTGAACATTTAATCGCCATCAAAAAAGGCGGTGAAATCATGTCTCTATTTTCTTGGGGACCCCTTCAATGTGTGGAGTCTTGCCCAAAAATGCCGTGGATGAAAAATATAGTAATTCTTGTGTGTCAGTTGTTCTCCCGCACTTAAGTACTATCTTGGCATGATCATCTTTCCATTCTTCAGCGTCTTCTTGGTTTTGCTGTGTAGATTCCCATAGTTTCGCCAAAGTGGGGATACAATTCGCCTTAAGCAAACCGCATATCATGTTCATATATCCTGGTCACAGCTGTAGCCAAAATCTAGATCCCAGGCTATTTCATGGAACAATATTATTTTCCATATGGGGGGGGTACCCCTAAATCATTCATTTTTATAGGACTTTCCATTATAAACCATCCATTTAATAAAATTTTCCATGAAAATAATAGGATGTCATAGGGTGTTCCATGAAAATAATAGGATTTCATAAGGTTTTCCATGAAAATAATAGGATTTCATAGGATTTTCCATGAAAATAATAGGATTTCATAGGATGTTCCATGAAAATCATAGGATTTCATAGGATTCCCAATTTTCTCCGCCGGGCGTCCGAGGCCAGTCGTGTCCATGGCAGGTCCACCGGTGTGCTCGGCACGGGCGGCGTCGGGCACGTCTGCCCTGCCCCGCGGCGGTGCCCGGCCATGGGGGTTATATGGGGGGTTAATGGATGATTAATGGATGATTAATGGATGATTAACGGATTAGTCACCCATATATTAGGGATTAGTCACTATATCATGGATTATGGTAGGTACCTCCATTTTAGGATCCTGGAATTCCCATTGACTATATAATGGATTAATGGATTAGTCACCATATTTTTGATGGATAATCGATTGAATAATGGATTATATATGGTGAATAGGCACTGTACCATATCAATGGGAATTCCAGGATCCTAAAATGGAGGTACTGTACCATATAGCCATATTTGGGGGGATATTCCCCTACATAGGCCTTACATAGGCCTTATATATGGTAGGTACCTCCATTTTAGGATCCTGGAATTCCCATTGACTATATAATGGGTTAATGGATTAGTCACCATATTTTTGATGGATAATCGATTTAATAATGGATTAGTCAGTTGGGATTATTATTCCCATGGGTTATATGGGGGTTTAATGGGATTAGTCACTATATCTGGTTGGTCACCTTATTCCCAACAGTATGGAAAAATAATCCAAATGTTCCAAACCACCAACCAGATATAATGGATGAATGGATGATTTATGGATGATTAATGGTGATTAATGGTGAGTAATGGATGATTAATGGATGATTAATGGATGATTAATGGATGATTAATGGTGATTAATGGATGATTAATGGATGATTAATGGATGATTAATGGATGGTTAATGGATGGTTAATGGATGATTAATGGATGATTAATGGTGGTTAATGGATGGTTAATGGATGATTAATGGATGATTAATGGTGATTAATGGTGATTAATGGATGATTAATGGATGATTAATGCTGATTAATGGATGATTAATGGATGATTAATGGATGATTAATGGTGATTAATGGATGATTAATGGATGATGAATGGATGATTAATGGATGATTAATGGATGATTAATGGATGATTAATGGTGGTTAATGGATGATTAATGGATGATTAATGGATGATTAATGGTGATTAATGGTGATTAATGGATGATTAATGGATGATTAATGCTGATTAATGGATGATTAATGGCGATTACCCTCTGGTAATTTGTTACATAGCTATTGGTGCATAATGGTTAGAATCATCATGGGGTGCCTAATGGTTATCTGGTTCGTGGTATACCTACGGTAGGTAACCTACCCCTCTGAAAAATATGAAAGTCAGTTGGGATGATGAAATTCCCAGCATATGGAAAATAAAAAAAGTTCCAAACCACCAAACAGTTATAATAATAATGGTTATAGTAATGGTTATGATAATGGTAATTATAGTAATGGTTATAAGAATTGTTATAGTAATGGTAAACAAACACTTAGCTATTGAAAATGCCCATAGAAATAGTTGATTTACCCATTAATAGCATGGTGATTTTCCATAGTCATGTTAGTTTACCAGAGGGTAAACATGGGTGCCTAATGGGCAATGGGGTAGAATCAGAAATCATGGGCATGGTGATAATCATGTTTATACAATAAAGTGTAATAATAGTACTGGTTACTTGCCTATAACTAATGATGGGTGGTTGCTTAGTAAGTACTCATGCTCATAGTAATAGCAAATAAAATTTGGCACATAATGATGGATAGTAATGTCACGATTATAAGTAATGATAATTGAGGAAATACCCATACAATTTCCCATAAGCAAATGATGGGTAATGATGGATAGTAATGTTTAGTGATGCTAACTATTGCGCTGGACCTGGACTTGGAATTCCACACCTGTAGACGCTCAAGTTCTACTGTTCAACAAAAGATACCCATCAACGTGTTTAGCGCAGAACCCTCTGGTAAATGAACATGGCAATTGACAATCCCCTATAAGAGGTGGTTTTAATGGGAAAATCATCTATAAATTGAAGATTTTCCATTGCCACGTTTGATTCCCGGCGGGTACCTTCCAAATGACTTTTTTTCGCTCACTGGGATGATATATAAATACCTCTATACATATATATATATATACACATACAGATATATACATATGTATAGATATACCCTCCGGTTATTTAACATAGCCATGGAAAATGGCCCATTTATAGATGGTTTACCGGTTAAAAATGGTGATTTCCATGGCTATGTTAGTCATAACCAGAGGGTATATGCAGCATATCCCAGCTGGCAACGTCCAGTTCCCCTGGAGACCCCTCTTTCTAAGCACCTGCATTGGCAGGTGGTTTCGCTCTGCCTTCCTTCACCTGTCCGGCGAAGCCAAGAACATCATCAGCGTTCAATTGATTTTTTGGGGAGTTACTGGGATTATAATGGGATTTCATGGGATTCTAGTGGAAAATCATGAGCTCTATATATATATATACAGACATATACACTTTGGTATTTTAACATAGATATGGAAAATCATCTGCACACAAATTTCCATGGCTATTTAAATTACTGCCACGCGTGTGTGTGGAGTACAGTACAATGACCCCAAATTCAGACAAACACGCACACAAAATAAAAACGAATGTCTCAAAATGTTGGCGATACATTCTATTAATTGCTATTCATTGCTATTACGTGTATGTATATATATATATAGTAACACCCAATAGTTTACATGATATTTACATGATATTCCCATGCTGTATGTAATCCGGTTGGCTATTAATAGTACTAATAGCCAACGGGATTGCATACTATTAATTCACTATATACTCAGTATCTGAGTCAATAATATATATATACATACTCATATATATATATACATACAGATATGTAAATATATATGTGTGTGTATGTGAAATCTATATATATATATTTTTTCCCCACATGGTTGGTGTATTACTCAGTAGTGTCCCATTTTTTTGATCCACCGCAGATGAATTGTCGACCGAGTTACTCCGCACGCTCTGGCCTCACACGAACCGCGGGTTGGATCGGATCACCAAAAATTGAAGAACTGGTTAAACCATGGTGAAAAATTAACCAAATACATGGTTGACTCTGGTTAACTATGGTTAAAGCGAGTTAAACCATGGTGAAACCTATGGTTTATCCTAGAATTAAATCAAAGTAACCCACAACATTTAATTAACAACCATAGTTAAGCATGACATATAGAGGTCCCCAGGGGGGAAAAAAAAAACATGCCGAACATATTTCCAGGCAGTTCTTAACGATGATGTGTTACCGAAATTTTCCAGGTGTCCATTTTCATTTTTGGAGGGCTAGACGGCTAGAATTTTCCCAAAGACAGACGCAGAAGTGACTAAGTGAGGAAAAGGATCAATTACCCTCTGGTAATTTAACATCGCTATGGAAAATGGCCATAGAAATAGTGGATTTTCCCATAAAAAATGGTGGATCTTTCCATAGCTATGTTAGTTCACCAGAGGGTACCATCGTGTCATTGGGAAAGTGTGTGTCTTCTTTGTTCATCTTTGTTCAGCGAAAGTGCGGAATATGGATCCCTCTAGCTCCGAACAGCTTCCTCCTCTCTACATCTCTCGACTAGGTAGTATATTCTGGCATAAACACAGCCAAAAAATTGAGATGTTGGTAAGTGCCCATGAATAAACTCAAATTCTTCCTAGTATAAGTGCTTCGTTTCCCAGGAAAATTTATGTGTTTTTCATGCAAACCAAATGGGACCAAAAATAAGGCAGCCCAAAAGTTGCGAATCATCAGTTTTTTTTCCATCGCCCCCTGAGGAGATCTGTCAAGCTGAAGGCGAGCTGAAAAGGCGACTTGGCAGGTCAGCACCCAAGCTCGTTAGCCAGGCGCGTCTCATCATCATCATCATCATCATCAGTTATTTGTATCAGTTACCTATCTAAAAGTGCCATAAAATATGGGTTTGTCTGAAACTAGGGTGCCCAAGAATGTGATGCTTTGTCATCATTTTCCCTTCTGCAAACGTCCTGGAACTACTCATCATTTTCCCTATTAATACCGCCATCTTGAGGGCATATATGCCCCATTGTCAGGCACACCTGTGCTATAGTCTCATCCCATAATTTGCAGATAAATCCCAAAAAATGAACTGGTGACTCGCCCCCAAGGTGGATATATAATCCATCTTTTGAAAAGATGGCCCATGTCATCAGCGAGCTGTCTCCCATCTCCCCTCACGCCTCTGGTTTGGCCAGCAACACCGCCGGGGACACGGGCGACGCGGGCGACGTGGGCGACGTGGGCGACGCGTGCGGAGGCGGCACCTGCGGTGATGCGACTTGCGGTGCCTCGCTGTAGCCCAGGCGCTGTTGCATCTCCTGTGGCCGACGCTGAGGCCATGGATGGCCATGGTTAGGTGGTCAACTATAGTATGGGATATACATACCATGTAATCTATATAAATTAGATGATTAGATTTATCATTAGATGGTTTATAGATAACCATTCAACTATGATAAATCTATAATGAACCGAATCTGAATGGGATATTAATATGATGATTATGGGATATACCGTATACATCCGTATACCATCTCATCAAACATGGGTTATGAACCCACAAACTATCCCAATATATGTATTCCAATCTGAAAGCCATTTACAGAATGGGTAACGAACTCCATGGTCCGTCTAAGTGGGATTAATATTGTCAACTTATATCCCATGTAATCTTCAAGCTGATACCCTTGTTAAACACTCATGATTGCCCAAATCCCAAACAGCGAGTGCTTACATTTGCAAGTAGTAAACTAATTAGTGTTTAGTATCTGTTTGTTATAAAAGTTATATCTGTAAGTACCTACATAATTAGTTCCATAATTGTAGTACCAGCTATACTTAGCAATTACTCCATTCCCCCTAATATGAAACACCACCCCAGAAACCATGGTTTAGTGATTCTTATATGATCATCAGATCATCATAATTTGGACAATTCAGGGGATGTTGAATACTTGGATGGGATTAAGATACCCTCTGGTAACTAACATAGCTCTGGAAAACCATCATTTTTAATAGATAAATCATCTATAAATTGTCCATGTTCAATAGTTTTTGTTAAATTGCCAGAGGGCTAAATCCCATTAAATTACCAGTAAATCCCACTAAATCCCATTAAACCACCATTAAACCATCATTTTGTTAGCTTTTTTTTTACCAGAGTGAAGCATCAAATGTTGCTCCGACCTTCCATGCAGGCGCCGTGCCATCGTTCGAGGGACGGCGCAGCAGCACCGGTGCGGGGGGAGCCGGGGAGCTATTGCCGCAGCTCAGCTGCACCTGACGCAGCTGGATGCCATGGGATGGCCGGGAAAAAGATGTGTTGCCAATGTCAATGGATTGGTTTACCCTCTGGTAATTTAACATAGCTATGGAAAATCACCATGATTAATGGGAAAATCCACTATAAATCACCATTTTCAGTAGCTATGTTAAATTACCAGAGGGTAAGGGAAAATCTTAACCGGAAACCCATGGGTTTTTACCATCAAATAATTATGGGGTTTTCCGGTGAAAATTTTCCCATGATCCAATTCCATGACAATGTGCTAGTCATCAAAATCATCAAACATCGGTGGCAAGCGGGAAATTGTCCCACACTTAAATAAATGGATGTTTCAAGGAAAAACGTCATTGATAAGTGCAAGATTTTCCAGCCGTGTTTGATTGCTAGAGGGGAATCTGCAGAATCCCTTCCCCATATTAATGGAAAACTCTAATGAAAAATATGTTTAATGAACAGATCCAATAATTACATATAATTACTAAGTCATGCTTTCAAACTTGAAAAGCCTGACTTAGTATTGATCTGTTCATTTTGGGGCCCTCAACTATAGGGGCATTAATGGCATATAATGCAGGATCGGGGGATGGATCCTACTTGAAGATACTTGAGGTACCCCGATATTGAACATGTTCAATATTGTTCAATTTATTTGGCCATCCCTCCATTGGAAAAGCATCCTGCTCCAGTAGACTATGCTTGAAATAATCGTGAAAAATATGAAAGTGGAAACCACCATGTCCATCCATGTCCAAGAGGAAGACCATCTTCCACGGTGGTTTCTTCGCATATGACATGATGATACGTTTCGAAATCGCAGGATGTTTTATCCGTTTCAGGGTTTTGAGAGCAGGAAAGCACAGATCCACCCAGGCGATTGAAACAAACGGACAGCCTGTTGGTTCGGATAGACACTGGCTGGAAAATGCCGCTGCGTCGGTGACAAGGCCTGAGAAGAACCAGAGTTGAACAACTCGAACAACATGATGGCTTTCAAACCAATTTATTGTTTGATACATGTTGAGACATTGCCCTCTAGCCATGGAAGCCATGGCCAGTTTGCAGATGATTTAGATGGATTAATGGTTGTTTTCCATTGCTATGTTTAGACTACCAGATGGATCCAGATGGATCCAGATGGATCCAGATGGTACCAAGGCACCACGGGAACGCGCACCACCAACGGCGAAGGCACCGCCTGGGTGGCCATTCCCAGTGGCGACGGCGCTGCCACGTGGCGGTAGAGCTGTGCCGCGGGCTGCGCGGGCTGCGCGGGCTGCGGCTGCGCAGGGTGCATCATCCGGGAGGGGCTAGGAGAGCGTGCCTCAGGGCGCCACATGGTGAAGTTGCCAATGGGAAAAGTCGGTCAACAAGTGAATTTATGGGTTATTTGTGGTAGCTATAAAGATATATGATATATTATTATTACCATTATGCCTATTATTATGATATATATATATTGTTAATATTGGTTGGTGAGGTTTATACACCAACTTGATCCACTTACAACTCGGAGGCACCATCTGGAAAAACTCAAGGGTGGGTAACCCTGCTGCTGCGTACATGTGAAACAGGTGGTGGTTCTTTTATGTTCTTTTAGGGGGTTGAAAGCAAGATTACATGTGAGATCCCCATTTTTGAAGACAAGAGGGAACGACCAGTCACTTGTCAGAGTTCAGGAGCGCATTGTGCCCCGGTCGGCCCCACCCCATGTGCTGTCTCAGTTGCAGCCATCTGGGGATAGCCCGCCATTTGAGGCATTGCCATGGGAACCTGCGAGTGAGGTGCCCATTGCATGGCCAAAAGAAAACACCGCAGCCCCCAGCTCCGCGCGGCGAAGGATGGGTGATAATTGCCTAGTCCTATGAAGCTTGAGCCGAGGCAAAAATGCGAGCAGCCCTGCGAAGCCGGGGAGTTTCTCTGCCCAACAAAAACACACAAAACAACCATGCACCGAAGGTCTGAACATCAGGGGGTCCAGTCCAAGGTTCGGAAAACGTTATGCTCCCCTGCGAGTTTCCTGCTTGTATTCCTCTGTCTGGGGATGACCATCCTTGTGCCTAGGGAATCTCCGGGGGGATCCCCTCAGTGAAAATCTCCTTCAAGAAGTCGTGAGCCAAGCATTGAACCTCCTCCTTAGCCCGCAGCAAACAGTCCCAAAAGATCCCAAAAGCCTTTCTTGTAAACCACCAGGCTCTTGAATTGGGTGCCATTTAAGCAGCTAATTATAACTTTCTGGAGGTAACCCCCGTAAATAATCAACCACTGGTTATGAATCCGGGGTTGACATTAAGTAAATCCAGTCTTCAATGTATGGTTGGTTGAATTCCGACAATTCTCCTGTGGCTGTTTTCTTGCATAGTCGGAACTCCAACGTTTGTCGTAATGGGATCCTTCTGCAGGTTGACGATGTCAAGAAAAGAGTCCAAAGTTCCTAAAGCAAAAGGTACCTTTGAGGTTGATCAACTGAGTGCCTGAAAAGTTTGAAATCTGGAAAAATATGTTTGAAGAACTGGAGTTCTCCCTCTGAGTCAGATGAAACATTGAACAAAATTATGAAAAATTGGTTGAACAATGGCCACGTTCAGTCTTCAGATGTCTTCAGTTTCCAGCTCACAATCAACTCCCTAAGAAGCAAACCACATGTTGCGATGAGTTTTTTGGGGGGGCCCGGAATGGTCACATGATGCGACACGTGTTAGCCCTGACCAGTTCAACCGGCAAATCCGTGGCTTCTCTGGGTCTGACCATCCGATGGTCTTGGCATGACCAAATCAAACCGACTCAAATTCTGTACAGCCATGTCCTAAGCAAATCATTCGTACACAAACCATAGCCCATCCATAGCCCATCCAATTTATCTGGTTGGTGGTTTCAACCCCTCTGAAAAATGATGGAGTTCGTCAGTTGTTCCCAACATATGGAAAAATAAAAAAAAATCTTCCAAACCACCAACCAATTTATAATAATAATATATAATAATGGTTATAGTAATGGTTATGATAATGGCCCATAGCAATTCGTATACAAAGCATAGCCCATCCATAGCCGAGCAGCTGGCCAGGTGGCGCTGAACATCAAGGTCTGCCGTTGCTTGGGGACCTGTTTCCTCAGTGAGAAATGGCGGCTTCGAAAAACGGGGCGGAGCGGTCACTTGGTGGCATGGTACCTGGGAAAACTCTGTATACCCTCAGGTAAACTAACATAACTATGGAAAATCACCATTTTAAATGGGTAAATCCACTATAAATGGCCATTTTCGAATGGCTATATGTTTGTTTACCAGAGGGTATATGATATTATATGATTGCGTATAGCAGATTATAGCAGTATAGCATGCTTTATGTGAAATTTAAAAAAAAAAACTCCCATATCCTCCCCTGAAATGAGCCAAGTTGGGTTGGCTCCGCTTACCAAACATGATTGAACCCTGTGAACAGTTGGGAGATGTTGGAAGGATTTGGAAGGCATCGTCTCAAAACCCGCTGCTTTGGCTTCAATGTTGGTTTCTCTCCCGGCCGCAGGTTGAAATTCGATGTTTCTACTGTAAATTGCTGGTAATTCGAACTTGGCTGATGATGTTCGGTCCACCAGACGGAACCAGCCTTGCGTCTTACAATCCCTGATCCAATTCGCAACATGTCAAGACTTTAAACATGTTTCAACTGTAGTATGGAATTGGATTGGTTGAAGGGAAAAATTGCAGTAAACGCCCTAGTGCTAAAATTCCAGGGTTTCTTGATGAATAAACTAACCCAGTGATGTAGTCTCTGCGTGTTTGGGCTGGATTCACACAACCACCTGGCAGTCCAAGCATCACGATGTCTCGAATCTGCGGCTCAAAACCTCCGCTTCGGAAACTCCAATAAATATTCATCTGTAAATCCATTTGTGCATACATGAATGAACTATAATCCATTCACTTGAAATTAATGTTTGTACTGTAGTCTAGTTGGTAGCATGGCTGCAAGTGGACGTGTACTGTTTTTAATGGGATAGGCTGCTACATACCAAAAGAACGCCATGTTTTTTCCTCACATCTTCAATGGGGAGCAGCACGAGCTGCTGATCCACCACGAATAGCCCAAGGCCAAGACGAGGCCATATCAAAACACAGTAGACCAATTTTCATCCACCCTTCACCAGATTTCAGCAGTCGTTTTCTGAGATCTAAACCTTGATGATGGTCCTATATATCATCTGGTTATTTAACATAGCCATGGAAAATCACCATGTTTAATAGGTAAACCATCTATTTCTATGGGCCATCTATACCATGGCTATATGTTAGTCATAACCGGAGGCTATCTTTACCAACGAGAAGGCCAGTCCGGCCAGTCCCAGGGACCCATGTCGAGCATACGATCTGCTTCATCAAAGACAAGGTATCCCACCGAGCTCAGCGAGAGTTGCCGGAACCTGCTGCAACGTGGATATGGCTTGTTGGCTGAAAGTGACCATGCAATAGCAGCAGCAGCAACAACAACAACAACAACGACAACAAATACAGTAACAACGACAATAACGACGACAACAGCGACAACGACAATGACAATGACTTCAATAGTTCACACACATTTGAAGGGAAAAAGGAGAGACAAAAAACAGGTCAGCAGTGATACAGACGCTGACAACTGGCCAAAAGTAGCCAAGAACAAGACGAAACATGATTTTCTTATCATGGTCACAAGCAGCTCATCGCTATGACCACTAGTTCATGTGGAGCCAAAATCTCCAACATCGATGGTTGTTGCCTGTTAATATTGGGGGTATACAAATTGCTATGTGCCACTATCTATACCATATAAATCATGCTAACTTACAGCCTACATGTATGACTGGAGAAAAATGTCATGGCGATTCCCTGATATAACTTGGATGGTTCAGCGGTGCATCCCAGGAATCGATGCAGTGATCAATAAGCCATGCACAAAACTAGGGCGTATCCAGTATCCCGTATCCCATTCATCAGGCTGGGTGGGTTCATGTTGTTTTTGATTCATTATGTATGTATATGTATAAACATACATATATGTATATATGTCATATACATATGCATATGTCTTATGGCGTATTATACTTATACATATCCATCCCCTTGACATCAAGTACCCACCATGAGGGACCCACAATTCGCTTGAGAGGATTAAATATTACAATCCCCCCCTTTTTTAGACAGCAAGCATAGCCCATTTTGGAAAGTTCCCTTCCAACCTCCAAAGTTTCGGTGGATTGTGGGCAAAATTACCAGTGGACGCCAGGGATTGCGCTTCCTGACCCTGGAAATTTCTCCGATGTTTGTCAAATTATCCCAGATGATCCCCATTTCTCCCACATTTGCCCATATTTTCTTATTTCCTCCACGTTTCCCATACCCTCTGGTAATTTAACATAACTATGGAAAATCACAATTTTCAATGGGAAAATCCACTATAAATGGCCATGTTCAATAGCTATGTTAAATTACCAGAGGGTATTTCCTTATTTCCTCCACGTTTCCCATATTTTTTCTACATGCTTCTCCAGTAAAAAAGGGGTGAAATCAGCACATCCACCAGGCCACTCCAGGAAGTCGTTCAACCGCCCCGGGGTCGCCACCAGAATGGGCGCGCCCGCGCGAAGAGCTGGCAGCTGATCCTTCTTGGGAACACCACCATAGACCTGGGATAGAAATGCTGTTGACCTCTGACTATTGAATCAAAAAGCTAGACTTAAATACTCCAAAGGCTTGAAACATATGCTATCATATTAACTGTAAGTGTCCACGCACACGTATATATATATATATATATGTATATATATATATGCGTGTGTGTGTGTGTGAGCGGCGGACAAAATTACTTATTACTGTACCCGCAATGGACATGGCCAAAGTGGGTGGTCCCCAATCGGTTGTGAAGGTTTGTACTTCCATGCTATCTGCAAAAATAGGGTATCGGTAAGTGTGTGGCCCCCTATCGGTTGTGAATGTTTTCGCACAAAATTGAACATCCCATGTCCCTCCCCACTACTTTAGTCTTCCGCTAATTTTGTCGGTTACTCATGTGTGTGTGTGCGGGTGTGTGTGTGTGTGCGTGTGTAGCATCGCAAATCTTCCGGATCATATGGGACTTCAAGGACCAAAATGGGTCTGCATTCTATAACCATCTATATATATATATATAACCCACAAAACGAGTTGTGAAGGTCATGTCATGTCATGTAGTGTCTTGTCGCGTTGTGTCCTGTCATGTCAACTATTCTGACTGTCTATTTTTTCGGTGTCGGCGCCTACCATCATACCACATCAACTGAATCTTCCAACTGTTTGGTGGTCCCCAATCCTGAGGTACCTTCAACCCGAAGCTCAAGAGTACTCAACCCAACCTGAAGCTGGTTTAGGATCAACACCTATTCCAACCTTATCCCATAATCATATCCCAAGCATTCCCAAGCTAAACTCAACACCAAGGCATTGAAGGCATTCAAGGCGCGCAGGCGCTGCCGAAGCCGGAGGCGCTGGCGAATTTCACGGCTTCCGCATGGATCTGCGTGGCCAGTTCCCTTGTGGGCGCCAGCAACAACGCGCGGGTGGCGGATCCGGGGCGGCGGGCCATCCACAAATAGGCCTGCGAGCGGATGCTTCGACCAAGCATTGAGTAAAACTGGGCCATTTTCTGCCAAATTTCATCCGAGTTCTAGGCAAGGTTCATCAAATTTACATGACATCACGAGACACAAGAATAGAGCAGTCCGCCCATTTATAGCTTATAGAAGAACTTATTTACATATTTATGCTGGGTGATTCTCCAAGCAATCCAAGCAATCCCCAACGCCAACGCCAAGGGATCCAAAGGACAGGGTAGAGATATGCCAAAGTCTTTCCAGAGCCGGTGCGCGCCTTGATGGGCAGCACATGGCAGCCTTCACAACATTTTCCAACAATAATATGGTGTATAAATCATGACAAAATCCCCATTGTTAAGCCATAAACTAACCATTAACTATAGTTATATATATATCCAACATTAAACCATTATATTATCCAACATTAACTAGTTCGTTATATCTACCATAAACCATGGAATTCAGCCACTTATAAACCAACTGAACGCTATCGACTGGGGGCCCCAATAATATACCATGGTTCAACAAAATGTGTCATTCGCATTAAAGGGGAAATTCTACAAAAGTCTGTCATGCATGTTTAACAATGAATACCATTTAAAAAAAAAAAAACTATACACCTTCAAAGAAGGTGGCGCGTCTATCAAGGGATTCTATCTTCAGGTAATGTTCCATTGTCTTATGATTAAAAAAAACTTCAGATAATACAGACAAGACGTTTCCAAAAAAAAGAGTGCTGCCCACATTTTTTAAATATATACTAATAAGAGAAGAAGTATATAGAAATGGTGTCATCGTTTTTGCATACGCTTGATATTAATCACACCATCTCTTCATAATCAATACTTTGTGGGCTTCATTGTCTTCAAAATTGTGGTTATATAGTAGACATGCAAAACATTGCCAAATAGCATGAGGAAATGACATGAAAAAACAAAAGACTGTTTGGACTGCACCATCTGACCTGAACCATGTGCCACCTCACCCCTGCATTAACTTCATCTCTGGACATACAAAATTATTAGAAAAAAAACGACAAACCAAAAAACACGCAAAACACCATATTCAATATGTGTATCTCTCCCCCTCGGGGTCTGCAATCTTGTGTGTTTTGTGTTTTTGTTTCGTGGTTTTTTGGTGTTGGTGGGGTTGGATGGAGCCTAAGAGAAGAGACGCTGCAGAGGTGAAGAGAAATTACGAGATATCAACTCTCAAGGCATACAAAACCAAAACAAAAAACTCACTGTTTGCGCAGGAAATGCTGCAATTTGCGCACTCCCACAGTGGCCTGTTCTGATATAAAACCGGTTGATTATGATTACATGACTGGCCTCAAAATTCACCAAAGTGAAATGTTTGGCAATTTTGGGATAGTGAAATATACAGTAGTTTTATATCCCAAATCAATTCCCATCATTCCAGTGACGCCGAGACATGGGGTCCTTATAATTCCTCCAGATAGTTGTGGGTTGTATGGATGGCATCGCCATCCCATCTCTGGATGTAGAAGTCCCACATCTTCTGAAATTCTTCGTTCAAAACAGGACATTGACAGGTGAGATTTTTTGGAACGCCAGCAGCAGTACACTATATGAGTAAACTTGTGATAGCTCGATACGGTCAGAAAAAATGGATTGAACAAACAACGCAATCTATGGCTGATCTACTTTCATTCGTGTTCCATTCAGATGCGAATCCATGCTTACAAGAGCGCAATGAACTTGTAGTCACATTAGTTTTCCATGCCAAAATGAGCAACGCCTTTTGGGCGACAAACGCCCAAGTGTGCTCCTCATGGATTTCTCCCTGATCCATGGGACCCTATTAGGCTCCATGGTCTCACGAAGCTTATCTACCAATTAAAAATTAACATGGGCAACCCACTGCCATAAACCTACCATTTGGAGATGGTTCATACCGCCCATTTCTGGTGATTTGTTTTTTTTTTTAATTGGGTTTACTACATTAGGCCGAAGTAATAAACCCATGAATCTGGGTAAATTATAATATCTCACTAACCTGAATTAAGGCCATTTGGGGATCATTTACCCAGATGAATGAACATCTCACAACCGGCATCTATTAGACCGTCCGTAGCATTTCATAGCTGATATCCACGACCCCATTTCTCACTGGGATGGTCGAGCGGCGATCCCAATGATATCGCTTCCACTGGCTGCCACGGGCCAGACTTGCGCTTGGATGGGTGTTGGCCTGGGCGATCACCAGCCTCAACAAAACTTACATGGCTCTACCTCCGAAAAAATGACACATCTTGCAGTATACCCTCTGGGAAATTAACATAGCTATGGAAAATGGCCATTTATAGTGGATTTACCCATAAAAAATTGTGATTTTCCATAGCTACGTTTATATCTTGGAGCTGACATCTCGAAGCAAGTGTGACAGTGGTGTTTCCAGGCAACACCACGGGATCAATTCAGGATACGGCACTTTTTTGTGGCCCCTGGGCAACCCCAACGCTTGGAAGCCAGCGGCACGGAAGGCATGCAGCAGATTGGCCGGCATCTGCCTGGCCAATGGATGCCAAGGGACGCCAAGGGCGCCCCGGAGCGCCGCCTTCAGCAATGAAAATGATACACCCTGGTAAATTAACTTGTTGACCCTGAAAATCACCCATTTTTAATGGAAACTAGTCTTCCAAGCCCGATGACTGCCAGGGTCGAACTGTTAATTTACCAGAGGGTAAGTAGAAACAATTCTTTGGTCAGATTTTCTCTCTCTCTCTCTCTCTCTCTCTCTCTCCCTCCCTCTCCAATGGTAAGTAATTGTCATCAACAATCTCAAAAAATTCTCTGGTCAGAAGTGCCTCAGGCTCTGGAAAATAGAAAAACAGGGAATGAGTAAGCTCTTGCCCATTCCGATCACCAGGTCCCAGCACAACCCTCACATCGATATCAAGCAACGCGTGTTCGAATTGTGACCACGGCAGCGGCACCGCCTCCAAGGAACCCCCTTTTAGGACGCTGAACATGATCATAAACCAAGGCCGTCCGTGGCCCGTTTACATCCACTTACCCAGTCTTACCCAGAAATTGGGTATCATTGGGTTTATCATCGGTTGATGATGATTATGATCATTCATACCCGATGTGTTATATTCTACAAACCCCAAAAATGATAAAATCCAGATAAATTGTTCATAATAGGTTTCTATGTCATTACACAACCATTTAAAACCATTATAAAAACATTTCAAAAAATATAAACCAAACCAAAACACTATAAACCCATTATAAAAACATTTAAAAAATATAAAACCTAACAAAAACACTTTAAACCCATTATAAAACATTTTAAAAAATATAAAACCAAACCAAAACACTATAAAAACATTTTCAAATATATAAAACTAAACAAAAACACTATAAAACCATAAAAACATGTTCAAATATATATATATATATAACCAATATAACCATCTTAACCCCAGAAAGTTTCTTCAAACATTGATGGCTTCAGAACTTCGTCCGCGCGTTCGCAGACTTTCCCCACCTTCGTGGGATCCTTGGTCGACCACGCGCGGATCTTCTGGGCCAGGCGATATGGATCCCGTTCCTCGTAGCTGACGCTGGCCTTGGGCAGTGGCAAAGCCATGGAAAAATGATGGGAATAACATGGGATTATCACGCCTATTTAGATTATCATGGGGTTATCATGGTAATGAAAAAGAATGAACTATACCCTTTGGTAAACGAACAGTTTGCAAACTCGAAAATCACCATCAAACTAATCATCATGGAAAAATGATGGGATTAACATGGGATCATCATGGAAAAATGATGGGATTAACATGGGGTCATCATGGAAAAATGATGGGATTAACATGGGATTATCATGGAAAATGATGGGATTAACATGGGATCATCATGGAAAAATGATGGGATTAACATGGGATTATCATGGAAAATGATGGGATTAACATGGGATTATCATGGCAAAATGATGGGATTAACATGGGATCATCATGGGAAAATGATGGGATTAACATGGGATTATCATGGAGAAATGATGGGATTGACATGGAATCATCATGGAAAAATGATGGGATTAACATGGGGTCATCATGGAAAAATGATGGGATTAACATGGGATCATCATGGAAAATGATGGGATTAACATGGGATTATCATGGAAAAAAGTTGGGATTCTTTTTTTATCATGGAAAATCATGGGATTAACATGGGATCATCATGGAAAATGATGGGATTAACATGGGATCATCATGGGAAAATGATGGGATTAACATGGAATCATCATGGAAAAATGATGGGATTAACATGGAATCATCATGGAAAAATGATGGGATTAACATGGGATTATCATGGAAAATGATGGGATTAACATGGGATCATCATGGAAAATGATGGGAATAACATGGGATCATCATGGGAAAATGATGGGATTAACATGGAATCATCATGGAAAAATGATGGGATTAACATGGGATCATGATGGAAAAATGATGGGATTAACACGGAATCATCATGGAAAAATGATGGGATTAACATGGGATTATCATGGAAAATGATGGGGTTAACATGGGATCATTATGGAAAAATGATGGGATTAACATGGGATCATCATGGAAAAATGATGGGATTAACATGGGGTCATCATGGAAAAATGATGGGATTAACATGGGATTATCATGGAAAATGATGGGATTAACATGGGATCATCATGGAAAAATGATGGGATTAACATGGGATTATCATGGAAAATGATGGGATTAACATGGGATTATCATGGCAAAATGATGGGATTAACATGGGATCATCATGGGAAAATGATGGGATTAACATGGGATTATCATGGAAAAATGATGGGATTAACATGGGATTATCATGGAAAATGATGGGATTAACCTGGGATTATCATAGAAAAATGATGGGATTAACATGGGATTATCATGGAAAAAAGTTGGGATTCTTTTTTTATCATGGAAAATCATGGGATTAACATGGGATCATCATGGAAAATGATGGGATTAACATGGGATCATCATGGGAAAATGATGGGATTAACATGGAATCATCATGGAAAAATGATGGGATTAACATGGGGTCATCATGGAAAAATGATGGGATTAACATGGGATCATCATGGAAAAATGATGGGATTAACATGGGGTCATCATGGAAAAAATGGGATATCATGGGATTATCACGCCTTTTAGATTATCATGGGGTTATCATGGTAATGAAAAAGAATGAACCATACCCTTTGGTAAACGAACAGTTTGCAAACTCGAAAATCACCATCAAACTATATATATATAATAGGTAAATCAACTATGAATGAGCCATTTTCAATAGCTTTGTAACAAATTACCAGAGGGTAGCAAGTGAGGTTACAACTCAGTTCATGGGATAATCATGGATAATCCTGTTCGGGAACTTACCAGGTGAAAACCCAATAATAAATGATCCCCAAATGGCGAGTTTTCATGGGATATAGGGACCTTCTCCTGGTTTTGCGGCCGTTGCTTTGGAAAAAGTCAGGTTTTGAAGGCAGGTGAGTTTATAAGCAAAGAACTGTGCTTATAAAGCAAATGATCTTATATGTTTGAGAGTTGTTTATTGATGTTTATTGAATATTTGGTGTTGTTTCTTTCTCATGTGGGTTGATTGGTGAGTGGATTGAATTTGCGAACTGTGTTTTTTCAGATTGATATGTGAAGATATGTGAAACTAATATGTCTTAGTAGGCTGTCTTACTACATGGATAAGGAAACTGGGGAGTAAATCGAATACGATACATATATGTAATACAAACTATAAACCACAGCGGGCCTCGTTTTTCCCCGTTCCCAAAATGCAATATATATATATGTGTGTGTGTGGGCACAGTGATATTCATATATATATATATCAAAAGATTATCATAGTTTCCAGTTTCTACCAGTCGACGTCTTCCGGCTGGTTTTGCTTCGGTCAATTTGAATTATAGGCTTTATAGGGCTAAAATTTGCAAGAAACTCATGGTTTGGAAATGATAAACGGGGCAAACATCCAAAACTTGGGCTGTCTGATGTAGAAACTGCTAATTGCCAAGTGATGCCGGACCTTCAGCCATCAGCTACCCTGCAGGTAAACTGCACTGTATTATCATTGGATTCATTGCCGGAAAATCTGCACCAAGTCCCCAAAAAAACATGCAGCTCAAGCACGGGGTCCGGTGGAATTTGCATGATTTTCCCTTGAATCAAACCGTGGCCATGGCCGCCATGGCACCATTTCGCTGGGCGCCTTCAGCTGTTTGGGTGCCATGCTCTTGTGGCCCTTGACCTTGGGTTTTCCACATAGCTGGATGGTTTCTTTCAACCATTTAGCTATTTAACCATCATGAGTTCCCATTTCTGATGATTAATGATGGTTAATGATTGTTAATCCTGTTCAGATGGTTCCCATTTAATTAAGCAACATTAACAATCATTAACCATCATGAACCAACATTTCATGAACATTTCTTAAGATGCATGATTTACGGGTACCCTCTGGTAATTTGTTACATAGCTATTGAAATGGCCCATAGAAATAGTTGATTTACCTATTAGTTTGATGGTGATTTTCCAGTTCGGACCCCCCATCTATAGCAATGGAAGTCCAGCAGGTTCCCTCGATCCTTGCTGGTTGTTTTTTTTCGGGGATTCCCCATCGTGAGACAGTATAATCATATATAATCATATAACCCCTAAACAATTATCAACCATTGATCAGTTATGTATCCACAAAAAAATATTCCAAAAAACTCATGGAATCTATCAGTTTTTTTCAAGTTGTACCAACACATCCCGCTACCACGTCGTGGTGTCTCGCTTCGCAGGAACTGCTGCGGCCATCGCAGCGAACTCATCGTCCTCAGGGGCTGATCTCTTGGTGCCTCTCCCAACGGAGCTTTGCAACGCCTTCTCCAGTCCTTCCCACGGCGGCACGTGGAAAATCCATCGAGAAGTGGATGATAACTGGGGAGAACCCCCATTAAAAAGGAAAGCTACATATGATTTACATTGATTTAACTAAAGAACGACCTTCTGCTAATGTAGCTATCAAAAGCCACCAATTTTAATAGGTGCATCATCATAAATCATAGCTCAGTGGCTCAACTCTGGCAATCTCACCTGGAACAAAATTCAGGATGATTGACCCCGTTTGACATGGCTGGGAAATTTCCAGAATTGTCCACTTCCACTTTGGGAAAGATTGGCTGCGCGCACTTGGTCGCATGAGAGACATGGGTGAAACATGTATTCAACGTTACTATTCAATAGTGATTATTGAAAATTCAATGGGTTTTGCATCATTATTTTTTGGTGTTCTGCAAATTTTATCATCTCATAGAGGTATCAAGCATGTCTGACGTGTGGACAAACCCAAAATCATATGAAGTTGCTTGAGATCCCGTATTCCCATGGTTATCCCACAGTGCACTCTGGTAATTTGTAACAGTTTGCTATTGTAAATTGCCATTGAAATAGTTGATTTACCCATGAAAATGGTGATGTTCCATAGTTTACCAGAGAAAAAAGGTGATTTATACCATAGATATGCCATTTATAGTTGATTTACCCATGAAAAATGGTGATGTTCCATAGTTTACCAGAGAAAAAAGGTGATTTATACCATAGATATGCCATTTATAGATATTTATAGTTGATTTACCCATGAAAAATGGTGATGTTCCATAGTTTACCAGAGAAAAAAGGTGATTTATACCATAGATATGCCATTTATAGATATTTATGAAAAATGGTGATGATAGTTTACCAGAGAAAAAAGGTGATTTATACCATAGATATGCCATTTATAGATATTTATAGTTGATTTACCCATGAAAAATGGTGATGTTCCATAGTTTACCAGAGAAAAAAGGTGATTTATACCATAGATATGCCATTTATAGATATTTATAGTTGATTTACCCATGAAAAATGGTGATGTTCCATAGTTTACCAGAGAAAAAAGGTGATTTATACCATAGATATGCCATTTATAGATATTTATAGTTGATTTACCCATGAAAAATGGTGATGCTCCATAGTTTACCAGAGAAAAAAGGTGATTTATACCATAGATATGCCATTTATAGATATTTATAGTTGATTTACCCATGAAAAATGGTGATGTTCCATAGTTTACCAGAGAAAAAAGGTGATTTATACCATAGATATGCAATTTATAGTTGATTTACCGATTTACCCATGAAAAATGGTGATGTTCCATAGTTTACCAGAGAAAAAAAGGTGATTTATACCATAGATATGCCATGATATGCCATTTATAGTTGATTTACCCATGAAAAATGGTGATGTTCCATAGTTTACCAGAGAAAAAAGGTGATTTATACCATAGATATGCCATTTATAGTTGATTTACCGGTTTACCCATGAAAAATGGTGATGTTCCATAGTTTACCAGAGAAAAAAAAAGGTGATTTATACCATAGATATGCCATGATATGCCATTTATAGTTGATTTACCCATGAAAAATGGTGATGTTCCATAGTTATGTAAACGTTTACCAGGCCGGGTATCCCAAGAAAAATCACCGGCCGGGTCCATCGGTGGAAAGGCTGCTGGAGGCCGTCGCGCTGG